TATATTATTTTAATTATTAGCATAAATAAAAAATTTATTGAATCATATGTAGATAATTAAAAAATTATTAAGTCCACTTTAAAAACCATATGGAATGTGTTAAAAATCAAGTTAATCTTTACATTAAAATATATATGATTCAATATAAGAAGAAACAAAAGAATCAGCAACTTAAAGAATTGATAATTCTTAAATATAAGGTAGAGTAGATATTGATAATTTTGATGAATAAAGTGAAGATGATGATTTTAATCAAGATGATATAAATTCTTATGATGAAAATGATAATAATCAAGATGGATAACCATTTAAAAATAATAGACAATCATCTAATAAAAAAATGAAAAATACTAAATCAAGAAGTAAGATAAAATAATAAGGTACTATGGACTCAGATTAAACAAAAGAGAGTTAAGATTAGGAATCTATAAAATTTGATGATTAAGGAAATTAAATTATATCACCTAATAAAAGGAGAAGAAAAATATCTTAAATATCTAATAATGCTAATAATATTGAAAATTAATAAGAAGATTTATAAGATGGAGATAATTAAGATTTTTCAGAAAATGGATCAAAATAAAAAAATTAACTTGGCAAAATAGCCAGTAGAAGGAGAACTGTAATTAAAGCAGATGGATCTTATTAATCTGATGATGAGTAACATTCTGGAAATGATAATGAGATGGTTATATAAGAAGAAGAATTGAGTGAAAATGAATAAGAATCTGAAGTTAGAAATTTAAAGAATAAAGATAAAGATAAAGAATATAATACATAAAAATAAGTCCAATTTTAACATTCTTTTAATAAAGAAATTCTAATATAAAATTAAGAGGATGATTTTTAGGATAATGAAGGTCCTTAATCTTTCCGTTAAGAAAGGTTTTTAATTTAACATCCAAATCACGAAATTATTAGTGTTTCTTTACTTGATAGATTTCTACATTTAGATAATATCTATGATTATAAATTTTTATAAAGTTGGAATTATCATATAGCTTAAATTAGATAAGCTAAGTTTCTTGATGAATTTGATATTTGATTTTATATTATTTATTAATTTGCTCAAATATAAAATGTATATCATAATATTTTTAGTTTTTTCTTTAGTTCATTTATTTGTTTTTAATAATCTACTGCTACTCTAGTCATACTAGCTTATAATTATACTAATTATTCTTCTGCTACAGTTGCCTTAACAACTAATTCAGTTCTTTCTCTTTCCAATTATTTTGTAAGTTATTCATAAAATTAAATTTTTTATTGAACATTCTTACTTTATCCTGATTATGGTCCAATCATCTCATATTCTTTGACAATTTTTAATAATCTTTCATTTTCTTATTATATTTTATGAAGATCCCATTTATTGGAATCCTTTAATAATTATACTAATCTTCTATTTTCTTCTTATAAATCATTTCTTTCTCTCCTTAAAGAAGAATCATTATTATTATTATTATCAGAAACTTAACTCTATTTTAATAACTAGATTTCAGATATAAGTCTCTTAGTAGCATTATTTGGATCTTCAATTTTCTTAGCTTCTTTTATATTCATAAGTTCTGCTTCTAAAATATGATTTTTATTTCTAAGTCTTTGAATTTCTTATTCTTAATCCTTTTATGCTTGAGTATGCTATTATATATTAGAATATAAATACAAGTTCATTTTCATCTAATATCATATAACCTTTATGTAAAATATCAGGTAAAGGTTAACCAAGAGGTGCCCAATCTTCAGCCAAATAACGAATTTATCTAGAATAACTTTTAATTGATCTCATTTCAATTTGTAATTATTTATTCTTTTTACTTAAAATTTCAATAGATTATGAATATTCTCTTTCTTTTGCTGCATAAGTTTAAAATAATTCATCTCTTGGATCTAATTTATGAATTTAAATTAATTTATTTCTATAAATGGCTCTCATTTCATCTAATTACAATTACATCTTAACATTCTCACCATTTAAATCATTTAATTATTTTTCTAGATCTTTTATTCTTTCATTATCATCATTTACTTTTCTTTATAATGATTTAACTTTATGTGTAAGTTCCATTTTTTGACTTTCCCATAACATTCTTTCATTCTTATAAGCATCATCATTATTAGGAGATTATGTTATCTAAATTTATGTAGATGATTTATCAAGTTCTAATCTCTTTTTATCAAGTTCCAATTTATCTTTTGCTCCTAATAATCCATATTTCATTAATTCAACCTTTAATCTTTCAATTTCAGCTTTTGCAAATTCTAGAGTTTCTCTTTTCTCTCTCAACTCATCAGTCATTGTCTTTAATTTTTCTTACATCATTTTAGTTTGTTCATTTGTTTAACCATCTGATTAATATAATTTAGATATTTCCTCTTAAAGAGCCTTATTTTCATTACCTAAATTAATAAGTTCAAGACTATAATTCTCTTATTAAAGTCTAATATTTTCCAATTCTTTTAGTTTATCCATGTAATTCTTCTTTAAAGCCATGAATTCCATTTCAATTTCTCTCTTTTCATCTATAGCTTCTCTTAATCTATCTTGTAATTCCTGAATAATCTACTATGCCTTTTATAATCTAACATCATCTGAAATATTTTCATCATTTAATTTCTTAGTATTATTTTCTGATTATATTTAAATAATTAATTCTTATAATTTTGTGTTTTACAATTCCATATCTAATAAAGCCTTAGCTGATTCTATTTTATCCTCTTCAGCCTTAATTAATTCATCTTACAGTTCTACTTTTTATTTAACTAATTCCTAAAATCTTGCTCTCAAAGCTGATAATTTAGATTTCAAATCAGTAATTTCATCATCCATATCAGCTATCTATTTAGCATAATCATTGACTTTGCTCTTAAGATCAAGTAATTCTTAAACACCAACAGAATCTCCTGAAGCAACTGGAGTATCTTTCTTTTTCCCTACTTAATTACTAGATGCAGCTTCTAATCTAAACTATCTCAATAATGCTATGACTCTATGGTTATTTATAACTGGATATGTCATTATTTTACGAGCCTATTTGAATACTTATAATGCCAAAGAAGAACCTTTAGGATCACCATGTTAACAACAAAATATTCCTATATTATATGAATTACTTCCATATATTTCTTTACCTAATTTAGTCACAGTAGATGTATCATACATTACATAATCTTCTTATCTATTTGCCAAATCTTTAATTAATTGTGTAAATGCTATAATTACTTTATTTAATGTTGATCCCTATTTTACTCTAATTGTTTCTGCATCATCCACCAATATTTCACTTCCTGGTAAATCAGCAAATGTTGCCTGACTTTTTAGCAATACCATTTCTTATGTATCTTTATTTGAAAACCATTATTTAAGATCAATTATAAATAATGATGTAGCCTTTGCACTTACTTTTCCAAATTCATTACTAGTATTATCTCTACTTTTTAATCCTTTATATAGACGATCATTTAATTCAGTGTCTTTTGTAATTTCATGCCAAGATGCTCCTTAAACAATAGGTCCATCCCAAGGATGATCTTCAACAAACAATCTTTCTCCAAATTTTCTATCTGCGCATAAATCCATAATATTTTCATCCAATATTTCCAAATATTGCATTCTCACTTCATACTTATAATCAGCAATTACACTATCTTCTTTGTATGTTTACACTACCTTATCTTACAAATATGCAAATAGTGTGCTTGCCCAAAGTGTAACTATACCTTTCTCTTTCTTGTTTCCTTCTATTGTTTATGATTTACCTGCACCTGTGGAACCATATGCAAAAACACTCACATTGAAACCTTATATAAATTATTAAATTAAAGGAGCCACTCTTTCATTATATATTTATTCAAGGCCTACTTCTTATCCATAAGCTTCTGGAACCTCAAATTCTTCTAAAATTCTATTGTTTGGATCTGTCAATATAATATTTTGATTATTAATTCTTAAATCCTCTCTTTAAAAATTGGTTGCTGGTTTAATTCTGACAATTGGCATCAATAACTCTCCCTTTACATCTTCAAACCATTTTCTACTTCTAACACTCGGAGTCGTTGCCATTTATTGATTATATATATTTATATTATTATATATTTAATCTATAGGAAATAAAAGCTAAAACAATGAGTAATTTCAATTATCATTAAGTTGAAATGTTCAGATCATCTCTTACAATATTCTCTCACTAAATATAAGATTTGTTCAAAATTAGTATAGTAAAATATATAGATTAAAGAGTATTGCTAATAGTTTATTATAACTTATATTATACTAAATACTAATAAATTATTAGCTATTAATTATTTTTTCTATTTCGATTTAATTATAATATATTATTTGAAGGCATGTTACTATGCATAAATTAAATATATTTGAATTGAATCTAAGATTTCAATTTATTGTAGAAAGTCCTTTTGTATTTTTAAGCTTCATTATATAATTAAATAGAGAAAAATAATAGCTAGTTATAAACTCGTAGGTAGAATTAATAAAAAAGGAAATTTTTATAAAAATATTAAAATTGATATAATAATTAATAAACTTCTTTAATTAGTATGTAATTTTTGTCAAATAATCTTTATTCTAAAATGTTTCAAGTTCATTTATGAATATCCCATAATATAATTCAGTCATATTTTAATATAAATAACTTTACTTTCTCAAATAAATTGATTCCAATTATACTATCCATTTAAGAGTTCATTTTTAATAAATTATAGAAATATTCCCTATTTGTTTTAATATCATAGAAAAGGGTCTGTTTTGAGCAAATAACTTTTGATTTATGAAATAAGTTGTGCAATGATATAATTAATATGCAAATAAGTTATTTTAATTACTGATTATTAATTAATACAAATGATAAGTTTACCTTTCCATAAATGGAAACTCAACTTTTATGAATATGATTTTGAGATTTAATATGAAGAACACTCTAACAAAATTAGATTAGTTGGATTTAAGATACTTAATCTTCTCATGACTTTCGCTGCTCTTATCACACTTATTATTTTTGTAGTTCAGTAATAACCATATGTTTTAATAATAATGATGGCAGCAGTTGTATTTTGCTGTTTCGGATTATTTTTACTAAGTCCAAAATTAAAACCACGTTTAAAATTTGTATTTTCTGCAATGTATATTTGGAGTGTGTCAACAAATGTTATGATAGCAATGAGTGGAAATAATATGTAAAAATTGTATAAATATTAAGTCCTAATTTCTTTTTTGGGTTTAATTCATCTGCCCTTATATTTGGAATAATGTAATTTAGCGACAATAAACTAAAATTAATATACACAATAGTGACTCCTTTAATTTTAATATTTCTATTCTAGGTCTACACTGTAAATAACATATAATTTATGTTACATTCTTGTGCTTGCATATCTTTTGTTAGTGTTTTAACATATATGTATGAATATACTTCGAGACTTGCTTTTTCTCTTAATTTAATTGCCAATAAATAAAAGTAAAGTTAATATATAAATTAGAGAAATAATTGATGAATTTGTAACTGATTCTATGTTTGCTGTAAGCTTGGATGAAAGAACAAGATAGTTTAATCTTGAATTTAAGAATAAAACTTTTGAAAATCTCAAAAATATTAAAGATTCTGAATAAATTAGATAATTTTTAAGAACATCATATGTCTTAAATAATATGAATGAGAGTCAGAGAATTAATGAAAAAGTTTTATCTAAATTGTAAAAACTTGAAGAATTCTGTTTCAAGAAAATAAAAACTTCTGAAAGTTATATGAATGCTGAAAACCAAGATTATGAGATTGACATTATTTAATAAGACAAGATTAATGAAAAACATAAGAAGATGAAACTTATTGTTAAATTATTTAATTTTGGAAAACCTATTTTAATTGTTATTATAAAAACTGAATAAGTACATAATATAATAGAATCATATGAAAACGATATTTTAGAATATCAATAATCAATTGTTAATTATTCATAAGAAATTCTTAATAGATAAGCTAATATCAATTTAGAAATTAAAACAATTAAATAACGCTTCTCTAAAAATATTTAAGATTAAATGTTCTTAAAAATTTAATGTCTCAATTTATAAATTATGAATTATGTAAGAAACTATTTAATATACTTTCAATAAGATAAAATACCATAAATTTCTTAGATTTAATATATTTCTAATTTATTTATATATCTTGATACAATATAACAGTATTTATCTACTATTGCAGAATATTATTCTGTTAAATTTATAATGTAACATCAAATGGAGGCTTCATTTTCTCTCAACATCAATATTAAATTCTTAACTTAAATTTCAATTAATTTATTTTAATAAATTTTGATGCATTCTATGAAGAATTAAGTGATAAGTTTAAACATTACTGAAGAATTATAAACATAAACAAAAAGATATACATATTAAAAAATTGAAACAAAAAAGAAAGTTGAAGAATGTTAAACATAATCAAAATAATTAATTGACTTAAGATTGATTTCGTTTACGTTTACTTTCTATTCCCTACATTATGTTAATTTATAAAAACTTTAATCCTTTTAATTGGAAATGAAAAATGATATTAATAATTTTAACCATATACCAGAATATGTAACATGCTATCTTTTAGATTAAATGGGACCAAATAATTTTGTATAAGTTAATTAAACAGAAATAATAGATTCTGATGGGAAAACATTTTATCAAAATAGATTGAAATTTCTAATATATTCAGATTAATCTTAATTAGAACCTTCATTTTTTAAGCAAATTCCAGTTTTATCAAAAAAATTTTGAATTTAGTATTAGATTTTAAATTTATCTTATATTTAAATAAAAACATCTTTTTACATAATATGTTTACTATAAAAACTAAGAATTTATTTATTATTTTCTATAATTTAATTGCGATAATTAATTTTATTTAAAAAGAAGTTTTTGTATATTATACTTTTAATGGACAATTCAAATTTGTCTATTTCTTATTTACAATTTAAGAGTGGTACATAATTAAGTTATTTTAATATAATAAATGAGTTCTATATGTTTTATAAATCTATAATAAATTATATAAATAAATATTATCTGTTAGCCAATTTAATGGAACAATACGACAAGTATCAACTATTTTTAAGATTAACTAACAAGAAAGAGACTAATAATAATTATGATGCTCTAAATTCTTCATGCAAAAAACAACATCCAACAATTTTAAGTGGAAAAAGAAATCCTAACAATGAGGCTTATAAGAAACTACATTAAAGTTCAGAAATTTTTAAAGAAAATACTACTCCAATCAAAAATAATGTAACTAAACCAAAAAATTATGCCACAGAGAGAAAATCACTTGAAGATTCAAATACAAAAAGGACTTTGATTCCAAGTTTAGATTAATTTTAATCACCAGAAAGAAGATGTTCATCAAATATTAGATATAATGCCAATGCAGAAAGTTCTTAAAAAGACTCTAAGAGAATTTTAAAGTATATAATATTCTTAAATAATTAGAACATGTGAATAAAGATAACAAGACTTTTCTCATCGTATTAATTTACCAATTAGTGCAGTAATATTTATTTAGTTACTATTTTAGATGCAAATAAAAGATTATAAGGAAGATAATTATGGTTTAGGTAAATACAAATCACATGAATCAACATAAAAACTAAAAAGCTATCTTGATCTTTAAGGTCATCTTAATAATTGTAAAAATTCATAACTATATCAAGAATCATTTTAGAGTTAAACTGATAGATTATTCAAGAGTTAGACAAAAATATAAAAAAATATTTTATCATCTTATTAAATTTGTAAAGCCCAATCAGATATTAAAAATGGAAAGAAAAGATTTATTTAGAGTGCAATATCATAATAATTGTCACCACCTGATAATCCAATTAAACCAAAAAACATCAATAAAGTATTTATCAAGAGTTCCTAAGAAGTTTGGGATAATCAAGTAATATAAACTTTTAACAATTAAGCAATCTTAATAAAAGGCACCTGTCAAAATGAAGCATGCCTATCAATAAAAGAGCCAAATCGATTTAAGATGATTTAAACTTTATATATATATATAAATCTGTAAATGCTTTAATTCTAATTTTTTATCTCATGTTATATAGCCTATTTTCATCCAAGAAAGTTTAAGTTAAATATATATCTCTGTTTAGATAAATACAATTTAATTAAACTATTTAATTATTATTAAATTTATATAAATATCATTTTAAATTTGATGAAACCTCAAAAAAGCATTATAAAAGAACTTAAAACTTATGAACATAATCTATTTAAATCTAACAAAGAACGTAAGAAAATAAACATAAATGACTTTCCTAATCTTTCTAGAAAGCCTATTGAATGGACAGATTGTGATTAATTTATTAAGCTCAGATAATTTAAATGTGATAAAAGATTGGCTATTAAATTGTGTTAGCAATATAAAATTCATAGATCTGATTAACAATTTTTTGATACCATATAAAATGTGAATATTGAAAATGAGGAGTATAAGAAAATTTAAAATGTTACTACTTTATGTTATTTATTAGTGCACATCATTTTTATTGAGACAAATTAGATAAAATCAATTAAAAAAGTCAAAACATAGAATGGAATATTAAGAATCATAATTTGATAGCAAAATGTCATCAATTTTAGACCATTCTTTTTCAAAATTCTAAAGATCTTTAGAAAAACATATAGAAATTGAAAATGATTTTTAACATAGATTTAATTTAAAACAATTAACAAAAGAATAATTGTTAAAGAAATTATAGTTATTGTATCACTATTAAATTTGTTATTAGAAATAAAGGATTGAAACAAAATTTGTAGACTGAGAATATATAATCAAACGAATCCATTCCAAAAATCAGTTTTCCTGCTACATTTACAGCTGTAATCAATTGAAATTTATAAATAAGATTCATCCATCTTTAACAGAAAGAAAATATTCTAAAGCATAAACTCCAACATCTGGATTATAAACTTAAAGGGATACAAAAACCAATTTTACAAGGACATTTGTAAAGTGGTAATTTAATTAAACCAGCAACAGATCCCTTTAGCAAATTAAGAAAATAAGGGAAGATCAAGGTAATTTAAAGCCTTCACTTTCAAAAGATTTACATAGTTTAAAACATATAGGAACTTCAACTGATATAGGTTAAGTGAAACATAAGAGTAAAAGACACAAAACCAATCATAGCATAATTAAACATATTAGTGGTTTTGGATGATTACTAAAATGATTGATTTCTTACTTAAAAAAATCATTTATATAGATCTAATAAATTAAATTAAAATTATTATTAATCAAAAAAATAATATCTGAGAGAAAGAGACTAATTTGAGAAATAATAACTCACTAGAAATAAATGTTAACTAATCTGTAAGTTCATTATACTAACTATTAAGTGATTGGAAAAATAGGAATACTGTATTAACAATATCAGAAAAAAGTTTGTCTATTTACTATAGTTCAATATTAAATTTGAAGAATTGATTAATCGATTACTTAAGTTGAAGGCATTTCAATTTTAATTCTTATAAAGCCATTTATATACAGAATTTGAAGTATGATCTCCTTATAATCAAAATCATAAAAACTTAGAACTAAAATAATTTCTATTTCCATAATGATAAATTAATTAGAAATAAAGTAAATTCATAAAAGGAATAAATTGATACAATAAATATTATAAGTCTATTAATAAAGGATTTTTAATCAATTTAAAAGATTGTGTTCAATTATTTGAAAACTTAAAACTAAATAAATTTTTAATATATTTTAAAGAAACGAAAGTATTTATATCATTCAAATATAAAAATATGTTTTAATCTAAAAAGTATAAAAAAAATAGCAATTATTAAATACAAGAAATATATTGAATAATAGATTAAAAAATAAATAAATAGTTTAATCTAAAAAAATAAATTAACAAATTATAAGAATATTCAATCTTAAGATATTAACAGTAAACTCATTTATAATAAATAAATATTCAATTTTAAGTAAAAGAGATGATGAAAATTAGACTACAAATAGAATGCTGACTTTAATTTAATATAATATTTTGTATAATTTAATGAATTAAGATTTCTCAATTTAATAGGGTTGTTTAGCATTTCTAACTGGGTTTTTGTTAATCAATATGTTGATTGCATCCTATAGAATAAGAAAAGATATTAATGATGTATTAGAAAAAATAGAGAGGAATATTTTTTATTTATTCACATTCTAATGTATTAATATTATTGAGCTAGAACTACTTTATTTTGTATTCATAATCAAATAATATACTATTTTTATGAGTGCCCTAAGAATCTCAAGGCTCTTATCGGTTATTTTAATCTTAGAAAATTTTACTATTATGCAAAATAAAAATTATTCGTTTTACGAAAAAGTATGTTTAATAGGAATACTAGTTATCTAAAAAAACTAAAATTATGATTTTAAATATAATTCTAATCTTATGGGCTATGATTTACTTCATTGAAGGAAATTTCTATTATTGTGATTAAACATTATGGATTTGTTTATCATTATTGATTTTTCTTATTGATATTTTAAATCTCTATTTTGGATCTTTTATACTAGCTAACATACATTATTATTTTAGTAGAATAAGATATTAGTAACCAACTAGTAATTTAGAATATCTTAAATAAGTTGATTTGCAAAACAAATAATAACAAGTTTTTGTTATTATTTTTGCTGAACTAATTTCAGCTGCTACTCTTATTTTTTATGATTTTCAGACTTATTATAAGAAAGGATCATTATTTTGTATAAATGCTGAAAATTAATTATAGAAATTAATAGTAATTTCTATGATGATTACATCTTATCAGCTCACAAGTATTGGATTGTATTTTGTGTTTTACAGAAAATATAGAAAATATTTCTTGAGTTAGCCATTTCAAAGAATAAACTTATGAAAAACCTTAAATACTGTTTATAAGAAATAATATTATTATTATATCAACTTAAATCAAATCCTGAACCAGATTCTTTCAAAGATTTTAGTAATTTCTCTCTTACTATTTCTTTAGATGAGTATTCTGGTAAATCAATACGATTAAAGCTAACGATAATTAAAAATTATACCATGCATGAGCCTTAATAAAATGTTCTTTATTGAAGTCTTTTGAAATAGAGAACTTTCTTGGACCATTTGGACCTCTTAAATTCTTAAATCCTCCAAATGGAACTAAAGGACTTCCTGTTGCAAACATTAAGAAATCAGCCTTTTCAGAATCGCTTAATGTTGTTAAAACTTCCCAAAACCATAAGACTGTTTAATTATTTTTTTCATAATTTATATATTCTGTATTCGCTTATAAATCATCAACTAAAAATAAATAATAAAATAAAATACCATCAACAGAAGGAACTCCTATTATTAATTTCTAAAGATCTCTCCAATCCATATAAGAGAAATACTCTTTTTATAAAATATCAAAAAAGCCTTCTCTTAATGCTTATAACTAAGTTTTAATCTCTTCTAACATAATTCTTTTGCTAATATATTCACAAATTAATCTTTTATGTTTAATTGATACATTAGTAGTTTATTTTTCAAAAACATCTTACAATTTAATGTGTTTCAAAACTTCATCATTTAACTATTTTTTTTTATTCTTTCTGATAAGTCTTTTCTTTTCCCTATTTTCCATGTCTTCAGCTGTAATATCTTCGGATTATTTCTTTATTTTTATTTCTTCTTTTTCACTTTTTTATTGTTCTGCCTTTAAAAGTGGAACCATTCCTTCAGATTCTACTTATTTTTATTATATCTCCATTTTTTATTGAGCTATTTACTATTCTTTTATAATTTATTAAGATACAAGCGATTAATCATACTGTTATTATAGATATAATATTAATTATTATTATTCGAATTTTTCTAAATTCATTTCTAATTATGATTCATGTTACTAAATGTCTTCATATTTCTATTAAAGAAAGTTATCTTTAAAAAATTATAAGTCTTCTGTTTCTCTGATAATTTATTAATCTAATAACTGTTATTATTATTATTATATTAGTAATTATTATTTCTATATATCTTCAAATATTTATAAATATTCTTGATATTTTTATTCAGATTATTATAATACTTACAATTATTTCTCCTATTCTTATTCTTATTACTATTATTATTCTTATTCTTATTATTATTATTATTCTTATTCTTATTACTATTATTATTATTATTATTATTATTATTATTATTATTATTATTATTATTATTATTATTATTATTATTATTATTATTATTATTATTATTATTACTATTATTATTCTTATTCTTATTCTTACTGTTGGTCTTATTTTTATGGTTTTGTTTAATCTTATTCTTAAGTTAATTAGGCTTCCTATTAAGTATTCTATTATTATTATTATTCATTTAATTATTCTTATTTTAATTCAATAGGATTCTTTTCTAAATAATCTTATAGAAGATCAGAAAAGATTAACTTTTTATTTTATTCTATCAGATTTGCATATTCTTCAGGAATCCAAAATTCGAATAAATCTTTATATTGAACTTATGTTTCTTCATTTAAAAATTTAATGAAGGTATCATAATATCCTTCATTATAGTGTTCAAGATCATCAAAACTAGGTTTTTTCTAAAGCATTTGCTTGAAAATTGGAGAAATGAAATATACAGGCAAAAGTAATCCATCATAAATGCTTTTCGCAATAATTTTACCTAAAAGTTTATAATGATTCAAATCCTCTTATGCTTTTTTATTTGGATTAATTTTGTAGAATCTCTTAGTTGTTAATTCAAATTTATCTGTTTACAAGATGTCTTTTACAAGATTTGTCATCCACTCCTTTCTAATACCTCCTTCATCTTAACCTCTTTCTCCTTGATATCTAATTTTTATATCACATTTTCTAAATTTAATCTTATCAATATTAATAACTTTTTCTAAAGATTACTATAGTCTTGTTTCTCTAACAACATTAATTTCAATAGTATCATTTTATCTACCTCTTGATCGAGCATTAGGTCTGTCACTTATTTTAAGTGCTTCTAAATCCAATTCAAATAAATGTTTTTTATTTTCAAACGAAATTATTTGACTCATTTTGAAGAAAACAAAAGCTAAAGGATCAGTTTCTTTAAAAAATTTGATTAAATTAGAATTCTAATTTTATTTATGATCAATAGTAATTTAATGAAGTCTTTGTTATATCAAATGATTGATGAGTCTTTTACCATTAATACAAAGATAAGTGAATAATTCATCAATTTTCATTTACATTTCATTTTCATTTCTAACAGCAGAAAATGATCGTTTTAGATGAATATTTTATGTTTATAATAACCCAAATTATAATGAATTTGTGGCCGATCCACTTGTATTACGTTCAAAAAAGTTAGGATCTGAAGTACCTTATTAAAGTGAATCTTAATTATTTGTATCTTCATGTACATTTTAATAAAGTCTCAGGAAACATTCTAAAAGAGGATATAATTTTTTCTATAATAATTCTAATGATCTATGACCTTTACAATTAAAAATCAATAATAATGTTTCTACAACATTAAGCCACAAATGGTGAGTTTATCTTGTTTATAATACATTAATGAATTATTTTCTAATGTCTTTTTTTGATAAAGTATCAACTTCTTGTATATCATCTATTTATTTTCCTTGTTGATGCAATTTAAATTTCTTTTTATCTTATTAAATTTATTATCTAGTTTATGTTGAACTTGGCTTATTTGTTGATTATTTTTATTAATCTGAAGCACTCAAATTTAAATTTAAAAATCCTATAATAGCAATAAAACATCTTTGAATTACGCTAGGATCTGGTGTTTTCTAATTAAGTTCTTTAATAATTTCATTCTCTTATTAAGATAACTATTATTATTTTTCAGGATCATGCTCAGGCACTTTTTCTCGTTAACTTGCTATTTCTCTAAGTTATTTTCTTTTTCTATCTAATTCATAATTGAATATTTTAGATTGTTAGATTATGTATTTTGTCAATTCATTAATAGCATGCTCCATTTTTAATCTATCATTCGCATATGTGTTGATTATATTAATGATTTCAGTAGAATTGCAATCTCTAAGATGTGGATTATTAAGAATTTTGCACAATGCTGTTATAATATCTATTTCAACATGGGAGATCTTGGCACTAAGTTTTCTCTCTCTTTATTATATTTTTTAATCTTATTCATTCTATTCTTCAGTTATATTTTAGGTTTAATCTGATTATTACTATATTTATTATTCAAGAGATATTGATTATTAATTAATCTCATTCTATTATTACTCTTATTATTGTTTATCTTATTATTACTATTTCTATAATTAAATATTGTCATAAAATTATTTAAGGTGTTATTATTAAGTCTAGAAATTGTCTTATTAATTATCATTAATTTTAACATACTAATCATAAAATTATCTAAGTTACTGATAATAAACTTAAGAGGCTGTCTATTTTCGCATGTTTTATAAATTTTTTTGATATTATTATTAGTATTATTATAATTATTCATTTTGTTATTAAAGTATTGATACAGATGTTATTGGAGGAGGAACTTGAGTAGGGAGTGTTTGAGGTAATGCATTTTTGGCTGATGGAAATAATGGCTTTTAAAATAAGTTTGCATTTTATAATAGATGCCTTTATTATTACTCCTATTATTGTTATTATTATTATTATTATAGCTGTTGTTATTGTTATTATTATTATTATTACTACTATTGTTATTATTACTATTATTATAGTAATTATTGTTAGAATAGTTCATTTTATCTTAATGAAAAAGGCAATCTACTGTAATAGGATTATGGTTCCCATTGATCTTATGAATTTTCTGAATATCTCTCTGCAAATGTTTTAAAAATCATTTCTTATAAATGAATATCTTCTTCATGTTTATTGAGTTAAGAGACAAGATCAAATAATTTATTATTAGTTTCCTCTTGGATACTATTTGTAAAGATTGTAGCTTATCTTCTCTATATTTTTAATAGATAATCATCATCGCTTTTTTTATTTTTATCTTTTGTATCTTCACTTCCAATCATCAATGAACCTTTAATAATTTAAATCAAGTAAGATAAATGCATTCCAGTTTAGTTAGCTAATAATGGAGTCAATAGTATATCTAAAATATCATATTAATTTTACTTTTTTCTAATGGTATATAAGATTCTGGATTATGAAAGAGTTTCATGAATGAGATGTTTTTCTCACAATATATATTAATTTAATTAATCAAAAAGACAAGTGGATTTTCTGGATCCTCATCTTAAGGTTATTCATCTAAATTTTCTTCTTCTTCAATTACAAATTGTTCCTTAATTTCTTAAACTTTGGCGAGATTTGCCTTTTCTCTTTTATTTAAAATGGGACTCACTTATAATTATTCAGATAACAAATCTCTAAGATTAGTAGATGGTATTTTTTGACTTACTAGATATAAGATTTTTAAAGTTAAATCTAAGTTATTTTTTTATTCTTAATATAAGAGTAATAATTAAATCAATAATTTGAATCCAAGTCGAGAACATTTACTAATTTATCTAAATAAATTAAAAGGAAATTATGGAAAATTATTTACATCTAGTAAAAGATTTATAAACATTTCAAGAACCAAATTATCATAAATTAATAATTACTATGGATCAGGTTAAACATATTATCTTTTTGGAATTTATAAGATGATTGGTTGAATTATAAGCTGTTCTTCTGGGTGTAATAATCTTTAAAGATTTCCTTTAAGTAAATTTTAATCTTGCAATTCATTTGGCATACCATTTAAAACTACTCTGCTTTATAGAATATTACATGATATTTAACATAAGATTCTATGTTATTATTGTTATGATTCATTGGCATTTACAGATATTGAATTAGCTTGATAATCTTATTATAATTAATTTGGAGGTTAACCAAATTTTGAATAGAAACAAGTAGCACTTGCTTAAACTTATAGGTTATTTAGTGTTCCATTCAAATAATATGATAAATATGATTGCATATAATCATTTTATTTATTTCTATAGTAATTTGAAGATAATAATAGCCTATTCATCTAATGAATGAATTCAACAGTGATTTTAAGTTAATTTTCATATGATTTTGAAATCAAGGATTTTTTATTTTCAAAATATTCATTTGAACTATAATACAACCCAACAATAGAGGTAATCCACTATTTATAATCATTGGAATGATATTGAATATTTGATTTTGTAATTGATAAAGCAGGTAATGTGAAACTAATAATTTGTGGATCAACTTTACAAAATAAAATATTGAGATCTTTCTAAGAAAATATATTTTATTAATTATCTCGTTGCAATCTATCATCATCTCTATTCATGCTGTATTTTGACATGAAATCATTATTGTCATAATAATAATAATCAGAACCCCAAGAATTTATACTTGAATAATTTACTTTATATTTGATTTGACTATTATCTACTAAAAGAATATCTTAATCTGAATCAGAATCACTCACATCTTCTTCTTATTGCTTTTAATTATTTTGCCTTTAATTATTGTAATTTTTTCTTGATTGATAGAGTGGCCATATCAATTCTTATTAGTGTTCATCTTTTAAAGTTTATTGCACTTATTAATGAGAAATAAAATGTTAAGCTGATCCTGGAACACTCTTAAAATTGGGATATAAACAATAACAAATCAATTGATTTTTTAGACAATGCAAATAATGATATTTAAAAGGATTATCAGTAATGCTTTATTATAATCTGAATATATCCCCATACTTTCCATATTTAATATGATCATAATATATTTAAGATTATAAGAAAGGTTCAATAACTTTGGCTATAGTTTATTAGTATGTTTTAACAAATTATTTATTTTCACAATTTTTAACAGTATTCAAGGTGCTTATTAATTAAGGAATAATGTTCAATTATGATCTTTAGTCAGTTAAGATCATGCAACAATTCTGCATAGTTAAAGTCTAAGCAAACAATATCAATAATTGCATAATGTGAAAATATTTCTAAAGCATCTAATCCTAATTAATATCTAATTATAATTCATTCAATAATAATTGTAAAACTTCTTAAGCAATAGTGACTCCATATCCTATAGATAATAAATTAATATCGCTTAAATAGTTGTGCATAAAGTTAGCCAATTTATCACCTCCAACCCATGTCAAATACTTAATTACAAATTCTATAAAAGTAATTTTTTTATTCTCATTTATTAATTATGGTGGTAGATCAACTTACAATTATCTTAGATATAATATTAATTAAGGGATTTTAATGATGAGCATTTCAATTATTCTTAATAATTGATCCCAACCATATAAATATATTCTATTATCATCTTTATATTGATTCAACTAAACTTTAAATATTTATTCTATCAATCTATAATTCTCTTCAAAAAACCTATCAATAGTTTTTTAAGCAATAATATTGACTAAATAAATAAAATTTTCATTCAATTATGGTTCAATTAATTATTCGATTTCAAATCTGATAACTATTTCTGTCTATGGTTGAGCTTACTATTCTTTTTCTTTCTCTTTCGATAATTTCTCTTATTCTTTTGTTAATTTACCTGTTGGCAAAGGTTATGATTATTTTGGGGCGTGAATCCTATTTAATTCTGAGAACTTATCAGTAATAGATAAACCTTATTGTTCAATTATCATATTATAGATAATAGGATTGTTAACTAATACAGGATGAAACGATAACAAGTATTGTAATGGACATTCTATAAATTTTTATGGGAATTGTAATTATTTTAGATCATCAATATTCTTTAATTATTAAGCATGCCAATCTATATGTTCATTTAGCATCACTTATTTCAAAATTTAGAAAATTAAATCATTAGTTGTTTTGCTATCTATGGCAACAAGATATATTAAGTTTTCAAGAAATACTGGTTAAGATTCTTCTTATTCTAAATGACTAGTTTAAATTTTTAATTATAATAATGTCTCCAATAATGATTATTTATTATTTGATGTTTTTTTGATTAACATATTAAATAACTTGTTTTAATTATGCAATCCAAAATTATTTAAACATTGTAATAATTATGATATTAATTATTTATCAAACATAAATCTTCTTTAAATTAATTATCTAAAATAAATAATATTTTGAGATTAATCTCTTTATTCTTTCAATGATTAAGTATCATTAATAAATGTGTCCAATTCATCAAGGAAATTAAAAGTTTATTATGTTTATTCTTACAATTCTAAATTGATTGTACAAATTTATATCAAAAATTCTAAATAGATTAGCATCTAACTCCAATATCTTTCAATTAATTAATCATGTTTGTTTTATAAATTCAAGAAAAACTTAGTAAGATATTTTTATGCCTCTAAAATTTCTTTACAGAATAATTTAATTGTATTTTATTTGTTTTCATATAAATTATTAAGATTATTAGTAATATTTTATGCTTAAATTAAAATTTCTTAGTAAGGTAATTCAGATATTTTTAGTTATTTTAATTATTATAGTTCTATATCTCCATTCTTTTTAAATTGATCAAAAATATCATTAGACAAAGCAAAACCTAATGTAATCATGGATTAAAATGATAAAACATATTTTTATTATGGTTCTTAATCTATTAAAGCTAAATTTTAATATAATTTTTCATGTTCCTAAGGAGCAATCTATTATAATATGTTAAGCCATTATAATGCTTTTTAATATTGTATCATAGTTGTATTTAAATCTTAAGATGATTTTTCTTTTTTTAAAGGATTTAATATCATAAATATATAATCTAAAATCTTATTTATATGTTATGATTTTTTGGCAATTGTAAATAAGTATTCTAATAAATTACCACTTAATTTTTGATTGTTTAATTATTAATCTAATATTTTATTAAGATTAGAATCTAATTTAACTTAAAAATCATTTATTAATGTTAAAAACCTTTCCAATATATTTAATTAAGTATTTGCTTATGGGAAATTTTATTATAATATTTTCATGAATTAATCTTAATCTAAGACTTAGATTTCATTTTTAATTTACTCTTTTTCTATTTGACTCTCTATTTTTTATATTTATTAAGCTAATTAATCTTAAATTAATTGATTTTATTCAGCCATCTTTATTTCTTAATCTAAAACATCTTCCTACTCTTCTTCATCATCAGAAATCCTTTCATTTATTAACATATCAATGATCATTGTAGGTTCAGGAATTTCAATTCTTTATAAAGCTTTTTTGATTAATGATTATTTGAATCCCATATCACATATATCATCAATCATTGCTTAAATTTCAGGTCTATCAAATAATGATTTCTTTTATTCTTATCGTATTTCATTTCCTGATAATAGTTAATTATTATCTTTATTTCCAATTACTTATTATTCTTTTGTTTCAGTTCCAGCTATCTTTCTCATTTCCTAGACTTATAAATCTTTGATTGAATAAAACCTCTATATTAATTATTCCAATAAAGTCTTTAAATTACCTTCACAATTATTGTAAAGCAATTAATCTATCATTTAATTAATTATTTATGCTTAAGATACAAAAAGTTCATTGCATACTATATCTAATTATAAAGGATCTTGAATTAATTATCCAGACAATTATATCTTATCAATAGAAATCTTCTTAAAAATTAATAATTTAATAATATTATCTATATGTTAATGTATAGCTTCTATAAATCCTGGTAAAATCTTTCTAGTAATCTCTTATTCTTTTGTTCCATTGAATTATTATTGTCTTTATGTGTTATCCAAATGTTATAGAATCTCAATCAATTATAAAAAGAAATTACTATTTTGAAAACAGATTACTGTAAATTATAATGGCTAATACTATTATTCTAAACTCAAAAATAAATTCTAAAGAAATTTGAATGATTTTAACATATCTTAAAAATATGTTACAAGAGATATAATTTATATTCCTTAAGCTTATTTAATTTATTAACATTTTTCTTAGAAATTTTGGAAGAATAATTAAGTTATTTCTCCATATTTCTTAATTACATAATCTTTTTATTCAACTTGTTATTATAATTTACCTATCAAATCCAAACAAGATGATTATAATGGAATCAAATTATCTTTGCTTATCCTTCTTCTTATTTATGTATCTTCATCATAACTAGTTTAATGTTTCTAAATCTATTATTTAGCAGACATAAACATCATAATGGATTCATGAAAACCTGCATGTTATGAAGATAAAAAATAGATTTCTAACAATTAAGAAATCATTAGATGAGTATCTTAATTTTAAGCTACACCCTAATTCACACACATCTTAATTAAATAATGAATCAAGTGAAAACGACTTAGTATATAGAATCCTCTATAAGTTTAAGGAGATATATGTTTGATGATTTTTCTAAAAAAATATTTGTCACTCATATGGATAGACAAAGCATCATAATCAACTAATTTGCCAATATCAATAATTTTCTAATCACCTATAACCATATAATTTTAAGAGATTAGATCTAATTCCTTCCATAAAGAAGTATAAGGATTTAACTTGTTTTTCTTACACAGAATACCAACATAGTGTTCAACATAAGTATCCTTGTTTTTACTACCTATTAGTATCGGACTCATTATTATCTTTTCTAATGCTTCTACAAATTTTTAATTCTTCAAAAGTGAATTAAATAATAAATCCTTTTATCTCTATGCTTCTTCTAATTATAATTCTTCATATCCTTAAAATGATCGATATGAAGATTTCTTCTCAGGTTGTAATTGCATGAATAATTATAATAAGGCTTGTAAGCTTTTTGAATAACTATAAAAGGATTATAACTTTTCTTAATTACTCACAATTTCCTCTATTTTATCTTTACTCAAATCTACCAATTATGATATTTGAACAAATGTATTTTCTATTACTTTTTCTATTTATTTTTTTGCTAACATACTTTAACTATACAACATAATAATCTTCTTTGCAAAATCATCACTTACTGAAGGATCATTTAATAATTCAATTGAAGGTAAATAACACTTAATAAATATTCTCTTAATCAAATTATCTTATTATTATTAATCAATATTGTTATTAGATTATAAAGTTAATGATATTGCTTATTCATTTGTACTTATTGCAATCAATAAATTTATTATTGTTACTATTAAAGGAGATGCTCTTGAACAAATCTTTAATAATTCAATAATTCTATTAATAAGATATTATAAACTATTGTTTTCATAGAATTATCTTACTCTAGCTGGATTCTCACCCATTGTTATTGCTAATTAGGTTATTAAATAGGTGTATAATGTTTCATTGAGTTCAGCTGTGTGTAGTGTATCTTCCAATATCTTGTTTGACCAGATTTCTGTAAGCAATTTGTGATATCTTTCAGGAACTGGCATCAAAAATTCAGATTAAGCATTTTAAATTTATACTTAATCAAATTCTAATTTATAGTATGTAATTAATTAATTTAATAATTGAAATGCTCTAATTTATAATTAAATTTATGATTTTTTATTACAATTTTTAAGAATTTCTATTAATCCTTAAATAATTTAAGTTTCTAATTAATAATCTAATTATTGATTTTGATTATTGCCTGGTAATTCAGTGATCAAATTAATACAATAACTTAATATTGGATTTAATATATAGAATGGTAATTAAGTTTGTCCATCTTATCCAAAAGATTTTCTTATAATTTGAATGATAATGTAATTCCATTATGTATAATTTGGTTATTTCTTGAACATCTATGTAAATTATTAATCAGATAATGATTAAAAGAATAATTGTTATAATTTAACATTTAAATTCATTCTATTATCATAGAAATTACCTTCATTGATTTAGAGTTCTTTTTTCCACCAAATTAATGTATCTTAAATTCCTTATAATTCAAATAACCATAATTTATCCAAGAATGTATTATGTTCATATAATAATACTTGCTTTGATTTAATAAATTGAAGACTTTCTACTAGAGTATCATTAAGTGATTCATCTTTATTACTAGCAATCATTCTTATTAATAATAATAAAAAGTCTTTTTGATCTATTAATCTATTAGTAATATCTGTCATATATTTATGATTAAATAATTGTAAATCAGAAAAAGTACATTTAAAATGAAATATATAATTACTGATAAACATCTTTTATAGTAATAGTTCATCATTAGAATATTAACAAAGTAATCTGATAAAGATTTAATCAAAGAGAATACTATCTTTTTATACTTTAATTTCTGATCCTATCTATAAACTTTAATCTAATGGATTTTTAGTAAAATCAAAAGGAATGTCTAAATTTATAGGTGGGGATTTGAGTATTTTTCTGAAATTACTCATCTCCAAAAATCTTTAATAATTATTCATATCTTCATTTGGGATTGTTATTTTAAGATTGTAATTATCAGTTTATAATTAAAACAATTCCTAATATTCCTAATCTGATAAATTGTAAATATTCTTTTATAAAAATGTATTAATATACATGAATCTTAAAAAGACTCTCTCAAATTATTCAACTAAAATTTATAGTTTATATATAAATACTTTTAAATTTACAAGCTTTAGATCCATTCATTGATTCAATCAAATATTACATGCATTACACCAATTTATATATTTTTTATAATTCATAATCTGGATTATGAAATATTAGTGTCAAAATATGCTCATAACTAAAAAACATATCAACTTTAGATTATTAAAATAGAAATACTTATTTTTGGGTTTGCAAACTTGATTATATAATCACAGCACTATAAACACAAATCCCATATTTAAATAGAATCAGATTCACCTAGCAATTGAACACAAAGAGTTTGGTCTTGATCTTGAAATAAGGCAACTGCTGCTTCAAATATTGCATCAATTGTTTCACAAATGATTCGTATATACTTTGGATCTTACAATTGTTTGCATTATGCAAAATCTTAAATTCTTTCTACAAAAGACTTCTTGGTTGTTTCAATCCAAGAGTAATCAGTTTAATCACATTGTTTAGATTTCTTATATCTTTTAATCATGCTATCATAGTAAGCTTAAGGAATTCGCATCTTTAATTTTAATTAATGAATAAATGCAATAATTTAAATATTTATATATAAAATTTGGCATAAATAATTTATTTAAATAATTATGCTCAGATTAGTGAGCAGAATGAGGTTCTGCGTAGCACAACGAAATTTCTTCGTTGTACCTCCCATGTATCCTGAAAAGGAAGACTTGGCATACAGACCTAAGATAACATCCTATGATGATTCACAAAAGCAATTAAATGCTGTGTATAAAAAGAAATTGTCAAAAATTAAAGCAAGAGTGACATAGTAAATTTATTAATTAAATTTAGACGAGTGAGAGAAATGTAGCCTAAATAAGAAATTAAATTAGAATCGAATTCAAAAAATGGTTAAGATTTACTATAAAATGTATTGAAGCATGTCTACATTGATGAAGAGACCAATTGTCCTTTAGGATTATTTTTTGATGATTTTGTTTATGATATCAAAATGAAAAGAGGACAACAATATGAAGCAGAATATAATCGTAAAGTTTAAGGATTGTTATCTTAAATGGTATTTGTATATGTTAAATATATAGAGAGTAATGTCAGAAACTGAATTATTACAAACATCTCAAGATTTATTGGTTAAAAGTGAAGCACCTGAATATATAGCAAAAGCAAGAAAAGTTGTTTTTGATAGATTTTTAGAAGGAATAAAAAAATTACCAGAAGAGGAAAGAAAGAAAATTTTAGGTGATGATGCTTAAGATTTTGATAAGAAATTAACTGATGAAGCAATTTTAAATAAATATATTGATACTAATTCTGTTAATGCAGTAGCTGAAGAGATGGCAAAAGAAAATTTGTAAAAGGATTTATAAGATTTTTAAATTTATGATCCTAAATATAATGATAAAAATTAATAACTCACTTTTGGAAAAGCTTATCTAAAAGAACTTGATTTCTATGAATCTGGATGCACTGTTGAAGAAATATCAGATGATGAACGATTATTAAAAATGAGATATATTAGACCATCTGATGGTTAAGAGGCATTATAAACAGAATAGTCTATTGTTGATAAAGTTAATTTAAATTTTGTAAAAAGAGCCTATTTGAAAAGATTAGCTGATAAATCATAAGAACCTAAAGAACCAAAAAAATTAATAAATGCTAAAGATTAAGAAGAATTAGAATTAAAACGATTAAGAAAATACTTTAAAAATTTAGATAAATAATCTTTAACACTTCAAATGAAAGCAAAATAAATTGATAAAAGAATAAATGATCCAGTCAAATTTTAAGATATTGTTAATAATATAGATTTTTTATTATTAGGTGCTCCTAAATTCATAAAAGATTTATATAAGGATCCAAATAATAAAATTAAAGGATATGAATCTGTATTTTAAGATTTAGAGAAAACAAAAGGATAAAGTCTATTTTGGAAAGATTTTAAATCTTCATTTGAAACTATCTTTCCTGAAATAAAACTCAATAAATAATAAGATACATTTGTAGATATTAAAAAATAACCATATAATAGACAGTATATTATAATTATATTTTAGTGTTAAAGAATTATTTTAAGAATAAGTAGATGAAGTGAAATAAGATGAATATCAATTTTCAATTGAATTATATAAAGAATTTCAATAACCAAGTAATTTAGAATTCTTCCATCATTATTTAACAAATATTTTCAAATTGAATAGAGAATAAATAAATGATGGATTATAAGCCTTTGGTGATAATACAAATCCATATACATATGAAGTACCAAGCACAGCAATGATGGCTGATGATGTAGATCCAGATTTTAAGGATGTTGTTGAAGAAGAAGTTAAGATTGAGGATTTCAAAGAAAAGAGTGCAATTTAGATTGATTAATTAATAGAAAAAGATTATAGTGAATCTTCTTTACTTTATTATGTAGGAAGAGGAAGAAGAAAGTCATCAATTTGTTATGTATAATTAAAGAAAGGAGTTGGAGAAGTTACTATAAATGGTAAAAATCTTATTAATTACTTTACTCATCCATTTTATAGAAGAACAGCATTAAGAGTTTTAGAATTAGCTCATTTATCATGTTTAGTTGATGTGAATGTGTAAATAATCTAAATAAAATCAATAGAGTAATAAGAGGAGGTAGTCAGTCAGCATAGTCTTAATGCATTTGCTCAGCTTTAAGTAGAGCCATCGTAAAAATGTGTCCTAGTATCAAAGGAATATTCAGAAAGTTATTGTTAACTAGAACAGATAGTAGATAAGTAGAAAGAAAGAAGCTTGGTTTATATAAAGCTAGAAAGAAGTATCCTTATAGCAGAAGATGAGATGTTATATTTTTATCTATATAATTGTATCTTAACATTCACATATAATCATCATCGCCATCTTCTATACCAAATTCTTCAAATTTCTTTTAGACTGCAATATCCATTTTGAATTCATCTTAATCATGTTAATGTTAATGAATTTATTGATCTACTTATTCTTCTTCCTCTTCTTCATCATCTTCATAATCAAATTATACTGAAACATATAAAATTGCTGCTATTCCAGTATAATTATTTAATTGTTTTCCAGAAGGATGTAAACTAGAGAATATAAATACTTCTCCACCCTTATTTTTGATTTCCTCTATTACTTTTAGCCATTATCTCCTTACTTTTGGATCTTTAGCTCTTGCCACTTTATCACTTATTAATAAAGTCTGAATTGCACCTAGACTATGAGCAAATTCAATGTCTTTCTTACCATAAGCCACTTTAGTTATATCTATTCTAAGTTATTAAAAGAATTTCTCCAAGATCATCACCTCTTACATAGCTCTAGAGATGTTATAATATTTTACTTTGTATTTTCTAATCTTTATTAAACTTATTGATCTTATAAAATTTCCATTAAACTATTCAAATATCCTGAACTTGATTTTACAAGAAAGATTTTATCTAACATTTTCTATTATCCTCTATATTTCTCTTCCTTTTAAAATGTGTTTCTAAGAAATACATAGAAATCATCTTTCACAAATCTATTATAATATAATTAAAATTATTACCCTGGTGATGCTACTATTAAACATTTTACTTATTCAAATAATGAATCTTATTCCAAAGCTGCCAAACATGCTCTAAAAAATTCTTCCATTCCTTTTTCTCTTTATTCATTTGAACTTCTTTTCTTAGTTATCTATTTTTCTACTTTTTATTTTAATCTAGTTGTTGCTGATCCTATCAAACATAAATGACCTACTCCTTCTTCCATTATAAATGCTGCCACTTCTGATTAAGTTTATTATTATTTAATCTAATCTAATATTGCATAATGAAATCTATCCCAATTTTCTTTGTATATTACAATTTATTAATTCAATTCAACTTCATAAGTATGAAATTAACCCAAAGATAACCAATGAGATTCCTAACAATTTCTACCTTTTATTGATAACAATAGATATTGATCTGCCCAATAATTAATTTCATGAACCTTTAAAAATACAAATATTCTTCTTTTCTCAGCTACTTTAGTACCAGTTTAACCTAATCAATATTATTTAAAATTACTTTCTTTCACTATCTTTCTATGAGTACTTGTTTTTATTATATCTCCAACAGACAATAAGTTATATAAATGCCAAAAATCATCATCTTCTTCTGGTATAACTTTTATGAATCCAACACCCTTTATTATTTTCTTGCTTAAAATTTTCATTAAAAATTAATTTCTTTATTAATTTCTGTAGAATTAATTAAAATATGAACTAAAATAATTAACTTCAAGAAGAAATTACTAAAGAACTCTTAACAATAAAATAAGATATTGAATTGAAAATACCTGAATTCATTAGATAAGGTTGTCTTGAATTGAAAGTTGATCAAATTTCATTATAAAAAAAGCAAGACATCATTAAGTGTCTAGGTGGTAATAAATATAAATAAGACAATCAATTCATTCCAAAATTAACTGAATGTTTACTTAGTCATTTATTAAGAATGAAAAAATGTAGTTTATAATCTACAAACATTAATCCAGCCAGACCCATATATTTAGGATAATTGATTACAATAACAATGTTTTATTATGAAGATAAGATCATAAAATCTTATTCAATTTTAGAAGAATTAACTAAATTTGTTAATAAATAAATTCATGTGTACTTTGAAGGTATACGTGAAAGATTAAAAATAATTAAAGATAAAGAATAATAATTATTAAATTAATTGAGAAATTCTCAATCCAATAATGATAAATAAAATGAAACACAATAAGATATTAATTTTTTAAAATGCTATTGTCATTCATAACCAGGTTTATATGTATAAATTAAAACTAAATTAAATACTTCAAAAATTCTAAAATGTAAAATTTGTTCATAGAATTTTCATGGATATTGTTTACAAATTAATAATGATATTCAAGATTTCATTTGTCCATATTGTACCCTTGTAATGTTAAATCCTTAAAATAAAGTAATTGATTAAATAGTTTAATCTACATTTTAATAGTTTCTTTAATACAAAAATGAAAAACATTTCTTATTTAATTGTCCTGTTAAACATAAAGGATCTTAAATAGAGATTAGATGTTTAAGAATAGATGGTAAAGATGGATTAAATGAAATTACTTGGCCTGATTATGGAGAATTATAAATGAATGGTGTTAAATTAGCTGAATTTAAACCATTAAGTATTAATTATAGTGTTAAGAAACGTAAAGATGATTCAATTAATATAACTAATCATATCAAACATAATGAATAGAATCGTATTACTTTAATTGAATATAAATCTAATGAAGACTTGAAAAAATAATTTAGAATTTAACATTAATGTATTTATTTTTTAGGTATATTTTCAATTAATTAATTGAATGCAAAAGAATTCTTATTGGATGTTAAACAATATCATAAAAATTATTTAAGTATTGAAGATTCATTTAAATTATTTAAATAAGAATGCTCTACTAATAAAGATGTCAAAATAAAATCAATTAGAATTAGTTTATTATGTCCTATAACTTTATAATTAATTAATATTCCAGCTAGAGGTAGATTTTGTAATCATTTATAATGTTTTGATTTAGAGAATTTTATTACAGCAATTGATGATTAAAAAGATAAAAAAATATGGAAATGTCCTATTTGTAAATTAAAATGTTTTAAATTCTTAATTGATGACTATTAATAAGTGATTTTAGAATTAATTTCTGAAAATAGTTTATCAAATAAAGAGGTTGAATTTAAAGAGAATGGAGAAATAACAGATATGATATTAAGAGAATTATGTAATTAAAGACTTAAAAATCAATATTAAATAAATGATCGAATAAAGAAACAAATTAAAACTGACTGACTTATAATTTAATCAAATATCCTAATAATCGATAAGTTCATCATTAGTTCCTTCTTCTTATTATTCCTTTTTAAAACAATTTTCCTATTCAATCTATAAAATAATTTAATTTATATTCTCAATTGCCTGTTCCTCTTTTAATAATATAAGAGGTTAATTTTTATGATATTAGAGAATTGATTAAATTTCATTTTTGAATTCATTAATATCTCTTAATACTAAATATAATTTAATAAGTATAATACTTAAATTTGTAACATCATCTTCGAATTCATGTGTTTTTGAACTACTATCTAGTATTGATTGAATTTCCCTTGATTCAAAAGTTGATTCTGTTGAACCAGTAATGAGATTTTGGAAATCCTGCTACATAGTAATTTCATCTAGATTTTCTGAAAATCCAATGTCTCTTTTATTAGGTTTAAAAAACCATAGAGATTTATATTCTAATTCATAGATTAAAGTTGAATTTTTATTTAATATGATCTTTTTGCTTAATTTATTAAAGCATAAATAATTTGAAATGTTGAATTGTTATGAGAGTATCTTATTTATAACTTAATCGATTGTAAAAATCAAAGGAACAACCTTGGTTAGATATGTAAAAGAATCATCTTCATTTTAAATCAAGAACTCCATTTAAGTCATATCTACTGGTATTACAAGTTCTTTAGGTAATTCTTCAATATCATGTTATGACAGAAATGTAAAGTCATAAACAGTACTTTTTTTGATATTATTTATTTCAATCGTGTAAATGGGTAAACAAGGTCCTATAAAACAATTATGTTAATAAAAACCTCCTTTAATGTGTTGCATCAGAAAATTCCATAATTCTGAGCATACGAAATGAACCTAATTGCGTTTATCTACTTTGAGAACTTGCTCTTACGAATTTTATTTTATTATTTAAGGATTGATGTTGAACTCTATTTAAAAATTTTTAATCAAGCCTTATAATGATTATGATTCTTCCTAACAAATACTATAACAATTATTGATTAAATTACCAGAGAGAATAGTTATCTATCTAAGTGAAAATAGAATTGGAGCAATATAATTCATCCTAAAATTATTCAAACCTATAAATAGCATATTTAGACAAGATACCATTTTAAACTCACAGCATATAATCGAGGACTTGATAGATCATTAGGAATATCAAGAAATTTCTCTATAAAACTCATTTTATTTTATATTATTATTTATACTATACTTTATCAATCGAATAAGCCACCCATATCAACATCTTCTTCAGGTTCTTCAACTTTAGCTGGAGCTTGTTAAACTGGTTTATCTTCAACCTTGGCAGCTACAGGAGCTGAAGTTGTAGCTGGAGCATTAGATTATTTAATTTAATCAAAAATAAATCCTGATTATAATCCAATAGCAGCCAAATCCTTAAAAGCATTAGCTAATACATATGGAGCTGAACTCTCATTCACCCATCCTAAAAATATGATATATCATAATACCATTAGCTAATGAGATAGCAGAAATATTTGTAACATTCTTTTAGAATTTAGCAAGAATATCATTCAAATTAACAGATACTTATTATTTATTCAAAATAGATCCATTATCATAACAAGCTAATACTTCCATTCCATATAAAAATGGTTTCTTTCCCAATTTTTATAATAAAACAGCTTATGATTAACCTACTTTTTATCCTGTTTTTAAAACCACAAAGTCTTTGGTAATTTAGATTTATCCTTTTTCAATTTTAGTTGGAATTTATAATGCATGGAAGAATTGAATTGAAGCTGGATCCATACCAGTTGGACCAGGTGGAATAACAACATCAATTGGAGCAATAGCACCAACTCTAGCTGGTGTTTCAACTTTATTTTCTTCAATGACAGATTTAAGATCAAAGACTGGTGTATCAGTGAATATGAATCCTATTTTACCAGCAACTTAATTTTTTAAGACATCTAATTCTCTAATTGCAGCACCAAATTTTTTCAATTCATCATAATATTCATGGGTTTCTGGTAAATCTTAAACTCTTGTTGCCAAAACTTTCTTAAATAATGTCTAATTATAGATATGGTTCAATACATTCTTTCCAATCACAAGAAGAGCATTTCTCTTTGCCAAAATTCTTCTAATGTCTTATACTTATTTAGATCCAACATTAGCTAATCCAACAATAATTACTTGTTAGTATTTTGATAACAACTCATAAATCTTTCTAAAAGTAATTTACAAATGAAATACTTGAATTAAGCAGGCTTTTTATCTTTTGTTTCCTTCTTTCCCATTATTTATTTAAAAATAAGATTTCTTTTTTTTTTATAAACAATTCAAGTTTTATAAACTTTTATATTTCATGCTCTGTACCATTGAGTTATAATTTAATTAAGCAATTTTTTCACCTATTATTAATTGGGATTAATATCTTTGATTGGATTTATAAATTAAATTTTAAGAAAGAAGAAGAATCATTTAAATTGTTATCAATATGCAAATTATAACTCTCAATCTAAATTGCCTGTCATTAGTTCATATGTATGCATCAACCCAAATATGATAAACACTATTCCTCCAACCAAATTAACAGTCTTCTCAGAGATTTAATGAGCTAATAGTTTTCCTCCAACTACAGCTATAGTAGTACAAATTAAATGGCCTATGCTGCATCCTAGAAATACGATATCTGCATCTTAAACAGCTGCTAAACTTATTGTAGTTATCTAACTTCTATCACCCCATTCTCCCAAAAATGTCATGATAAATGCTTACCATACAATTTATTAAATTGGTACAACAGAAGCCAAATCTATATATAGATATGAATAATTACTTGTTTTTTATCCTTCTGTTGGATTTTCAGGATCAATTATTTTGTGGCTACTTAACAATTTTTTGTCCAATTCTTCTAGCTCCATTTCTACTTATTTCAATTCTTCCTTATCTCCTTCATTTTCCATATGATACCAATCAAAGAGTAATTTACCTCCAAAGAAGTAAAAAATAATTGTCACAACAATTGCAGTATAAAAGCGAGGCAAGAGAGTTGGAACAATAATACCAAAAGCACAACTAATTGCTGTCATTAAGACTAAAGCTCCTGCTGCTCCAGCAAATACAGCCAGTCTATTAAACTTCATTGATAAAATTGCTGCTAAGAAGAAAGTCTATTTTTAAATTTGATTTACTTTGTCTCCAATTTCTGAAACCAACATAGATCCTATTGATTAAGTAAGAATTGTAAGATGTTTTTCACCTGATTCTTTACAATATCCTACAAATATCAAACATATCAAAATAAATGTTCTTAATGACATAATAAATGATTTAATATATATAATTCATTTTTACTATTTTTCTAATAAATCATTATAGGGTTAAAGTATGCGCTTTAAATCCTACCCAATTTATTTTAATGACACTATATTAGCTTTAACATTGCAATAAAATATCAAAATTGAATGTGTCCAAATTTCAAAATAAAGAATCCATTCACTAAGTTTACAAACCATTCAATACTCATAAACTAATGTAATTTGTTTTGTTTCAGAATCAGAAAGTTTTCTTAAATTTTCATTGCATTATTGAATAGCCACCACATACATCAATGATTATGCACCTGTTCTCAACTTGTTATTTTCATTTTAAAATGCAGCTATAATTCTAAGTTTCTCTATATTTATTACTCTATTCCTTCTTTATCCATTAAAACAATTCCTTCTATGAATGGATTGTTCTATAAAAACTTTTACAACACAGGATTATTTTACATTATATATTAAAATATATATATATAATTATATATTAATTAATATCAAAAAGACTCTAATTTATTATCAAAAAGAATATTAATAAGATATTTCAAATATAAATCAATTTTAAATTTCATTTCATCCACATTTTTATTAATGATTTAATATATAATATTTATGTTATTTAATAATCTATATATAAATCAATAAGAAAATAAAGTAATTTAAAACATTATTACTTAAATAATATAAAATCTCAAATTTCCATAGATACAACATGTCCAAAAGCAGAAAATTTTTGTTCCATGATAACTATTTTCATACCTTAAGTCAAATATTCACTTTAATATTTAAATCTCAATTTTAATTATAATGATTCTCCTGATTTAATTTCAAATACATTTATTTCTAAATAAACATATAAAAATACTTTATTAAATTTTAATTTTTTTTGATTTATTTTTTTCAATATACTTTTATGATGATGAAACAACTTTACCTTCTACAGATTTTGAAGGTTTTCTTGTTAAACTAGGTTGTTTAACCAATAAATATTGATTTTCACAATGATTTTCTAAAATTAAACAAATTTATCTAATTTAATATTTAATTACTTGGAATATGGTGTATGAACTAATAATTCATGAGATTGTGATAAACATATCTTTTCATTAGGATAATTATATTATTAAGTTTAATTTATGGATATCAACTCTTATTATTATTATTATTATTGAAATTATTTCCATCCTGCTGCAAAAAATTATAAATTAACTATAAAAATTGTGTAGCTATTAGGTTTAAGTTTAGCATCAACTAATACCATTCCTCTTCTTATTGGATTTTCAGCAGTTCCAAAGTTTTTTTTATAAGAATTAATAAGTTAAAATTAGACTGTACATAATTGACCACTTAAAGCAGACTTCACTTTAACTCTATTAGATTAAAGATTTTGAACTTAAACAGGATAAAAATTACCCTATTTATCAGGACCAATTAATAAAGATTATCCTTTTTTAATAATACCTTTAGTAACTGTTCCTCCTAAGATTAATAATTTTCTATCTTATACTTGAATAATTCCTTTATTAGATTTTAGAATTGACTAAATTTAATTAATAATAATTACATCTTCAACAGTAAANAGCTTTAACATTGCAATAAAATATCAAAATTGAATGTGTCCAAATTTCAAAATAAAGAATCCATTCACTAAGTTTACAAACCATTCAATACTCATAAACTAATGTAATTTGTTTTGTTTCAGAATCAGAAAGTTTTCTTAAATTTTCATTGCATTATTGAATAGCCACCACATACATCAATGATTATGCACCTGTTCTCAACTTGTTATTTTCATTTTAAAATGCAGCTATAATTCTAAGTTTCTCTATATTTATTACTCTATTCCTTCTTTATCCATTAAAACAATTCCTTCTATGAATGGATTGTTCTATAAAAACTTTTACAACACAGGATTATTTTACATTATATATTAAAATATATATATATAATTATATATTAATTAATATCAAAAAGACTCTAATTTATTATCAAAAAGAATATTAATAAGATATTTCAAATATAAATCAATTTTAAATTTCATTTCATCCACATTTTTATTAATGATTTAATATATAATATTTATGTTATTTAATAATCTATATATAAATCAATAAGAAAATAAAGTAATTTAAAACATTATTACTTAAATAATATAAAATCTCAAATTTCCATAGATACAACATGTCCAAAAGCAGAAAATTTTTGTTCCATGATAACTATTTTCATACCTTAAGTCAAATATTCACTTTAATATTTAAATCTCAATTTTAATTATAATGATTCTCCTGATTTAATTTCAAATACATTTATTTCTAAATAAACATATAAAAATACTTTATTAAATTTTAATTTTTTTTGATTTATTTTTTTCAATATACTTTTATGATGATGAAACAACTTTACCTTCTACAGATTTTGAAGGTTTTCTTGTTAAACTAGGTTGTTTAACCAATAAATATTGATTTTCACAATGATTTTCTAAAATTAAACAAATTTATCTAATTTAATATTTAATTACTTGGAATATGGTGTATGAACTAATAATTCATGAGATTGTGATAAACATATCTTTTCATTAGGATAATTATATTATTAAGTTTAATTTATGGATATCAACTCTTATTATTATTATTATTATTGAAATTATTTCCATCCTGCTGCAAAAAATTATAAATTAACTATAAAAATTGTGTAGCTATTAGGTTTAAGTTTAGCATCAACTAATACCATTCCTCTTCTTATTGGATTTTCAGCAGTTCCAAAGTTTTTTTTATAAGAATTAATAAGTTAAAATTAGACTGTACATAATTGACCACTTAAAGCAGACTTCACTTTAACTCTATTAGATTAAAGATTTTGAACTTAAACAGGATAAAAATTACCCTATTTATCAGGACCAATTAATAAAGATTATCCTTTTTTAATAATACCTTTAGTAACTGTTCCTCCTAAGATTAATAATTTTCTATCTTATACTTGAATAATTCCTTTATTAGATTTTAGAATTGACTAAATTTAATTAATAATAATTACATCTTCAACAGTAAAACTTTCAGATTCAATTGATGGTTATTCATCATTGATTTATTTAATTAGAGCAATTTCAAAAGTTTAATGAATACCAAATTCAACAGGTTAAGTATTATTATTAGTAAATTCATTTCTTAATGGTAATTGATTTAGAAATTATAGAAATAAGTTATGTGTTTTATATTCTAAATTAGATAAAATAAAAACTGGAATTACTGTTTCCTTTTCATATTAATCAATTATTTATTTACTAAATAACATAACATCTTCAGTAGATCTTACTAAAATAATAGGTATAGTTTTTATAATATGTTATTTTAACTTTTATCTAATATTAAATAATAATATTTCTAATTCATAGTCATCTTTTAATTTATCAGCATGAGTAACTACAATAAAGATTGGAATTTATTAAGATAATGTTAATTTTAATTATTAAATAAAATCTGTTCCTAATTACTAAATAGCATTAATTACTAACATGAAATAATTAGGAAATTGAGATTAAATATTTTACATTGCTTCATTATTATTACAATGTTGTCTTTCTAATAAATCAATAAAAGTTATTATTTTTGTTGCATTTTCAAAAACATATTCATCTTCTTTTTCCTATCCCAATAAATTTATTTTATTCACTACTTTTCCTTTACTATCAAATCCAACAACTTATCTAAATAATTTACCAAATTATTATCTTCCAATATTAGATTTTCCTGTTGTAATCATTCCAATTAAAGATGACTTTCCTGAATTCACCTATCCTAACATTACTACTCTAATATCAGTCTTAATTGAATCCTATAATCTTCTTCTCACCATGAATTCAGCTATCTTTTATGAATTAGTTCTTCCTTAATGCATCTTCTATAATATGATTTCAGCTTTGTTATTATTTGCAAATTTAATAAGCCATTATATTGATACCAACATTTCATTTAAATTTATACCAGTTGGAGTTCCATCATCTTCAACACCAACTCTATAATATGCAATACCTTTTCCTTCATCTAATCTATTCATTTATATTTAAGTAATTTACCTAAATTACATTTAAGTAGTTCTATGTTCCATTTTACATTAATCAACTTTGATTATTTTTAATTTGTATTCACAATTCCCATAATATTATTCTGGAGGATAATTTTTGAAAGAATGAGTTAAGGCATACTAAAATATTATCTATAAAGTTTACTTATTCATGTAAATATTAAGATAAATTTATTGGCATTTCTTAATTACCATGCAAAATATTTATGTAAAAGTTTTACCCATCAGTATTTATTTTATTAAGTGAAGTCATTCTTGTTAATTCTAAAGTTTAATATTCATCTTCCTCAAGCTTTTATTATTTATTCTTCATAATTTATTCAATATGTTAATCAGGACTCTTTGATTTAGCTTGCTTTTTCATATTATTTTTATTTATCAAACTAATCAAATTTGTTTTTATTTAATCATATATATATAAATTATGCATTTAAATCTCAATAACAAAAAATATTTTTATAGTAAATTTAATCTTACATTTAAATCATTTTACATTTATATAAATACTATTGTTATACAATACTTCCAATAACTTGTAATTACTATATTCAAAGTAGATAATTTATAAAATAAAATTTTTATATTCTAGTTGTTCTATAATTTATAAGATACTATTTATTTAATAACTTATTTCGACTATAACTTTATAATTTAAGCCAAATAATTAAGGAACAACTAGAATTCATAAATTTAATTACAAAATAATAAAAATAATAATTATTATCTTATATAAATATTCTATATTCTATTTCAATAATAATTATTTAAGATTTATTATAATAATTATATATATNTTACTAAATAGCATTAATTACTAACATGAAATAATTAGGAAATTGAGATTAAATATTTTACATTGCTTCATTATTATTACAATGTTGTCTTTCTAATAAATCAATAAAAGTTATTATTTTTGTTGCATTTTCAAAAACATATTCATCTTCTTTTTCCTATCCCAATAAATTTATTTTATTCACTACTTTTCCTTTACTATCAAATCCAACAACTTATCTAAATAATTTACCAAATTATTATCTTCCAATATTAGATTTTCCTGTTGTAATCATTCCAATTAAAGATGACTTTCCTGAATTCACCTATCCTAACATTACTACTCTAATATCAGTCTTAATTGAATCCTATAATCTTCTTCTCACCATGAATTCAGCTATCTTTTATGAATTAGTTCTTCCTTAATGCATCTTCTATAATATGATTTCAGCTTTGTTATTATTTGCAAATTTAATAAGCCATTATATTGATACCAACATTTCATTTAAATTTATACCAGTTGGAGTTCCATCATCTTCAACACCAACTCTATAATATGCAATACCTTTTCCTTCATCTAATCTATTCATTTATATTTAAGTAATTTACCTAAATTACATTTAAGTAGTTCTATGTTCCATTTTACATTAATCAACTTTGATTATTTTTAATTTGTATTCACAATTCCCATAATATTATTCTGGAGGATAATTTTTGAAAGAATGAGTTAAGGCATACTAAAATATTATCTATAAAGTTTACTTATTCATGTAAATATTAAGATAAATTTATTGGCATTTCTTAATTACCATGCAAAATATTTATGTAAAAGTTTTACCCATCAGTATTTATTTTATTAAGTGAAGTCATTCTTGTTAATTCTAAAGTTTAATATTCATCTTCCTCAAGCTTTTATTATTTATTCTTCATAATTTATTCAATATGTTAATCAGGACTCTTTGATTTAGCTTGCTTTTTCATATTATTTTTATTTATCAAACTAATCAAATTTGTTTTTATTTAATCATATATATATAAATTATGCATTTAAATCTCAATAACAAAAAATATTTTTATAGTAAATTTAATCTTACATTTAAATCATTTTACATTTATATAAATACTATTGTTATACAATACTTCCAATAACTTGTAATTACTATATTCAAAGTAGATAATTTATAAAATAAAATTTTTATATTCTAGTTGTTCTATAATTTATAAGATACTATTTATTTAATAACTTATTTCGACTATAACTTTATAATTTAAGCCAAATAATTAAGGAACAACTAGAATTCATAAATTTAATTACAAAATAATAAAAATAATAATTATTATCTTATATAAATATTCTATATTCTATTTCAATAATAATTATTTAAGATTTATTATAATAATTATATATATTTATATAAATCAATCATCCCAAATAGTTTCTATAAATTATTTTTATTATTCAGGTGTAAGTTATAAAAAAGACTTTGGTTTATTATCTTCATCATAAAATAAATCTTATAATTATCTTATGGAATTTTATTAGAAAATTGTAAGATTTCTAGGTGTCAAATAAGGTGTTTGATATAATGACCTAGAATTCTAAAAATCTAGACATTATTCTTCATCGTTGTCATCACATTAACATATTAGATCATGATTCAAAATGAGAAATTTTTGACCTAATTTTCTGTAAATGTAAAATGAATACATATAACTGAAGATTTGAGATGTGTAAAAAAAGAATTCAAAAAATTATAAAGTTTTCTTCTTCTTTTTAAACCGTTCTCTTTACGAGTATAAATACATTTTTTAATAATGGCCACTCTCATTTAAAGATGTTTGTGTATTTCCAATTATGTTTTGATTTCATTTTAAAGTGTCACTTAATATTTGAATAATGCCATTAATCTCTATTTAAGTTATTCATGTTCATGTTATAATTCACTTCTCTTTTTATTATCTTCTTTTTTCGACTTTTTAATTGTTCGTTTCTCTGCCATAATTTATGTAAGATTAAGCGAACTTTGAGTAAAATTTGGATTAATAAAAATAGTAAAACCATTTTCATCTTTAGTACTTTTAAAATTGTAAAGATTCATCTATTTAGTAAAACTCTTATAGGATGTCTATTTAAAAATGTTGGGTAGGATATCACTAATCAATTATTATCGATTAATAATTTTGATAGCATCTTTATCGACAGTCCATTGAATAATATTATATGCTTCACCAGACTAGTTACAATTGAATATACCTCTAATAAATCGAATAATTTTTCGAGGAATAATTTTGGTTTTTATTTTTCTTACATTTTAATTAATGAAAGTATTTGCAAAAGGGTTGAATTTTATGGGGTAATTGGGATAAGGTAATTTTAAAAGTCTAGAACAATTTGCACTAATACCTGATTTATAAAATATGGGAATAAAATAATTAGAAGCTAATATGACATAATCATTTGCATTATTATAAGATGGTTAATTATTACATTGGGGTTGGTAATTAGATACAATGACTGAAAATAGAACACTCTCATTTTATAAGAGAAATCCTACTCTATGTAAATTATGGCAAGTATTCTAATTAAAATCAATATTAGAAATATTCTCCTCTTGGTACTATGTTATCAATGAGAGGTGGAATTGTTCAACCAGTTTTATTAAATAAACCTATTATTGATGCTCCAATCAAATCATTTTAAGTTGGAGGTAGTTTTATTATAATACAAATGAATGATGGAGTATGTTATGGGATGGGTGAAAATTATAAAGGATAGTTGGGAAATGGTGAATTAAAGTATTAATTTTAGTTTAAATAATTGTAATTGCCAACTAAAGATAAGGTGATTTAAGTAGGATGTGGTTATTAACATAGTTTATTATTGACTGAAGGAGGAGTTGTTTATGGATCTGGTAAAAGAAATCATTATTAATTTATTGAAACAAGAAAGAATGATTAAGATTAAATATATGGTATTGATTAAAAAGTTAATAGTTATTATTAGTTGAATTTACATAACATAGATAGTTGATGGATATTAGAAATCAAAAGATTTAAAGAATTAGTTCTGGTGCTCATCATACAATTTTATAAGTTTCTGATAATAGAATTTATGCTTGTGGTTTAAATATTTATGGATAATGTGGAATGAATAATGAAATTGATAGAATAAAAGAACCTACAGAAGTGTTTTTAGATTTATAACCAAATGAATCAATATAATAAATAGTTTCTGGATAAGCACATAATTTAGTATTAACTAGCAATAATAGATTAATATTTTTTGGTTGTCTATTGCATAATTAAATGGGAGTTAAATCTAAATTTGATTTTGAATTTAGTGGTCAAACAGAAATTAATTTACCACTTGAATCTGATGAGAAGATTGTTAAGATATATGCTAAATTTGATAGATCTGCAGTTATAACAAGTAAAGGAGATTGTATAATTTGGGGTGGATAAGATTTAAGATATATGGATATACCATATTATGAAACATACACTAGATTAATACCTGAATTGGGATTGGAAAATATTAAGATTTAAGATATTGCATTAGGTTTTAGTCATATTATGGTTTTAACTGATTGAGTAATATAATTTATTATTCATCTTTATCATTTGATCATCTATTCTGAATTAGTTTATTATGTTTATTAGATATTTGACATCTTTTTAAGATTGGATGTAGTTCTCCATTTAAATGCCCAATTTTTTATCATCATTATCGAACTTAATGAATAAGCATTATCAATATCTGTTTAACCTATTTCCATATCAGTTTACTCTTCTTTATTTCTATATATTTTAACAATCATTACATTTCATCCCATAAATTCATATTCTATGCATTCAACCATGGATGTTTAGCTATTTCAGGTATCTTTGGTCTATTCTTAGGATCTTTTTATAAAATAAATTACAAAAATTCTTTTAAACCATCACTAATATCATTTCTTTAAGGAAATGTAATTCTAATAATTTTATTAATATTTATACTCATTATTAGCAATATTATGAAGTATATCAGGAATAGATGAACCTGTAAATGGAACATCTAAATAAACAAAAGCAAAAAATGTTATTCCTAAAGCCCAAATATCAGCAGATTTACCAGAATAACCATCTTTAACTCTATCTTTATCACAAGCTTCAGGAGGCATGAAATAATAAGTTCCTTATGTATTATCCAATACATCATTTTTACTTCCTACCATTGTAGAAACACCAAAATCAGCAATTTTAGCAGTTTTATTTTCAGACAAGAGAACATTTTATGGTTTTAAATCTCTATGAACAACACCATTCTTATGCACTTTAAAATATAATTAAAGAACTGTTACAATAATTGAGACCCTTAATACAATCACGAAATATTTAATTAAGTAATGGTTCATCAAGTACAACAGATTCATTAACCTAATAAAACTTGCATTCATCATCATCCCATTCAATTACTTATCCACCATCAGCATACTCCAATACTAATAATGAGATAATAAATACCCATAAATAGTTTATCATTGTTTGGATTATCAATAACTTCAAATAATTGAATTAAGTTCTTATGTCTTAACTTCTTCATTATAGCAATTTCTCTTCTTACATCTTATAATGCATCCTTAATCACCATATCTAATTATATAGTATATCCTACTTCCCTTAGCATCCTTAATATACTCTCTTTATCGTTTTAGTTTACTTTTCCTCATGATTTTAATAGCATATTTTTAACCACTTGATCTTTTGAATGCCAACTTGACTTTACCAAATGCTCCTTCTCCAAGGAATTCATCAAATATATAGTCATTAATCATTTTCACTCCCTTAAACTTAATAATTAGTTTACATCTTCATTAGTTGTCTTTACCAGTTTTTAAGTTTCCCTAACTTTCTTCTTCTTCTACAAAAATCTATACAATTAGCTTACTTAAGGTATTTTTAACTTCTTTAAAGAAGTTTATTTCATAGTTTAAGATTAAGGTTAAGCTGTTTCACAGGGATGTACTTCAATTTATGTAGGTTCAGGTTGCACTCGTTTCGACTTTTCACATACACATCCCATTATTAATTTTAATATTCATGAATGACTATCCTGATTTCTTATTTGATATCTTTGTATTTCAAGAATAATGATATTGCTATTGTTATAACCTTAAAATAAGAAGACAAGGCAATTGATAACACTTAAAGTAATAGTTTATATATCTAAGTTATTAAGAAATAATCACTATAACAATCTATTGAAGAACTATTGAAAAATGATAACATTTTATAATAGTCATCATATCACAAAGTTATGAAGTTTTAAGTATAGTTTATGAGATTGATGTGTTGATTTTTATAATAGATTAAATACATACTTTATCTTAGAATCATTAATTTATTTATGATAATCAAATATTAAATTAATAAAGGATTAAAAAATAATGAAATCAATCAATTATTCCTAGTCCTACTAAATCATCATAAACTCTAAAAATATACATTACATAGTTTTTGAATAATTAATAATAAAAGAGATCCAAATAATTTAACATTATAATAAATGATTATAAATATCATCAAATGTTCTTATAAATATTTTAAGAAGAATTTATGCAGAATAATTCTTATATTTTTGATATATTATGAAAATATATTCTAATTTTTTTATTATATATGTTAATTTTATTCATAATCTCATAATTAATTGAGTATTCCTCTTCTACTTTGTTGGTGTATACTTTTGGAAATAGAGATTTATTATTAAATACAACTAAATACTCAATTGCAAATTTTGGAAATGTTCCATATGGATAATAATTGCATGGATAATTGTTTATGCCACCATTACAACAATCTGATCTTTTAATTGGATAATTTTGTGATCTAAAGACCATTAATTCTTATAGTCCTTACTTTTCTTTTAAGCCTGATAAATGGATCATTAGTAGAGTTGGAGGTTGTTCAATCACTTAAAAAGCTATACTTGCTTAAAAGTTATAGGCTAAATTACTTCTAATTTTTGATGATAAAGCAGATGATAATTCTGAATTATTTATAATTGATGATGGTAATGGATACTAAATTTATATACCTGTAATTATGATTAGATAAAATGAAGCTAACATTCTATATAAATAATTAGCAAATGATCAACCTGGAGGTTCATTAAATGCACATATCAAATTTAATTAAATCATTCAAACTTAAAAACCTTAAGTGTTGTTTGGATTAGATATTAGTAATAGAGACACTTTTAAATTAATTAAGAATTTTAAGAAATATTATGACGAATTAAAAGACTTTATTGATTTTGATATTTTTTATCATTTGTTTTAATGTCCAAGATGTAAACAATAAAATTATACAGAATAATAAATTGATTGTATAAACAATGGTAGGTATTGTTAATTAGACTCAAATGATTATGAAAATGGTAATGGTGCTGATATAGTCATGGAATAATATCGTTAACTATGTTTATGGCAATTAAATCATACATATTGGTGGAGATATATGGTAATAAATAAATTTATAATTCAAATAGAATTATTTTAGTTCTTAATGTAGTCAACCTAAATAATTTTAAAGTTGTTTTGAATTTTATATATCTGAAGACATTTAAAAAAATTTAAGTGAATGTCTTATTTAAAGAAATGGATAGATTGAATTATTGGAAAGATAATTCCTACTCTAAATGAAATCTGGTATTGTATATTTTCCTGGTCTAACAATAAATGGGAAAATATTCAGGGGAAATATGGATGTTGATATTATTAAGAATGCTCTTTGTTCATCATTTAAAGATTTGACAAATATTAGTGTTTGCAATAATCAATTATTATTAATAGAAGAACAAACATCTTATAAATGGTTAATAATCCTAGTTTTATGCATGATAATTATATTTTTATTGTTTATCTTTTTTATTTTTAGAGAAATGTTGAAAAATCAAATGAAATAACAAATGAAAGCCCAAATTGAATAAGCACTTAATGAATACATTTAATATTATGAAAATTGATAATTATTTATGTATCATTATGTTAGTATTGATCTTACTTCATAAACTTATGAGAAATAATTTAGAACTATTAGAAATAAATTAGTATTAAGAATACCTAAATCAAAATAGTTGAATACAAATAAATTATTTTATTATAAGTATTTAATACTATGAGTATACATTTTGTGAAGCATTTTCAAAAATTATTATTATAATTAAATCGAAAATTATCTATTAAAATCAAGGGTCAAGCCTCTAATATTTTCTTAATAGTATTTATATAATCATATTATAATCAGATTTGCTAATCAATTTGCTATGTCTAATTTATAATTTTATCCATTTAGTTCAATTATTTAGATTTAATCATTTTTATGAATAGATTCACTTTCTTATTAGAAACTATCTAACAGTACCAAATTTTCAATAAAATCTGAAACTAATATAACAATTCTTAATTTTAAGGATAATAAAATATTAAATTACAAAAACTGAAATAAATTACTAATCTAATGTAAATATAAATTATAATCACAGTTTTGGACCTGCATTAATAATTTCTATGGTTGCTTTATCTTCATATTTTTTGAAATTGATCTAAAATTTTTAAGCTAATTCTTATAATTGTTTATCAAATTCATCTGGATTTCTAAATATATTAAATAAAAAAGATACTTCCATGTATTTCTTGGATTAAGAATTTCTGAAGGAATATTCTTCGCAACCTTAGGTATTCTGAAATTGAAAATAGCAAAATTTTCAAATTCAGCATCTTTCAATTCTCCACTATGGATAAGATCTATAATAGCTCTTGTATATTTCAATGACATTCTCTATCCAACTCCATATTTTCCACCAGACCAGCCAGTGTTGATTAACCATACTTTTGTATCAAATTTCTTGATTTTTTCAGCAAGCATATTAGCATAAAGAGTTGGATGTAATGCTAAGAAAGCTTCTCCAAAACAAGCAGAGAATGTTGCTTATGGTTCTTTGACACCTACCTCAGTTCCTGCTACTTTGGCAGTATATCCAGAGATAAAATGATACATAGCTTATTCAGGTGTCAACATAGAGACTGGAGGTAAAACACCATAAGCATCACAAGTCAAAAAGAATATATTTTTTGGATGTCCACCTTAGGCTGGAAATTTAGTACCTGGAATGAAATCTAAGGGATAACTCACTCTTGTATTTTCAGTAATAGAGATATTTGAATAATCTACTTCTCTGGTTTGATTTGAAAAATATTCAATGTTTTCTAAAACAGCTCCAAATTTAACTGCATTGAAAATTTCAGGCTCTTTTTCTTTAGATAGATCAACACATTTAGCATAACAACCACCTTCAATATTAAAAATTCCATTATCAGACCAAGCATGTTCATCATCTCCTATTAATTTTCTCTTAGGATCAGCACTTAAAGTAGTTTTGCCTGTACCACTTAACCCAAACAATAAAGTAACATCTCCATCTCCTTCATTTGCTGAACTATGTAACGTTAGGATGCCTTATTTTGGAAATAGATAATGTGTAACTCCGAAGACTCCTTTCTTCATTTCTCCAGCATATTAGGTACCCAAAATTACCATTTTTCTTTCTGTTAGATTCACAGCAACACATCCTTCAGAAGTAACTCCATCAATTGGTTTTTGGATTATTTGAGGTCCAGCATTGAATATATAAAAATCAACGTCTCCGTTAAAGTCTTTCATCAACTCCTCTTCAGTAGGTTTGATTAACATATTCTTCATAAACAAGGCATGATAAGGTCTAGTACAAAATACTCTAATTCTTAATCTATGGTTAGAATCCCAACCAGCATATCCGTCTATTATAAACAACTAAAATATATTTGATAGGATTGATTACTTTTTCTCTACTTCCCAAATATTCCAAAGCTATCTTTTCAACTTCATTATACGATTCTCTACTTAAAGGTATGTTCACATCACCCCACCATACATCTTATTCTGTTACTTAATCTTTGATGATTCTTTTATCTTTTGGTACTCGACTACATCATTAATACAATATATTTACCCACATTTCTTTCCAGAATAAGCAACTAATGCACCAGTACTATTTATAGAATCTGGTCTAGTAGATGTTTCTTCAGTTGATTACATTGATAGCTAGTAAATTAGAGGAACACTTGGATTTCTGAATACATTTGTATTATGAAGTCCCCATTTCTGTAGCAGTTCATGTGTTTTTATGTTTTATTTCTGCATTATTAGTGATTTTATTTATGACGATCATATCTATATATTTAAACCTTTTATATTACGCATTATATTATTAATCTAAACAAAACTTATATTACGTAATTTTAGATAATAATCAAACCCATATTTTAAAATTTCAATGTTATTATTTTAATTACATAATCCATTTTCGTTTACTTTCTCATTTTTAACACTTCATAAAAATACTCTCCAATAATATCTTAAAAAAAGTATTCAAATATAAATTTTGGACTTAAGAAAATTATAACATAAAGATCATTGTATTTTTTATTATTAACTTAAAATAAATATATTTATAGAACTTATAAATTAAATATATTTTAATACTAAATATATTATTCAAAAATAAAATAATTATAAATTACATAAGTACTCTAATTTGATAAATTTTGAAAAATTGTAAATATGTTTGTTTACGTTAAGAAATAAAGAAGAAAAAGACTCTTTTTTTAGAGTAGAAATAAACTTTAATCATAATTATTAAAATGTTCACAATATAAATTTGGAATATTTTAATGATGATAATTTTCCTTCATTTCTATATTTATGAATGTACTTTTTTAAGTGACATGTTTGAGAATAAGTTTTCAAATAATTTTTTAATTCTTCTATCTTGGATTGACAAATTTATGAAATTCTATTAATATTAAATAGAAACAATAATATAAAAAATTAATAAATTTAAGGATAGACCAATAATCTCATTATTCAATTTTGTTCTAAGATGTGATGAATACTGTCAATAAAATTAAATACTGCTGAAACCGCCTCATCGGAATTAACAAAATCTTGGAATGACATATAATCATCATTAGATTTAACATGGTGTAAATAAGAATTCTTAACTATCTAATAATAAGAAGCAGGATCTTAGTTGTTATGGAAATTATTAAGTATTTGTTATACTAAAACGCCTATTTCACCTATATTATGCAATATAGTTGTCAATTCCTAAATGAACTAATTATCAAGTAAGTAGCTAAGTTTAAGTAATTCTTCAGCATTTAATTATATCAATATAGCTTAAAGATTAGCTATTAATTCTTGATTGTATGGTTATCCTAATTATTGTACTGGTTTAAAATATAATAAAATAGATTTATCTATATTTGTAGGTATTCCAAGTAGAGTTGATACATCCATCAAACAATTCTTCTTTTCATTTTCTTATTGAGTCAATGACTCCTTTTTTCGTGAACAATATGGGAAAATATGTTATCCTTCTTAGAGTAAGGCAAAAAATTATTTGCATTTGTTGTTAAAGAGCCATGAGTCATCATTTTGTTGAATTACTTACAATTATCTGGGTTTACCTCTTCTTTGTTTTTATTAATTTTACATCTAATTTAATTATTGATTTCTAATAAATCAATTTTTGGGTTATAAATAATCAACAAGGATAGAAAAATTATAATAATCAATTTAAAATATTAGTTTTTTTTAATTCTTAAATTTTATTAATATTATATTATATTATATATATTTTAAAGTAAATAGGTTAATTACTATAATAATGATTATGACAAATTAAAAATATGAAACAGATTAATATTAAAGTAGTAATATGAATTAGCATATAGAGAAACAAAAAAAATAATGATTCTAATTGAATCCTTAAATTTTTATTTTAAAATGAACTTTGTTCAAGTTTCAGCTAGATTAAGATTAATCATAATATTTTGATAATATAATAATATTAAAGGATTAAAAATTGATATTTTTAGAGTGTTTTAAAAAATGGAAAGTATGTTTATTTAGAAATATAAAAAGTTCATTAATTAAAATCTGTTAAAGTAACTCATTCAATATGAATTCTTATCGTCAAAATGAATAAAAGAAATTACGTAATTCTTATCTAACTAATAATCTTGAAAACTCTATGATATCAAACAAATCCAAGAATTCATTCAAAGATCTAAATGAATACAGAAGTATATTATATATATTAATACACTCAGATCATACTCCTTAAGAGAGAACAGGTCATCGTAATTAATAAAGTGCCTCAAAGATTAAATAAATACTTTCAAATTTAGTATAGACAGATTAAATTACTCCTAAATCACCTTTTGGATAAAGTCTAAAAGAGAAATAGGATATGAAGTTAACAGATAATATTTGTAAGAATATTTTAATATTAAGACTCTAAAACGCCTAAGACAAATGATTCATACTTCAAATAATAGATAGTTGCACCTTAATCTACTAGAGAAGTAAATTAGAATAACGAAAACCTTTAAAATTTATATTATATGTTTCAAAATAAACAGTAAGATTCTCAAAGTAAATAAAATGTGTTAACTTTGTCTCAATTGGCAAAACAATATTAACAATAAAGAATTAATAATGATTAAATAGCTTAAAAGAATGGATTCAATAACAATTAAAACAAAGATACTTATCATTCTTCTATTTATATAAATTAGATCTAATAATTAAAACAAAAAATTGATAATAGTTTATAAAGGAAAACTTCTTAAAAAACAGAAAAATATTAAAATTAAAATGAATCATAAATAATCAAAAATAATGGGATTTCTTCAATATCTAAAAGAACTTAATAAGATTTAAATTGTTTTGCTAAGACTGAAGAAATCTCTGATTAATTAATTTAATTAGTACTTTAAAAGGAATTATTATGGAATAAATTATATTAAAATTTAGAAAAATTAAATTATTCATCATTAATAACTCATTGTATAGAGTTACATTAATGTATAAGTTAATTATCAGAAAGAAATAATGTATAATAATAATTAAGTTTAGACTTAATATTTATATGATATAGACATAAATATAATAGATACATTTTTATTAGAATCATTTACAGTTTTGATAATGTTAATGGAATAACCAAAAGGAGAGTAGATTTTAGATTAAAATTTAAGAAATTTAATCATATATATTACTTAAAGTAATTTTTACTTAATTTAAACTATGAATTGTGCTGTAGTTCATGTATCAAATATTATATAATTAGTCTTTATTAAAATAAAGAATTGAATTAAGATAATTGCAATAAAAAAAACAATAAAATAAAGCCAAATAAACTTTATAGAAAAATAATTTTATTATAAGATCTATTTTAGAATTGATGTAAGTAAATAATCAATATTAGGTATTGACGACACGACTCATTCAGATGTATATTCATCACTTGAGTTTAAATAATAAAACCTAGATTCTTACTTTATTTAACAAAATAAAATATTAAATCAAATTTCTAAGTAGCTATAAAAAGATAACAATCTAAAGAGTACTATTAATAATAAAAGTTTAAATGTTCTTGAAAAAAAGAAATAACCAATATTACCATCTAAATAAACTAAAAATTATACATTAGTATTAGATCTTGATGAAACTTTAGTTCATTATTAAGAAGTAAAAATAAATATAAAAATAGTTTCCAAATGGTGGAGGACAATTTTTAGTTAGACCTTACACAGAAGAATTTTTAGAAAAATTATCAAAATATTATGAAATAATAATTTTTACAGCTGCTTAACCTGATTATGCTAATTTTATTATAGATATAATAGATAAATAATAGATTGTAAAAGCTAGACTATATAGAGAACATACATTTCTTAAAGATAATGTATATATTAAAGTAAGAGTATATTTTTAAGAATAGGATTTATCTATTCTTGGTAGAAATTTAAATAAAGTGATTATTGTAGATAATATGCCTGAGAATTTTTAGTTACAACCTGAAAATGGAATATATATATAGAGTTGGACAGGAGAACAAAAAGACAAAGCTCTGAAAGATTTAATGCCTCTTTTAGAATGTATTATAAATGATAATTAAAATAGAAATTGCAATAAAAAAGTGTAAAGATGTCAGAGAAGCTTTAAATTAATTTAGAGAATAAATGATTCAAAAAGTATAATAAGGAATAAAGAATCCATATGAAAATCTTTAGTTAACATGAAAATAGAATATTTAATGAATTTTACCTAAATTTTTATTAATTTACTTTGTTTTTTTTAAATTATAATTAAAATTAGGATTGAAATGCAATCATTAACTTAAGATATGAATTACTTAGTATATAAAAAAATTTTAAATTAAAACAATTATGAAATGAACTTTATTTATAATAAATTTTATTATGTCAGAAGATGAATTAAATTATATAACTACAAAAACAACTTCAAGGTAAAATAAAAAGAGAAGACAATAAAAATTACCACCATAATCCCTATATGATATGTTTCCTTCATTTGATAAAGAATTAATTGAATAATGTTATAAATCAGAAAAAGCAAATATTCAAAATACTGTATAAAAGTTGTTGGAATTATAAGGTGAGCCAGAAGTACTTGAAAATGTTGTGGATATATAAGATGATGATATCTAAAAGTACATAAAAGAATTTGAAAAATTAGAAAACTATGAAAATTATGAATAATTAAATGAAGGCTTTATTTTTGAAGAAAAATCAGAAGAATATAATACATTAAAAGCTGAAGTTTCAATGATTTGGTTAGATGAACCAGAATTAAAAGATGTACTCAATTCATATGATAAATTTTATGAAGAAACAAAAAATGAAGATAATAGTAATAGTAATAATAATAATAATAATAATAACATTTATCTCGATCTACTAGGAGTTGATATCAATCAAATACCACCTGAATTTATAAATAACATTCAATCATATATGCATTAATTAATAAACTAATAGCAGAATTAAATTTAAAATGATTATAATGAATTTCCAATTCTGATTCCTCCAGATGAAGGTTAAAAAATTCAATTAAAAAAAAATGAAGATATTTTATCTTAATAAATGAAAATTTCAAATTATGGTAATCCTTAGAATCTAAGAAAGTATATAAATTCATGGACATAATAATAATAATAATAATAACAATAATAATAATCAAAATCAGATTCATCTTCTCTTTTACAAAAATTATGTGAAGAATTTCCTTTCTTTTCTTATTCAAAAATTAAATTTGCATTAGAATAATTGGGTTCTTATGATTATTGTAAAGGCTTCCTTACAAAGTATTACAATGATGAATATTATCCAAAAATTATATAAAGACCTAAAATAGTTGTGTAACAAGACAATCAAACTCAATTTAAATAATATACTATAAGTGAGAAATATAAAAATCTATCTGCAAATGAACTTAGATAATTATTTACTAATAATAGATAGAAAATAAAAGAATTAAGAAACAATTCTCAAGTTGTAAATAAATGTGCAGGTATTGAATATAAATATATATACAGGGAAATATGGTAATGTTGCTATGGGAGTCAAATTAAATCATTTTTATTAAACTTAATATGAGAAAATACAATAATTAGAATATGAAGGTATAAAATTATTTGTTGCCCTTATTGTTGCAGAATAATCATTTACAAAAATAGATTTACATGGAATATATGGAGGAGAAGTAGAAGAATTATTGGATGAATTGATAGAATAGATAAAAATATATAAAACAAGATTGAAAAAAATAAATATTGATGTAGAATTTATTGTGGGCAGAGGTAATAATATATAATATATTTAGGTTTACATTCTAAAAATAAAGTACCTGTTATAGGACCTATAGCACTTTAATATTTTAGATCTTGCAATTATTAGATTGTTGGATAATATGAGGGAAGAATGATTGTTAAAATATGAAATTTAGTTTCATAATTTCTTTTTATCATCATTAAGATCTCTTGTTAATATTTTAATAAATTGATCTTCTGAAACTTCTATCTTATATTCATCTTCAGGTTATTTCTTCTCCTTTTTACCATCTTTATCCATCTCTTTCAATTCATTTGTATTTGATTGGGCTCCTTTTAACAATTATAAAATTTATTAATCAGTCATATCCTCATCTAAATCTTAGATTACTTTCTTTAATGAATCAAATGTGATTATTTTCTAAATGAATATTCATTAATATACTTTTTGATTGTTACTATCTTTAAAAAGATTAAATGCTTTTTTGATATCATCTAGAGAATCTTTTTAACTCATTTTAACCATCATAATTTCTAGAAATTCTTAAAAATCAATTCTCTAAGCATCATATTTAACATCTCCTTTACCAAGATCTTTAATTAATTTTCCAATTTCTTCTTAAGTTGGATCAAAACCTAAAGCTCTTAATACTACTTTTAAATTTGTTGCCTCTATTGTTCCTGATCCTGCTGTATCAAAATAATCAAAAGCTTTTTTGATTTCATTCTTTTAACTTTCTGATAAAACTTATTAATTATTAAGTAGCTTCTTTCTAATCTAAGCAGCATTAGTATTGCCAGATGATTATTGTTATTGATTTTTCATTGTAAGTTTTAATTTTTTTAATAAATATTTCAAATATTCTCACCTAATATTAAAGTTGTAATTTATTAAAAACATATGAAAATTATATAATTAATTAAAAGAAGAGCAAATTATTAAATCAAATGACTATTAAGATAATTTTATCAAAGTTTGATTAGGAAATGGTATTTGTAAATTATATTTAATTGGATTAAAATTGTCTTAATAGGAATAGATTATATTGGAATCATATTATTTAGTTATTATAGAAATATATTTGAAGAATTCTTTAGATAAATAGTTTGTTGATTCTATTTAATTAGATAGTTTATTGATTAAAATAAAAAAAGTATTCTTAAATAAAATAAATATATTAGAATAGTTGAATAAGTATTTCTTATTTATTATAAATTGTATATATATATAATATAAAAGTGAAAGTGAATTACAAAATGCGCAAAAATATAATTAATTGAATGAAATTTTAATTAATTATTATAATGACTGATTAGACTCCAAATGATTTTCATTCTGAATTGGAATCCTCTCCTCTAAACTTTCGTCAATCCAACATGATTCTTTTTTAGCCTTACAGTCCTATTTTATTTCGTGCTAACCTTAGTCCTAATAACATGGTTTTGCAAGATTATTATATTGCATAACCCATACAACATGGAGATGATATTTTTCCATTTGATCAATAACCATTATAAAAAATGTTTGATTTGTAAACATCAAATAATCAATCTCCCCAATTAAAATAAGTTGTGATAAAATAATCACAAAATAAGTAATAGGGTTTTTAAATTGTTTAAATTAACACTACTTAAATGACACCACAGAAACGTAGAAGTGAATAAACAAGAAGATATTATTCTGAGAAGAATGAAAAAAAGTCTATAAATTTAGCATTTTATTAAGATTAAACACCTTAAAGAAGTTAGAAAGGTATATAGTAATATTATGAAAGGACTACGTAATTTGAGTGTAAAAGTGAGAGATATAGTATTAGAATTGAAATCCACATCTTATAAGGATGTTGCATAAAGATTGATTTAAGATTTAGGTTCTGATGGATAAATAGTTGAATTAGATAATGTATGAATTAAAATTGAGTTACAAGCCTAAAGATGAATAAAATATAAAAAGAAGAGTTTATGATGCTTTAAATGTTATGATCGCTTCAAAAGTGTTAAGGAAAGATGGTAAACGAGTCATTTCTGATGTCTTTTGTAAACATAGGATGAGAAGAAATGAAACTGATATGTTTAAAGAATAATTAGTATAATATATTAATAAATTATAGATGAATTAAAAGAATTTAATAAAAGATAAAAAGAAAAGATTACAAGAATTATTTATTAAAGTTGTTGCTCTAAAGAATTTAGTGTAAAGAAACTAAAATAATAAGAGTGAAAACAAGATAATGTTTCCGATTCTTGCATTTTAAGCTTAATAATCATAAATTAAACTTAAAATGGAATCGAAAGTATTAAAGATTATGAGTTAATCAAAATTAAAATTATCTGCTGATTTAGATATATTGGTTTAACTTAAAATGTACAAATTATATAAAAATATGGATGAATTGTAATTATATTAAACATAAAATAGCATGCCTAAAAGTTTAATTGAAATAGTGTAAATAAATGATCTCTGCTCTTGAATTGATTTAATTTGTTTTTTACAAATAATTAATTAATAACATTAATGACAGATTTATTAGAAAGAAGTATTCATTTGATCAACAATTTCGTAAGTCAATGGACAAAGAAATATTTATATTACACAAGCTATATTGAAGAAACTACTTCAGGACATACGTAAATCATAAACTTTAATTTTTAGTTTTATGACAGTTTTCTCATTACCAACTCCATCAAATCCAATTCCTGTTGCAACAGTTAAAGTGTATTTCTATATACCAGATTTGACAGATCCATCTGAAAAAACTATGTCATTTAGATTTGAAAATGATTCACTTATACATTTAGTTAATCGAACTATTCGAATATCATAAATGGAAGTAAACAAATAAATTTTTAATTTAAGAAATGGATTGAAACTATATTAGCACGTAAAGATAGAACATGTAGAATAATGTTTTTAGGAACAGAATTTGAATAAACAAGAATTATTAATAAAAGAATGGATGAAGTATTATATGAAAAATAACCAGAATAAGAAAAGGAAAATTTAGTCATTTAACCAGAATTATTAGAACATGATTAAGAATTAGTAAATTAATTTACAATCACAGAAGAAGAAAAAATTAGAGAAATTAAAATGTTAACTGAACTCCTATATTAATGTTTTAGATAAATTGATAAAGATGATATGGGAGTAATATCTCATGAAGAAGGTGGTTAATTATTTTTATTAATGGGTTTACATCTAGGAAAACATTAATTAGAGGATACACTCAATAGATTAGATGTTTCAAGAACAGGAATACTATAATTTAAAGATATTTCATCTTTTGGAATTGAAATATTACATTCAATCTATTGTTAAAATTAAGCACTTAAAGAATTAAGAGAAAAAGAAGAAGAAAGTAGATTTGAAGCATAATGGATGTTATCTACTGATCTTAGAAATGTTTATAAAAAAATAGTAGAATAATGTAAACTAAAAGATGAAGATGAAATTCATTCTGTTAATTCAAATGTATTCCAATAAATTTTAGAAGAAGTACAATTTATATTATTATCATTTAGTAATAATTCTTTACAGAAGATGAAATTAAATAAATAATGGAAATAATTGGATAAAAAGATGTGGAATATTAAACTAGTGATAAAGTATTAGAAGAAACTATATTTGAAAATTTAGTAAAAGGTTTATTAGAAGCGTAAAGAAGTAAAATGGAAGTGTTTTTACTTGAACATTTTAGAAGATAAGATAAAGATAATACTGGATTAATTAAAATTAATGAATTAATGATTGCTTTGAAAAATTGTGAGAAAATTAAATTATCTAAAGTTCAAGTATTAATTTACATCTTAGAATTAGTTATATTCATTACAAAGTTATATTAAAAGAAATGATAAGGATTTAGTAAATTATAAATAAGAAGCTAGAAAAATTGGAGCTATTATTAAAAAGTTCTTTAATATTGATTTAATGGAATAAAGGGTATTCATTTGATATCATTTTTACAGTCACGTTTACCTTAACATACAAAAATTGATGCATATATTCCATTAAAAACACCTGAATAAATATAAGAGTAGATTAAAAAAGTTGGATCATGATTTATTATTAAATAATTATGTTTAATTATTATAACTAAAAAGAAAAAAATGCAGTAGAAACATTATTGAATTTGGGATTTACTGAAGATTCACTACATGAAATTGATTATGATAAAGAAATTAAAAAACTATTAAGAAGAACTTAATCTAATTCATTAGCTGATGCCAGAAAAATCATAATAAATTTAACTCAGTCTAACTTACCTACTCTATAGAATCCTTTAAGTAAATTAAATAGTCCAGTAAATGATTCAAGATGTAGAACTGAATTGAGAACCATATCACTTTACAAGCCTTAAGATAAAATCCTTAATCCATTAATTTAGTAACATAAATTTGTAATTACATAAGTCAAAACCAACAGAATTAGACACTCATCTGAATATAAGACTGTCTAAGTTTAAACAGTGTAAGTGGCTTAAACTCTATAAGAATTTAACTTTAATCTCGTTGAAAAAAACTCTAATATGTAATCCAAAAAATTTACGAAATCATTGCCTAAATATTTTTTAAGATTTAAGAAAAGATAATATTGATTATAAATATGATTATATATATATGAAAGTAAAAATAATAAAAATTTGATCACCAATAATTTTTGCATCTTTATATAATTATTGTATTTAATCTTTAGTTATCTTAACTTAATTGATTCACTTTTCTTTCCAATTCTTATATATAATTAACCAATTATTCTGTTTAACTTTTCTTTTATGACAAAAATTCTATTTGATCATTTTTTTATATTAGAATACTTTTTAATTTTTCTATTTCCACACAAAAGTTACGTATTTATGATTCTAATATTAATATTTATTTTGAATTATTCTAATTTTCATTTAATTATTCTCTTAATTAATCATTTTCAATATTTAATTAACTGATTTTTGTAACATATAATTCAATAGAATTTTATATTCCATTTAATTAATCTTAAACTGCCCATAATTAATTTTCCAATTAGACTTTTTCAGTTGCATATTTTAATGACATTTAACTTTCAATTTGTATTCTCAATTAATCATAAGATTAATTTTATTAAACTTCAACTTAACTTGATAAATGTTATATTTAACTGACTAATTTAGATTTTTCTAAATGCCAATCATTTTATTAATCTAATTATGACTTTGAATTAATCTATTTATAATTAATATATAATATATTACATCATTTAATTTGCTTTCTTAAATTGATTTATAATTTTCAAATTCAATTTTTACTTTTTATAATTATTATTTTGTTTCAAACAACTCTTCATTATTTTTACTTTATTATTCTAATTATCTTTTTAATTATTCTATTTATTATTATTAATATTTAGCAATTTTTTAATTTTCAAATTACATTTCTTCAAAAGCAAATTATGATTTTTCTAATTAATCTTATAATATATTATTATTCTCATTCCAATTTTATTATTTTTATAATTATTTTTCTAATTTCTTTATATGATCTTATTTTTCATTCAATAATTGTTGGAATTATGAAGTATTCTCATATGATAATCTTAATTTAGCTTCAAGTTCAGTGATCCTTTCATTTTATTAAAATTGTTTTTCTACATTTTTAGGATCAGATTGATGCTATTAAGATTTCAATTATTCATTTTAAATTTTATAGACATCTAATTAAGATACTAAGATTTCATTCTTAGATTCTAATTCATAAGCCTTTTCTTCTAATTTAGAATATGATAGTTATAATAATGAAAATTAATTACTAAGTGTAGTTAGTTCTTAAGTAAGTTCCATATTACCCAATTATTATTATTTCAATTATAATTCAATTTCTTAAAATTAAGATTAATATTGATATTTTTCTTTTCTTAATAAATCAATTTATGTTTTGATTGCTGATTTTTCTGATTCTGCATCTAATTAAATATTTGATTATTAGAGTTCTAAAGCTTGTTTAGCTTGTCTTTCAAAATCTAATGTATTTTAAGTTTCTTAAAGTAAATTAGTTAATGTTTCTAATTAATTTTAATATGAATTGCATTTATTCTAAATAGTTTTAATCATTTATTCATATTAATTAACTTAATTTCTCAATTAATGATTCTCTGTTTAAATAGTATCAAATTTAATTTCTATTAAACGAGAATGTGCAGGTGGATTATATTATTATAATTAAGCAATTTCTTACTCTTTTTCCTATAATTATCTCTACAATTAATTAACACGTGAATTAACTAAAGTTTCTAATTCACGATTGCTAACTTTGACTGTTTTAAAGGCTTGACAAACATTTTCTTTATTCATTCCGTTAAATTATTAATAATGTAAATAAAAATTAATCTAATTGTTAGATATAATTTAATAATTTATAAATTATTCATGATATTCTAATGAAAATTATTGCAAATATAAATAAAAATATTGAAGTAGTAAGCATTAAAAATAGTGATGAACAACTTAAACTTTTTGATTTCATAAAATTGATTAATTTGTTTTCTTCAAATTTTAATTTAGTTTTATTTCCATCTTATTTATGCAATATTTTATCAATAACCTTATTATCAAATTTTAATTATTCTGAAATATCTACAGCCATTCCTTTCATTCTTTTTGTAATATTGAATATTTCCTCTTATAACTCATCATCTAGATTTTCACTACTTAACTACTTGTCAAATAATTTAGTTTTATTATGTTTTTATTATGAAATTGGATTAGATGCAATAACCTAAGAATTTGTCATTACCACCACTTTTTATTACTCATCCTTTTAAACTAATTGTTTTTTTAAAGAAGCAAAAGCACTTGTTATTTTTCTATGTCCTTAAACTATAGCATCTGAATCTAAAACATTCTATACAAATCTATCTAATGCTAATTTTGTTGCCTAGATAATCAATCTAACAATATTATTACATCTATATGTCCAGATAAATCAAAATCATATTATATACCCTCTATTATTAATCCATTTTCAAATAGATCTTACAAATTTGCAGATCTATTATACAATTCCATAATATTTTTATAATTCTAAGAACCTTATAATTCATTGCATATTAATTAATAACCATTTAATATTTCTTAAAATTCCATTATATTATTATATGAATTAATAATAATCAGATATTCCACCATCAAAGAAAACACAATTTACTGGATCTATTGATAATTTGATTTATTAAACAATCTCTAAAAAACCAAATATGTCTGAATTTCTGATATAAGAAATTTTGGAAGCCAGCGGATTTTAGACAAATGATTAAAATTGCTATAAATTAATAGGTTTGAGTGCTCTTAAATTAAAGCTCATTTAACTGATAAATGGATGATCGAAATGACAGATTCCATGGTTTAAAAATTAATCTAAGATAGAATGAGAAAAAAAGAAAAAGATCCTGATGAAAAGCTCTAATTAACAACTAATGATATAGTCAATGAATTAGATTAAAGAGGATTGAAATTATAAAATCCATTTCAATATCCTGAAATCGATGCAAATAACTTATAAAAAGTTAAAAATGAGGTTTAATAATGAATTGCTGAAATATATAGTTATTAAATATTAAAATATATGATAAATTGTAGATATTCATATATCTATTTAATGTATTCTCAAAATATAGTCAGAATATAATTTAAATTGTCTTAATTGATTTAAATAAAAAATATTATATGAGAATGATAAATAAAAAAGCAAATAATTTTTGGTTGAAAATTAATCACTCTTTATTATGAAATACAAATTTTTTAATATTAGAATTTTAACATCTACCAAATGGACATATTGAATCATTAATTTTATTTATATAATTTTCAGTAATTAATGTTTTAAGCAGAAGAAAAAACCTTATCAGAATAAGTATGTTTTAAATATTAATAAGCAATTAATTCTGCACATGATTCATTAAAATGATTATGATACTCTTAAAGAATTTGGCATTAATAAAGGTATTTATTAATGAGTTTCAATTAGGAAATATTAATTTTTTAGAATCCTTTAATGAGATTGAAGTAGATCAGAAAATATCTCCTTTAATTTGTGCATGTTATTTGGGAAGACTTGAAATAGTTAAATTATTGCTTTCTAATTTACAAGTTGATGTTGATTTAGCTAGTATGGATTCAGGATAAACTCCATTATCAATTGCAGCAATGACAGGAAATTATGAAATCCTAAAAATACTTCTTGATGCTGGAGCTGAAGTCAACAAACCTAATACATTTAATTAAACTGCTTTTATTATGTGTTTTGCACGATTAGAAGAGGTACTTTAAAATATTATTATATATTTCAAAAGGAAAAAAATGTTTTTGAAAATAGAAAAATTTGTTTCAAAATGGCTGAACTTTTACTTCATTATGGAGCAGACATAAATTGGATTGTAGATAAAACACATGGATTTAATCTATTAATGTAATTATGTTCAATTAGAATGGAATTAAATTAGAAAGAAGCTGACATTAATTATTAAATAATAAAATTCCTCATTGAAAATGGAGTATTTTTATATTACTTATAAAATGAGGCTTAAAAAGATTTATAATCATTAAAAGGGAAAAAAGCATTAGATTTATTAAAGAAGCATTCTAATAGAGAAAAATTAATGGAATTGATCACCAATACATAATAGTTATATTATTATGGGAAATAGAAAAATAGTAGTAGATATTAAAATTAATAATAACAACTTCTTATTAGAAATGTACCAAGATAATAAAAGGTCTGATATTAATTTATTTATTTAATAATGTCCTCATTTTTAGGATTAAAACATCAAACACTAGCTTAATTATTTTATTATTGAAAATACTATTCTTTATAATATCAATTAGAATGAATGAATTATATTAATTATTATTAATAATATTATGGATTAATAGTATCCTTCAATAAAACCTAATCAAGAAATTCTCAATTATGAACCAACTGCTGATGAGAAAAAAACTAAAATTGGAAAATATACTATTAGGAGATTATTTGAAGGAGAATTAGATGAATAAGATAATGCAGCCATAAATAAATTTATTGAAGAAGCAGGACCTTTCTAAAATCCCATTTGGACAAGACCATAAATTTTAAGATTCTTATAAGCTAATAATTTTAAGAAGGATTAAACTGTTTAAACTATGTAATAATATGAAGAATGGATAAAAACCTTGCCAATAACTTTTGATTAACAAGTTGAATAATTTCTGGTATGTTTTTAATAATAATATTGATTAGAAAGCTGGAATAATATATATTTAAGGAAGAGATCATTCTTATAGACCAATAATTGTATTGAATGCATATAAAGTTAATTTTAATGAAATGAGTCTTGAATAATATTTAAGAGGATTGACTTATTTCTTACAAGTAGTAGTAAATGATATGATGGTACCAGGCAGAGTTGAAAATTGGGTCATATTAATTGATCTCGATTATAAAGGTATGATTGGACTATAAATTAATGTAAGATAATTTAGTATTATTTCTAGGCATTAAAATAAGTGATGTCATATTTATAAAATAACTATAGATCCAGATTGTATAGAATGTTTATTTTTAATACAACTATGATGTTAAATGTGACATGGAATATGGCTAAATTATTTTTGGAAGAGATAACTTAATAAAAAATTATATTTGTTAAAGGAGATGTATTTATATTATTATTTATTTAGGTAAAATAACTATTTTAATCTGTGAATAAAGAATAAATTGAAGAAAAGTTTGGAGGTACATAATCAAATAGAGTTGAGTTCTGGCCTCCATCTATTATTAGTACAAACTTTAGAAAGAATACTTGATTCTTGTGTTTTATATTGAGATTTAATCAAGAATTAAAAAAATTTAAATCTTTTTTAATGCCTCCCAAAGTTGACCCAAATGAAGTTAGATTGATCAACATTAAAGTTTTTGGAGGAGAAGGTGGTCCTGCTTCCACTCTTGCTCCCAAATTGGGACCTCTTGGTCTTGTAATTATTATTGCTTATCAAACAGAATCCAAAATAAGTTGGTGATAAGATTATTGCTGAAAGTGGTAAATGGAAGGGTATCAGAGTTATGGTTAATTTGAGATGTTAAAACAGAAATGCTGATGTCACAGTCATTCCAACATCAAGTGCATTACTTATTAAGGAAATTGGAGTAAATCATCAAATTTATCTATATTATAGGGATATGAAAGAGATAGAAAGAAGACCAAGAATGTTAAACATAATGGAAATTTGACACTTGAATAAGTCATTAAAGTTGCCAGAGCCATTGAAGAGAAGTCTTTAGCTAAAACCTTCACCGGAACTGTCAAATAAGTCTTAGGAACTGCATAATCCTTGGGAGCTACAGTTGATGGTTAACCAGTTAAGGCGATTATCGGAAAAATCAATTCTGGAGAACTTAAAGTTGAAAAATGATAAATACAAAAAATATTATACACATAAGTACATTAACTTTTAATTATGATCAATCTTATAGAACAATAAGTTGATAAAGAACCAATTCTTCAACAGGTATCTAAAATGAAGGATTTTCTCCTTAATCATTTGAATTAGAAAATAGTATTTCTTACATCAGGGGGAACCTCAGTTCCTTTAGAATAGAATACTGTTAGATCTATTGAAAACTTCTCATCTGGATTAAGAGGAGCTGCATCTGCTGAATATTTCTTAAAGGAAGGTTACGTTGTCATCTACTATTACAGAGATAAGTGTTTAAGACCATTTGCTAGACATTTAAATGTTTAAAAGCTAATTAATGCTGATCAGTATTTATACAAATATTAAATCTTTAAGATAAGAATTAGAAAAGCTTAATAAACTATAACAAATTGATAAAACTAAACTCTATGAAATATCTTATGTTTCTGTAATGGAATACTTGTATTTTGTTATTAAAGCAATGGAGATATTTAAAGAATTAAAATTGAATTTACTAGTATATTTAGCTAGTGCAGTCAGTGATTATTACATTCCAAAAGATATGATGGCATAACATAAAATATAAGCTTAAGATAAATTAGAATTAGAATTAATGCCAGTTCCAAAGATTTTAGGGTTAATTCGAGAAATATATAAGGAGGCTAAAATAATTTCCTTTAAATTAGAGACTGATGATGATATTCTCTATAAGAAAATTTCAGAGTCTATGAAAAAATATAATTTAGAATATGTATATATTATTATTAAGTTTATAGTGCATAGGAAATTTATTACAAAATAGAAGAGATCAAATTGTTATATATTATAAAGGGGAGTTTATTAAAATATAAAGGAATAAGGATGAAATAGAGGAACAAATTATTGAATATATTACATAAAACATTAAATGACATTTATTTAAAATAATAGTCATTATTTTAGTATAAATAAAATATATTAATAAAATGATAAACAGTAATAAATTAATATCATACCAGTTAAATTAATTTATTATCTAATAATGTAAAAAGGGTATATTAATTTTTATAGTTGTTTTAGTATAATGAACATACATAATAATATTAATTTAAAAAAAGTAATATATTACNCTAAAACCTTCACCGGAACTGTCAAATAAGTCTTAGGAACTGCATAATCCTTGGGAGCTACAGTTGATGGTTAACCAGTTAAGGCAATTATCGGAAAAATCAATTCTGGAGAACTTAAAGTTGAAAAATGATAAATACAAAAAATATTATACACATAAGTACATTAACTTTTAATTATGATCAATCTTATAGAACAATAAGTTGATAAAGAACCAATTCTTCAACAGGTATCTAAAATGAAGGATTTTCTCCTTAATCATTTGAATTAGAAAATAGTATTTCTTACATCAGGGGGAACCTCAGTTCCTTTAGAATAGAATACTGTTAGATCTATTGAAAACTTCTCATCTGGATTAAGAGGAGCTGCATCTGCTGAATATTTCTTAAAGGAAGGTTACGTTGTCATCTACTATTACAGAGATAAGTGTTTAAGACCATTTGCTAGACATTTAAATGTTTAAAAGCTAATTAATGCTGATCAGTATTTATACAAATATTAAATCTTTAAGATAAGAATTAGAAAAGCTTAATAAACTATAACAAATTGATAAAACTAAACTCTATGAAATATCTTATGTTTCTGTAATGGAATACTTGTATTTTGTTATTAAAGCAATGGAGATATTTAAAGAATTAAAATTGAATTTACTAGTATATTTAGCTAGTGCAGTCAGTGATTATTACATTCCAAAAGATATGATGGCATAACATAAAATATAAGCTTAAGATAAATTAGAATTAGAATTAATGCCAGTTCCAAAGATTTTAGGGTTAATTCGAGAAATATATAAGGAGGCTAAAATAATTTCCTTTAAATTAGAGACTGATGATGATATTCTCTATAAGAAAATTTCAGAGTCTATGAAAAAATATAATTTAGAATATGTATATATTATTATTAAGTTTATAGTGCATAGGAAATTTATTACAAAATAGAAGAGATCAAATTGTTATATATTATAAAGGGGAGTTTATTAAAATATAAAGGAATAAGGATGAAATAGAGGAACAAATTATTGAATATATTACATAAAACATTAAATGACATTTATTTAAAATAATAGTCATTATTTTAGTATAAATAAAATATATTAATAAAATGATAAACAGTAATAAATTAATATCATACCAGTTAAATTAATTTATTATCTAATAATGTAAAAAGGGTATATTAATTTTTATAGTTGTTTTAGTATAATGAACATACATAATAATATTAATTTAAAAAAAGTAATATATTACTTATCATTGGAGATTATTTTACTATAAATATAAAAATTATTTATTAAATAATATAAAATCATTTTAAATTATCTTATTGAGATTTTCCTAGATATTCTTAAACTTATAATTCAAAAATGCGTTTGAGATCATTTATTTACTCTTTTTATTGAACCCATTATTTTTATGGTGTTTGAATACAGGTTTTTTTTAAAGGTAAGTTTTCACTTTATTTAAATAAATTTGAAATAGTTTTCACATTAATATAAGAATTGGCGTCAAATTAGAAATTACTTTTAAAGGGTATATTGATAATTTCTTTTTCTTTTATTCCATTTTTCATAATACTTTCTAAAGATTAGTCAAAATTCTTTTTTGATTATAAACTGTTCAAATTGTTTCTTATTTCATTTGCTGCCTTCTATAAAGTTATATTGACTATATCATCTTAGGATTCACTAAATTTTTCATGATTTCTTAAAATTATTTCTTTCTTCATTTGCTATTTGATAATAAACTTTAAATATCTTGTCCTAATTAATAATGAATATTGTTAGTACTCTTCGTCTACTACAAATACTGCTACATTTTTTTAGGTGTGGAGTTCTCGATCTCTTTTTTCTTTTTTATTTATTCTTCCTTCATTTCTATAAATTCGATAAATAGCTTTTATTGTAGAAAGGTTATGCCCTGTGATTTAAGCAATCAAATAATATTCATTAAAATTATACTTAAGATGCTGATAGTGATCCCTCAATAAAATATTTTATTATTTTCATTCTTTCTTCTGAATTCACAGATTTATATTTTTGCTTCTTTTCTGGTTTAATATTCAGGTTAATCATTTTTGATTCTAAATTGTAAAAAAAAAGATTTAATGATTAATAAGTATTTAATGAAATTTCATTGTGTTAAATAAAGAATCCTAATATGATTTTATGATTACTAAATCACATTATTATAAACATTTCAGATAGATTTCTCCAAACTATTATAATCACTATAATCAGTGAATTTCAGTGAATTTTTTAATTCATTATGTAATATATGTTTTATTATGTCAAATTTGTCATCCTTTGATAAATAAAAAATTGAAGATAAATTTAACAAGAAGGATCATAATTAATTCATGATTAATGAAAAGATTGCTAAACTTCTACTTTTTAATTTACTCAAGCTTAAACCACCAATAAGAATTATTTTTTAATTAATTAAATAATAAATATATGAGAAATCTAAAATAGTTAAAAATCAGATTTATGCAATATTTATTAATATAATACAATTTGTAAAATAGGTTTAAAAACTTAAATAGGTTTATTACTTAGAATAAAAAAAATGAACATAATATAAATTAAGTTTCCATTCTTATTATATTAAATCTAATTTTAATTACAAATTTTTGAATGGCAATTCAAATTAAATATTTACCAAGAGAATTAAAAAATAATTCTGTTTCTAAATTATCAAAAAAAGTAATATCTTTTTCTTGAATGTGTCATTCATACTTTGATAATTATAAGATAATTGTTGATAAATTGATTAAATATTATTATCATTTATGAAATGATTACTTTCTACTATAACTAATTCTGTACCAATATAAAATCATAATTTATTCTATGTAATAATTTTAATTATACTTTGAGTTTAAACAAAGGAAAAAGCAATGTAAAAAATACTTAATTACCTAATAATAATGTTTTCTTTTCAAATTTAATACTAAACTTGTTATTTATTTATTAAATAAATATATTTAATAAATGTATTATTATAAACTTAAAATTTAAGAGTTTGATCATTTAATAAACATTATTATATATTTTGATTAATATTCTAGTTAGTATTTTATAAATAAACATTATATTTTGAATAGATTAATATCTTTATTGCGATTTATAGTTTTAAAGATTCATCATTTAATATATTGATTTAATTGAATATATAATGTAAGATGGAAATATATATTTTAATTTAGAATATAAGTGAGAGAGTTTAAGTATATAAATTTATTATTTTATAATCAACGTGTTATAAGTTTTAGGTGTAGATTGAATAATTTATTGTTTTGAATGTGATTTAGCATTATTGATTAAATTAATTAAAAATGGACAACGTGTAATTCGAAGTCTAGAGTATTTTACTTCGTATAAGAGATTACAAAAAGACTAATCAATTAGCATTAGGGTCTTTTGGATAAATCTTTACTTAAGGCACTTTAAATGGACTTTTGAAGTATGAAGACCCTGATGAGCAAGTTTCAATAGCTTTAATAAATTTTTATTCTAAAATTACTTATTTAGAAGGAAAACAAGTGTTAGAGTTAATGGTAGATGCTGTATAGAAAATAACTTCAGTTAATCAATTGTTGTTGGAAAAAAAACTAAAAGTAATGAAATAAAGATTATTGAAAGTTTATAAGAAATGCATTCGAGCATCCAGAATTAGATGTTTCAATAATGAATAGTCTAATAAAAATGAATAGATAAATAGAATCAAGTGTACCAAATCTATTAATAAGAGAATTGGCAAGAGACTCTTTAAGTTAAGGATTAAAAAGAATGAGTTAGACATGCAATGAAGAATTATTAATAGCTGCATTACTTGATTTAAGGAATGAAGTAATATAGTAGATTGCAAATAGAAATAATGAAACTGTAAAACTAATAGAATACCCATATTCAATAATGATATTTATCTTATAATTAAGGAAGCCATTGTAATTTATAGTTTAATATTATATACCAATGTTATTATAATTAGTGAAATTTGATCATCCAGTGATTTGGAATTATTTAAATTAAGCAATGTTATTTGTGTTAAATTTAAATATGCAAGATAAATTAGGAGATGATTTATTTGAGACAAGAACATTATTTGGATAAATAGTATTAAAGGGAATATCAAATCATTTAAATAGATTATCAAATATGACTATAACTGATATGGCATAATAATGTGAAATAGATACTCATTTTTTTGTTAAATTTTTAATGGAATTGTTTAGTAATAAAGATAAAATAAAATTCATATTTAAGAAATGTGATATGAATCCATTTTAGAAACCAGTATTTTAAGAAGTTGTATATAAGATATTTGAATTAAGTAGAGTTTCAAAAAGATTATAATGTGATGATGGTAGAACATTATAAAAATAAATTTATGAATTATAAGTTTAATTATTTAAAGCTAGTTTAACTAAAAAGAGTTAATAATAAACAACTAAATTAATGTAATTTGTATAAGATTTTACTAATGAAACAAGAAATTCAATTAAAGGTATGCCACATGAATAAGTTGTTAATTTTCTTAAATATTGTAATTTATTTAATGAAAAATTAATGATTGAAATATTAGGATGTCATAAAGAAGAATGTGTTACTATTATGGAAAAATATGTAAATACATTTGATTATTCATAATTAAGTTTAGTTGAAGGATTAAGATATTTAACTTCTAATTTTTTATTATTTGGTGAAAGTTAAATGATTGAAAGAGTCTTGAATTCATTTACTATTAGATATTTTGAATAAAATAAAGATAATACTTATTTTAAACATCCTGATTATCTATATACTTATACTTATGCAATATTATTACTTAATACTGATCTCTTTAATAAAACTGTAACTAAACATATGTCTTTAGATGATTTTAAAAAAACATGTCTTAAAATTAATAATGGAGAAAGTTTACCTAATGATGTACTTGTTGCTGATTATAATAATATTTAACAAGATGAAATTAAATGTATTAGAGATTTTGCATTAACAGATGATCTAAGTTAATTTGTTTGGGATAAATATTTATCAACAAAATAAGAAGCAAGATAAATATATTAAACTATGAATGAATACTTTGAAATCTAAACAGATGAAGAACATTATGGAGATTTAATTTTAACTGCTATGGTTCATAATATAGAAGAATTAATAGCATAAACTTAAGATGTTTAAGAATTAACTTCATTTTTATAATAAATTATTGATATCTGTATTAACAATGATAAATTAGATAATGCATAATAAATACTTATTAGTGTAATGAAAATGAGTAATGATTAATATGATATGTCATTGTATGCTGGTTTCTATATTGCTGAATAATTATTACCATATACATAATAATTCTCTTCAATTATATCATTAATCAATAATTCTATTATGTAAAGACATAAATTAGCTACTGATAATATTAGTAAAGATTGTAGAAATGTTTTACGTAGAATCAAATTAAATAATAAATTTACTAAAAAGAAAATGGGATCAAATGAAGGAGTAATTCAACTCTTTACTTAATTCTTAAGATAAACTACTGATGAAGAAAGTGAAGATGATTTATTAAATGAAATACCAAAATAAGATGAGTAACAACCTTAAATTGGTATAAAATCTCCATATTTATTAACAAATCTAATTAATTAAACTAAATTTTTAGACAAAGAAAGATTGAATGAATTTTTAGGTCTTTTATTAGATTCTATTTAAAATATTACTGATTTTAAAAAAGAATATATTAAGTTTGCATAAATCATATTTATATCTGTAGAAATCTTAAGAGTTAATACTGATAGATTATTATAATTTTGGCCTACTGTAGTTAATATTTTAACTTAAAAATAGAAATTTGAAAGTATAAAGAAGAATTCAATTAAATAATTATTATCATCATATTGTGGTTATACATTATTAAAATTAGTTATAGAATTTTTACATTAAGGAGAAAGTTTAGAAAATTATTATGATTGTTTTAAATAAGGATTAGAATATTTAATTGATTAATCACTTGAAATTTTATAAGAATTTTTAATTGAAATATAGAAATTTTTAAAATAAAATAGTGAATTAGATTTTTCTATCAATTTTCTTAATAACATAGTTTAATTATTATTAACAATATTTACAGAATTGGAGAAAAAGACTTTGGATTAAACAGATGCTTAAATCATAATGAATTTAATTTAAGATATTTTTGAGTAGATTTAAAGATATTAATCTGATAAAGAATTGGTCTAAATTCTTAGAAAACACTTAGAAATATTAAATACTTTACTTAAATAAAGATAACTTAGAAGTGTTTCATCTGTAGATGGTTTTATTGCTAAACACACATTATAAATAATGACTACTTATGAAAAATATATACATGAATAAGATAATGCATTTTTAAATGATCTATTATCATTGGCACTTAATCTATCAAATGAACATTTATAAAAGATAATATAAATAATGATGTAAGTTATCTTAAATTATAATTACATTGATTTAAAAGAAAAAGATTTTTCTATTCTCTTTAATTAAGTTACATCTAGATAATAATAGATTCTCTTAACAAATAATGATTAAATTTTAGTCAATTATTCTTAATATCTTTAAAAGATGTACTTCAATTGGATTCAAAAGGATAGATTTTCACTTTAATTATGGTTGGATATTTTAAAGAAGTTTGGAGAAATCTTAACTAATTTAAAATAAAATAAGAGTCCTCTTTAAGAGAATGTTAGTTTATCATTTTAATGTGTTTGTTAAAATTAATACTTTTAGGATATTTTGAAATGTAATTATTATAATTAATTTAAGCATAAAGTAATGATGTTTAAGAAAAAACAAAACAATTTGGAAAATTACATAATTTAGAGTTAATAACTTGATTTTTGTATATATGTATATTTGTATACAAATAAATATAATTAAATATATTTTGATAATATTAATTAATAATCATAAACATCAAAACATAAATCTACATTATGGAAAATCACAAGAAAACTTAATTTCACAAAATACATAAATAATAATGCAATTTATTAAAGTAAATACAGTTATTTGTTTTTTCAAAGTTTATTCTACAAATTAACAATGTTAATAAAAGAATAATAAAGGAATACTAAAATATCTAGGTTCAATCAATGGACTAAATATTAGAGATAAAGTTGTGAAAATAAATAGTAAAATTAATTAGAAAGTTTATTCTTTACGAACTATATTATTATGATTACTAATTTACTGATTAAAATTCTGCTTATTATTACTATAATTAAAGCATAAATGAAACATAAAGTATAACGATATATATCTTTGGAGAGGATTCTTCTCCAAATATAAAATACATAATGACGATTATCACTTAAAATAAAAGGATGAATGTATGTCCAATCATGAACAATCTCCAAACATATTATCAAAATAATCAAATAAGTGAATTTTGCATTTCTAGATAATAATAATCTCTTTATGGATAATTAAGTATATTATAATAGAGTATTCCAATTTATTGGAAAATAAATAAACAGAACTGGCATAAAGTACATTATTTAAGCAAAATGAAATACTAATTAATGATTATCTTTATCTCCTAACACAACTCCACCATTTTTATATAGAAATACAATAAATAGTATTAAAATACAAATATGATAAATGTAGTTTCTTATTATAGTTCTTAAATCACTCAAAATCATATTGAATAAAGCATTAAGATGAAATGAAATTGCTTAATTAAATATATATATAATAAATACATAATCTAGGATCTTTAAATTATAACTTTATTTAATTTTATTCCAAATAATCTTTAATACAGATATAAACAATCCATAATATATTGGTTTATCTACTCATCACAGAACATAATGAAAACTAGAAATCAATAACATTAAAAAATTTACAATTGAAGAAATAAAATAATACTTTGACTACAATAATTGAGAAGATAAGGATAATAATGTAATTGATAAGGTATCTGTATAGAACAAAAAGTTATAAAAATAAATAGTTGGGAGAATTGAAAATAATAATGCCTTTTGTTTATTTTAAAACAATTTGGATAAAACTAAAAATGTGATAATTGGATATATAAAACTATAATTAAATATATATATACGTGTTGATTATTCTGCAAGCTATAAGTGTGCTAAATCCCATTTTAGAGAGCAATACAATAAATGGATAATTAAGAAAATAAAGCATAGGTGGAGTTGTCAATTTTGGATTCCAATAAGCAAAATCTGAATCTAGATAATGTTGCATTTGATCTAAATGAAATTCTTCATCCTATAAAAGAAAGTAAATTAGCATTGTACCATGTAGGGGATTGTTACAACATAATTTATATATAGGCTCAATGTGAGATTGAGTAGAAATGTAAAATATATCTCATAACCCATAGTAAATAATTAATTAATTTATTTACTCATTTATGAACATCATTTCAATTTCTAAGGGTTTCATTTTTAGTTTAAGTTTACCTTTTACATTCTTAAATATATTAACTAATTGTAAAAGATCAATATTTTTGGTAATTGTAAAAAAATTTTATCTGCCATTTACAAACCTTTTGTTAGTAACTCTTGTAATGGAGGTTTCATGCTGTTTAAATCAAATGGTTGATGCAAGTAAATGAGTCCACCTCTATGGAATTAGATCAACTAATACCAAGGTGGGCACATGATAAGAATAAGGTCTTGTTTATTGTGAGAAGACTCTAGAAAGTTCATTTAAATAACTCTGGCAATAGATTGAATTTATTGAGGTAAGTCATCAGATATGCCAGAGACCATTTAACTACTGAAACTCTTTGTTATTCTCACATTTTAATCTTCGATCATAAAGAACTCATTTTATGGATATCCTAAAACAGATAGTTTATATACTCAATCTTAATTATCTGATTATTATAGTATATTTTTTTGAATCTAAAACTATAATTTAAAATATTAAAATCATTTCATTTATTTAACAATTATAGAATTATGAACAAATTAATAAAGCAAAAAATTGATTTTTATTAATTAATATGATGTATAAATTCGTCATCCGATTTTTATTAATGAATGTTTTGGTGAATGCTTACAACCCTACAATTTATGAATTATCTTTGAGACCTTGGCTTTATGAATTAACAAATAAATATGGAAAAAAGATTAGTAAATTAAATGATATTCCAATGGAAGAATTTCAGAATCTTAAAAATATTGGTGTTGATTATGTTTGGCTCATGGGTGAGTATTAATGTTAATTTAGGTATTTGGTAACTTGGAAAATATGGATTAGACTTTGATAAGGCTCATGCAAATGATTATAAGTCTAATTTACCTGACTTTACTATAGATGATGTCATAGGTTCCCCTTATGCCATTACTGAATTTGTTTGTAATTCAGAACTAGGTACAGACTAAGACATTATAAATCTGAGAAAGAAACTTAATGATATGGGATTAAAACTCATGCTAGATTTTGTTCCTAATCATTCTGCAATTGATAGTCCATATAGAACATCACATATTGATTATTATATTAGAGCCCCTCCTAATACACCAAAGCCTTATGACTCTGAATACTATTTACCTGATGGTGTAAGTTATGGTGGTGATTAATGGGATGGATTTTGGAAAGACACTGCTTAATGGAATTATTGGAATTAAGATACTAGAAATTATCTTAAATCTGTAGTAAAGAAGATAGCTTCTATGTCAGATGGTATGAGATGTGATATGGCTATGGTTATATTGAATGATCTCTTTTACAATAAGTGGAAACCTTAATTAGATGCTTGGGGTTATAAAAGACCATCAACTGAATTTTGGTCTGAAGCTATAAAGGAAACCAAATAATAATATCCAAATGTAATTTTCTTGGCTGAAGTATATTGGGGAAAAGAATAGGATCTAATAAATTTAGGATTTGATTATGTATATGAAAAATGGTTATTGGATCAATAAGCTACTTTAGATGTAGGAAAGGTTAGACCCATTTTATCTAATTTAAATTTAAATGTATTTAATTTATTTTAATAATAGTATGCATCTCATTCAAATCATTTTGTTGAAAATCATGATGAACCAAGAGCTATAAAAAAGTTTAGTGGCAAGGATTATATTTCTTGTGTAGCTGCATTAATGAGTTACTCTATTCCAGGAGCAAGATTTATTAATCATGGTTAATTGGAAGGATTGTCTAATAAATTAGATGTTCATTTAAGAAGNTTTAAAATATTAAAATCATTTCATTTATTTAACAATTATAGAATTATGAACAAATTAATAAAGCAAAAAATTGATTTTTATTAATTAATATGATGTATAAATTCGTCATCCGATTTTTATTAATGAATGTTTTGGTGAATGCTTACAACCCTACAATTTATGAATTATCTTTGAGACCTTGGCTTTATGAATTAACAAATAAATATGGAAAAAAGATTAGTAAATTAAATGATATTCCAATGGAAGAATTTCAGAATCTTAAAAATATTGGTGTTGATTATGTTTGGCTCATGGGTGAGTATTAATGTTAATTTAGGTATTTGGTAACTTGGAAAATATGGATTAGACTTTGATAAGGCTCATGCAAATGATTATAAGTCTAATTTACCTGACTTTACTATAGATGATGTCATAGGTTCCCCTTATGCCATTACTGAATTTGTTTGTAATTCAGAACTAGGTACAGACTAAGACATTATAAATCTGAGAAAGAAACTTAATGATATGGGATTAAAACTCATGCTAGATTTTGTTCCTAATCATTCTGCAATTGATAGTCCATATAGAACATCACATATTGATTATTATATTAGAGCCCCTCCTAATACACCAAAGCCTTATGACTCTGAATACTATTTACCTGATGGTGTAAGTTATGGTGGTGATTAATGGGATGGATTTTGGAAAGACACTGCTTAATGGAATTATTGGAATTAAGATACTAGAAATTATCTTAAATCTGTAGTAAAGAAGATAGCTTCTATGTCAGATGGTATGAGATGTGATATGGCTATGGTTATATTGAATGATCTCTTTTACAATAAGTGGAAACCTTAATTAGATGCTTGGGGTTATAAAAGACCATCAACTGAATTTTGGTCTGAAGCTATAAAGGAAACCAAATAATAATATCCAAATGTAATTTTCTTGGCTGAAGTATATTGGGGAAAAGAATAGGATCTAATAAATTTAGGATTTGATTATGTATATGAAAAATGGTTATTGGATCAATAAGCTACTTTAGATGTAGGAAAGGTTAGACCCATTTTATCTAATTTAAATTTAAATGTATTTAATTTATTTTAATAATAGTATGCATCTCATTCAAATCATTTTGTTGAAAATCATGATGAACCAAGAGCTATAAAAAAGTTTAGTGGCAAGGATTATATTTCTTGTGTAGCTGCATTAATGAGTTACTCTATTCCAGGAGCAAGATTTATTAATCATGGTTAATTGGAAGGATTGTCTAATAAATTAGATGTTCATTTAAGAAGAAGTTATAAAGAAAATGGTTCAACTTATGTTAAATAGTTTTATGGAAAGATCTTGACAATATTAAAAAAAGATGTATTTAAATCAGGAAATTGGACATAATTAAATGTAACTGGAGATTAATATTGGAAATTCTTTGCTTTTAGAGTAATAAAATTGAAATTATTTAATAGTGGACTAATGCAACAGATAAAATAGTTGTCATTATTAATTTCTCAGAAGGATCTGGATATGGACTTGTCAAATTAAGTGATGCTTCAAGTGGATAATAAACTATTACTGAATTGATGAGTGGATAAACTTATGTAAGAAATGGAGATGATATGAGAAATAATGGATTAGGTGTCATTGTTGATGGATGGAATGCTTAAATTTTTAAATATTTCTGAAACATATTATAAATAATTTAAAATATGGAAAATTACAATAGTGTGATTATTAAATTATATATCACTACTTTTTCTTTATTTTAGGTAGTTATTGATGTTCTTCTATTATTTTCATTAATACAGTAGGTCTTTCTGCACTAGGTTACATTGACAAATCCTTTTTTAATGAATCATTCTTTGATCTCTTTATATGATTACTTGGATTTCTTTCATTGGATGAATTCTTTCTTAATACATATTATTCCTCATCTTATCTTTAAGTTCCAGATATGATTGGTAACTTCTATGAATAGTGTTATTTATTGAGGGATTAGATAACATCTTTAGCATAATAATTAGAGTTTATTTGAATTTGATGTTCTATTCGATCCTTTGAGATACATTTACTTTTAATAATATATCAATTATTACGGTTAAACAGATTCATACTTCTCATGTTTTTCATGAGTAGAATTTGATACCCTCAATCTTCTATCTGGAGGCAAAATATTGTCTTAAATAGTCTATTTTGAAGTAGATTTGTTTAAATTCTATTTCACATTAGGACTCTTTTCAATATCCTTCTATTCAAGTTAAGTAATTTGCTTCATTAATTAATGTAAAGCTTCATTAGGTTAATTTAGAGATATGGAATCATTAGTATCTTAAGATTTGATTCTATTAGATTATTAATTTCTTCTTATATGATTTGAATTATGTTGATTCAAGTAATTGCTACCAGGTAATTAAAAATTTAGATTAATAAGTTCTGATTTATTTGTTTACAATCCTTTTCTAGTGATTGGCCACTTGATTGTCTTTAATAAATCATCCTCTATATCTTCTGAGATCAAAGGAATTCCATATTATTTGGCTTTCTTTTGCACATATTAATATTAGAGTAACTTATCTAAATATTATATCTTAAATTCAATACCACAATCTGGTCTATTTTGAGGATGTACTTACATCATAGTTTTAATTAATTGAACCAACTCTTAAGAATAAATTACAGGTATAGGTTAATATTAACCTCTTAGAACAGATTTATAAAGTCCATCCATATCTTTGGCTCTAAATGGTCTAATCTAATAGTTGAATCATAAATACGGTTTAAGAGCACAGGCCTCATAAATCACACATCCTAAAGACCAAATATCTGCTTTGTGATCATATGGTTTATCTTACCAAACCTCTGGACTTGCATAATAAGGTGTGCCAGTTTGAGTATAGACTAAACCATTTTTGGCTAATTTAGAAACATTGAAGTCTCCAAGTTTGACTTAGTCATTTTCATATAGGAATATATTTGCACATTTCAAATCTCTATGCAGTATTTTTTTATGATGTAATGCTCTTAATCCCTATAAAACTTAAATTGCAACTTGCCATATCTCTTATTCAGGAATCATTTATTATTTTTTTACAAACCTCTAAATCTTTTACAATAAATCTCCTCCTTCTGCGTACTCCATGATAATACTTAGATTACAACGATTAATTATACCATAAATTATTATCTTCAATAAAACATTCCTTATAAGAAACAACATTTTCATGGTGGATTGATGCTATAAAACGGACCTCATTAAGAGCATTCTATTTTTCTCTATCTCCAATATCTACTAATTTAACCTTTATTATATTTCATAATATCAATTTACTTTTTTTAAAGCATAAATATTTCCATCAGACTTTCGTTATACTTTGTAAACAGATGAATAAGCTCCAGAACCTAGAAATATTTTAATGGATTAAATGATACCTAATTTATTGAGGATCTCAAAATTTTATAGTTTGCTTTCCATTTTAATAATAATTTATAATGTAATAATAGTTAACAATTGAGAAACATGAAGAATTCATCAAAAAGACCCTTTATTAATAGAAACTCCCATGCAAAATGGATTCTTTAAAGGCATTAATTTTATATTGTTGTGTTACAACTCTTAAATTATTGAAATCAGAATACTAATGTGAACCAATAGTAGAATTCTTGAAACATTTAGAAGTGTAACCACATTAATATAGAGCTTCAACATATGATGATTCAGAACCATCAATAGTTAATTCATATTGTGCAATATCTGTATTGAGGTAGATTAAACAAAAAATTGAGGTTAATAAAGAATCAGCTTTGAATTATGTTAGATCACTTATTTAAGAGGATGGAAATATTCGTTCATCTGTTAGTTCTAATGATGCAGATTTAAGAATGGTCTATAGTGCTTTGGCATATTTAGATTTGTTAGAAATAGATACAAGTGAATTTTAGTAAACTGTAGGAAAATTCATACTAACATGTTAAAATTAAGATGGAGCATTTGGATTGAGACCAAATTTGGAATCTCATTGTGGTGCATCTTATTGTGCAGTTTCTAGTTTGATTATATTAAAATTAGAAATACCTAATAAAAGTAGTTTGATAGAATGGTTAGTTATGAGATAATGTAAGATGACTGGTGGTATGGCTGGTAGAATTAATAAGATTCCTGATTCTTGTTATTCATTTTGGATAGGATGGAATTTAAGATTATTAGGTCTTGATTTATTAGATAAGGAAAGATTGATGGAATTCTTGTAACATTGTTAATCTAATTATGGTGGATTTAGTAAATATCCATAAAATATGCCTGATCCAATTCATACTTTACATTCATTATTAGGAATATTGGAGAATGAAGATTATGATTATGTACATGCCATAATATTGAACTGATAATTTTACAGAATTATACAATAATATATATATATATTAAATATTTTAAAGGGAATTATATTAAATATAAGAATCAATTATTTGATAATTTATATTAATAAAATGAAAATGAATTAATTAATAGTGGAGAGAGAAAGTGATAATATTCGTAAAATGAGTCGTCTTGCTATCTTTAATCAAAAAAGGTTCTGGCTAAAAGAAGAAGAAAAGTAATAAACAGAGGAAATAGAGATAGAATTCAATAAACTTAAACTTGAAGAACCCCCTTTAAAACTAGAATAATAAAACCTGCGAAAATTTTGCAAGAATTTTTAAAGTTTTGAATATTATAATGGAGATTCCATTAATATAAATGACTACTTTATTCGTATTCTACCTGTTGGATAAAGATGTATTGTTAGCAGTCATTAAGGAGTCACAGTATTAAAAACTATCAATGGTCTAAAATATAAATTTTCATCATCACTTCCTGGAGGTATTTGTTAAAATAATTAATTTTATAGGAAGTTAAAAGACTTTAATAGGTAGATGTATTTTAGATTGTTTTCTAAGTGCAAATACAGTTTATATTTATGACATTTTATAATGGGGTAAAATGGATATGAGTGATTAAGTTGCAGAACTTAGATATTTTTGGATTAAAGGACACATTCTTAGTCAATTACGTTAAGATTAAGAATAATAGGATTATAATTTTGAATGGATTCCTGTTATTCCATCAATTACTGAATTACAAAAAACTCTTTTCCCTTATACTAAAAATGGTTTATTATTTATACGAAAAGATTCTTATTATTATGCAGGAGTTAATCCTGAATGTTTTATTTATTAAGATGAATTCACAGATGAAAATTTTAAAGAAGAATGCATCAAATATAAATTAGATAATTCAATTACATTAACTCTTAGTCTATTTTAAAATCAATTATAAACTAGAGATGGTTATTTTATAGCTACATCTAAAAGTACCAAAAATACAAAAGTGATTGTTGATGCAAAAATTAAAATTACTGATAAAGAATTGATCTTACTTGATATTAAAGATCCATCCAAATTTTTGGAAGATCCCTATTCTAAAATAATGTTCTGGAAGTAGTTACCTCGTTTAAGGATACAATGATATAAATAAATAATTGATACTAAATCAAACAAAGAATCTTTTTCTAAGTAGTTCAGAATTCTTTTAAAATTATTTATTTATATGAGAAATTCTAGGCAAAAGTAAAATCTAATCCTCTATATTAGCATTCTGATGTTTCCACTCTACATTTTATTTTTTTCTCATTCCTAGGATTTTATTAAGAAACAATTTGTTTCTTAGCATCATCAATTACTAACAATACTTTTTATGGTCATAATTTTATTGATTCACTTTCAACTCTATGATGATTTTCCTTTAATTTTGTGTGATAATTTATTTAATAAAGAATAATCTGGATTATATTAATCTTATTAGATTATGAAAGGTATCAATATACTATTAAAATGCTAATAAGAATCTGTTTTCTATTATTTAACATATTTATTAATTGAATAATGATTAAAAATAATCTTATTTATCATTAATACTTCATACATTAATATATTGTCAATCAGAATTTTATTCTTTTTATTATATTTAAGAAATCAACACATTATATAAACTTGTATTATTATTAGATTTATAAACTAATAAAATATTTCATAATAGATAGAATTAAATCTAAAATCTTTAAATTTAGAATTTCATCATTCTAAAAAATTGAATGAAACACTCTTTGTAAATATTAAATACATAATTTGTCTATGCACAGTATATTTTCTTATTTATATAACAAAAATATATTTTGGAGTAGATCTTTTGAAAAATAATCAAAGATGATGAAAACCAATGTATTTCATAAAATCATATTAAATTTAACCTTATACAAGATGAAAAACTTAAAAATATTGTTATAGATAATAGGATTAAACACTTTCATCAATAAATACTCTAAAAAATTAAACAAATTGATAATAATAAATATCAATAGTTAAGAATATTATAAAGTAAAATATCAATAAAATCATTCAGGCTATTCTCTTTTCTTTTCCTTCTTTTTCTTCAGCTATTTCAATTATCTAACCAATTATTTTAATTTCTCTTTCTTTTTTATAAGTATCATGATTAATCTAAATTAATTATATGTCCCTTTATAGTATGTCTATTTCAACCACATTTTAGCCAATCTCCAAAAAATGAGTTCTGATCTATCATTATAATTCATTTATTGTTCCATTTAATCTGCTGATAATAATTTCTCTTCATAAAATTCTAATAATTTTATTTTTTTCTAATCTGTATATTTACTAAAATCAAGAAATATTAGATAATTTTTCATTTAGATCAATTCTTCTGGTATTATTTTATAGAGTTCTATACCCTCACATTCTGCAACTTGCATAACTAATAAAGGATTATAAGTTGGCATCAATTTTATTCCTCTATTATTTAACTTAATTAGATCTTAAGCATATATTGTTGATTTTTTTATCAATTTTTCTAAAATTTAATAATATAATATTGGCAGTTTCTCTTTCTCTTATTAAATTTCAATTTCTAATAATGAAATTATATTCAATTGCTAAAACCGATAATATAGTAAATAATTTGTTATTATTTCTTTCATATAGCTATTCAAAAGTCTTAATTTCAAAACATCATGCAAATACAGAAATGGAAAAATACTTAAAAACATTTAAAACGTAAATCTATTTTCTTTACTTTGCTTTGAACGATTATTTCTTTATTACTAAATGAATTATTATAATTTTACAAATATGAATTGCATTTCAATCAATTGTTGCCATAATAAATTCAACTCTTGATTTTATTGTTTATTTTTCTTCTATAATTTCATTAGTTCATCCATCTTAAATACAATAATTATAAATATAAATAATTAATAAATAAGTAAAGAGATTCTCTTAAGCATTCTATAATAACCGTAAAATATAAATCATAATTATATTTGTACTTTAAAGTTATTCTTTTTTTATATAAAATTCAATTTTATATACTCTAAATATTTATGTTATAAATATACAACTAAATATTATTTCTAGAATATAAAACACAATGAAAGTAGATTTATAAATGAAGATATTTTTTACTTTATGATTATTAATAAATTGAATAATATTACATTACAGTAATAATTTAATATTTTCATTAGNGATAATAATAAATATCAATAGTTAAGAATATTATAAAGTAAAATATCAATAAAATCATTCAGGCTATTCTCTTTTCTTTTCCTTCTTTTTCTTCAGCTATTTCAATTATCTAACCAATTATTTTAATTTCTCTTTCTTTTTTATAAGTATCATGATTAATCTAAATTAATTATATGTCCCTTTATAGTATGTCTATTTCAACCACATTTTAGCCAATCTCCAAAAAATGAGTTCTGATCTATCATTATAATTCATTTATTGTTCCATTTAATCTGCTGATAATAATTTCTCTTCATAAAATTCTAATAATTTTATTTTTTTCTAATCTGTATATTTACTAAAATCAAGAAATATTAGATAATTTTTCATTTAGATCAATTCTTCTGGTATTATTTTATAGAGTTCTATACCCTCACATTCTGCAACTTGCATAACTAATAAAGGATTATAAGTTGGCATCAATTTTATTCCTCTATTATTTAACTTAATTAGATCTTAAGCATATATTGTTGATTTTTTTATCAATTTTTCTAAAATTTAATAATATAATATTGGCAGTTTCTCTTTCTCTTATTAAATTTCAATTTCTAATAATGAAATTATATTCAATTGCTAAAACCGATAATATAGTAAATAATTTGTTATTATTTCTTTCATATAGCTATTCAAAAGTCTTAATTTCAAAACATCATGCAAATACAGAAATGGAAAAATACTTAAAAACATTTAAAACGTAAATCTATTTTCTTTACTTTGCTTTGAACGATTATTTCTTTATTACTAAATGAATTATTATAATTTTACAAATATGAATTGCATTTCAATCAATTGTTGCCATAATAAATTCAACTCTTGATTTTATTGTTTATTTTTCTTCTATAATTTCATTAGTTCATCCATCTTAAATACAATAATTATAAATATAAATAATTAATAAATAAGTAAAGAGATTCTCTTAAGCATTCTATAATAACCGTAAAATATAAATCATAATTATATTTGTACTTTAAAGTTATTCTTTTTTTATATAAAATTCAATTTTATATACTCTAAATATTTATGTTATAAATATACAACTAAATATTATTTCTAGAATATAAAACACAATGAAAGTAGATTTATAAATGAAGATATTTTTTACTTTATGATTATTAATAAATTGAATAATATTACATTACAGTAATAATTTAATATTTTCATTAGAATACTTTTTATAATAAACTAAATAGAATTTTTTTTCATTATTAATCATTTTAAATTTTAATCAAAATACAATATTATTAATAGAAATGGGTAGTTCTTCTTCAAATCAAATTACAGTTACTGTTCAATCTTATTAAAAGTGCATAGCTGTAAGGGATTATCTAGATAATTTTGACAATTAATATACTAGACAGACTAAACCTCAAAAGAAATCTAATGAAATCCAAAGTTCACATTAATCATAATCAATCTAATAAGCAAATAAATAATAAGAACCAATAAAATAAATTCAATAACACTAAAATTAATCAAATTAAAATTTAAAATTAGCTGATTGGGTTTGGCCAAATGGTATTATTTAGTTATAAATTATAATTTATTAAATCCAAAATATGAATAAAATGGAATTGATTTTTTTTTAATATTTCAAATATAATAATTTTAATTAATTCTGAATTTTTATCGAAATTCTATTTTTTTTTATATTATTTACTGTTACAATGTAATACCATATATTATTGATGAATCTTTTACATTTCAGATGAGATAAACTTTAAAATTAGCAATTTCAGAATTTTAAGAGAAAACACCTATTCAATTTGTATATATAAGTGATGATGAATAATAAAATCAATATGTAAAATATTATAGAAATGAAAAAGTTTCAAGTTATGTCTGTTGGATTGGTAGATCATTAACATAAAAAGAGCATGCTATATTCATAAATGATAAATTTCCTTATGGAACATATCTTCATGAAACTATGCATGTATTAGGTTTTGAACATGAATAATGTAGATAAGATAGAGATAATTATGTGTCAGTATAGTTTGAAGAAAAAGATTCTAAAAATTTAAAATATTAATATGAGAAGAAAGGATTTATGATTGGTGAATATGATCCTGATTCTATTATGCATTATTCTTTAAATAGAAATATGACTTCTAAAGGTTAATTTAATAATTAATAATTTGGTTAAAGAAAATAATTAAGTGAAGGAGATAGTAAAGGCATTTAATTGGTATATGGAAAAAGTTAATGTACTTATGATACATATGGTGATAAATATATGGAATAAGATTTTTTTGAATGTATTACATGTTGGGGATAGGATTCAGTATTTGGAGCATGTAGGGCTTATTGATATTAAAAAAATCTAAATCCTTTTATTGTGATTGTGGTAAATATAATCACAAAAGTAGCTTATGTACAAGACAAACTACAAAATTTAAAAGGGTATAATAATCAATGTATTTATGTTATGATTGCTTTGATATATAGAAATATCAATAAACACATGATGGTGCTATTCCAGGAGTTTGCTATCCTTGTGCTAAGAAATGTCATAAATAGCATAAACTAAAATTTTATTAGGTGGCTAAACATTTTTATTGTGATTGTGGTTTAAAAGATTGTAAAACAAAATGCACTGCAAAATGATATAAAATAATTTAAAATTTAATGTTTGAATACTATTTCTCATTTTTATAAATGGATTTAAGTATATTAAACAATATAGTTTAATTTATCTAATGAAATAACTTAAATTACTAATTATTATTGGTTGAAAATATGAATTCATTTTTTAATACATATATATATAAATAGTCTTCAAAATTTATAGAAAATATTTAGTATAAAAATAATAATAAAAACAGTTTAAAAAGTTTTGATGAATTCTCCTAGTGATTCAATTGATGATATTATTAGTCTATTAAACAAACACTATCGTCCAAATAGTAATTAAGAATAATAATGTAAAGTTTTTGAATAATTAGTAAATTAGCTTAATAATATTAAAGACCTAAACCAAGTATTGGAAATGTTATGCTTCCTCAAATAAAAGTAAATTGATAATAAATTAATTCAGTAATAATTAAATGTGTTGAGTGCAATTCCAAACACTTATAATAATAATTAAGATAAATTCAAAAGAAAGGCAGCAAGTTTAAATAGATAATAACAACCGAAATAATAAATCAAAGATACTAATTTATTTTAAATTCCAATGACTAGATATTTAACTTTTAAACCATATTCTGGAAGCACTGATATTATAATAAATGTATGAATTTTAATAAAAAGGATGTTGGTTATTATTATAAATTTGGAAGTAGTCCAATTAAATTAGTAAAAGGATTATTAGAAGAGAATGGTTTTAAAGAAAGTAATGATAAAAATTGGACTATGTATTGGTCATCATGTGCAATAAAATCAGAAATTTATACAAATTTATTTGCTTATTAAAAAGTATGTCATTTTCCAAAATCATATGAAATGACTCGTAAAGATTTAATGCATCGTAACATTTCGAAAATGTAAATAAATCATGGATTTATTAATTTTAATTTTATCCCAAAGACATATATATTACCAGCAGAGATGAGTTATTTTTTAGAAGAACATGAGAAAATCAAGAATAATAATCCTGTATATATATGTAAACCACATGCTAGTTCTTAAGGAAAAGGTATCTTTATTACTGATAAGATACAAGATGTAAATTAATATTATTATTATTTTAAGATATTAAATAAATAGAATTCTAATAATTCATATGTTGTTTCACATTATATTGATAAACCATTATTAATAAATAATCTAAAATTTGATTTAAGAATATATGTAGCTATAAGTTGTATAAATCCATTGAGAATATATATTTATTAAGATGGATTGGCAAGATTTGCTACTGAAGCATATAATTCTGATTCTGTAAAATAGAATAGATTTGTACATTTGACTAATTATTCTGTAAATAAGGATTCACCTAATTTTATAGCAAATTAAGATCCTACTTTAGATTATTTAGGTAGTAAATGGAGTTTATTGGCTTTAAGAGAATATTTAAAATTAAACAAAATAAATGAAGTATTAAATTATAGTTATTTAGTAATAAATATTTGAAAGAATTGAAGATTTAATAATTAAAACAATAATTAGTGTAGAAAGTGCAATATTTTAGGCATGTGAAATGAATGTACCATTTAGATCTAATTGTTTTTCCTTATTTGGATTTGATGTATTAGTGGATTCCCTTTTGAAACCTTGGCTTTTAGAAGTCAATTTTTCACCTTCACTCAATATTGATGCTCCTTTAGATCTCAAAATAAAAGGAGAAATGTTAGCAGATCTATTCACTCTAATAGGAATAGTACCATTAGTAATCTTCATTATGATTAAAGGACTAAAGATTTTCATAAGATTTATCGTATGTTAGAAATTAAAGCAATTATGATTTTAAGAAACATCAATAAGAATTTGAAAAATATATCATAAAAGAGACAGAAGAAGAATTGAAAAGAAGTAGAGGTTGGAAAAGACTTTATCCATCTGATTCAAGTTCTAAATATACTAAATATTTTGAATCTGATAGACCATTAAATGCATTACTAAGAAATTATTATAAATGAAATAATATTAATTTTTATTATTATTTTAAAATATTTTATAATTATTTTTATGAAATTAATGCCAAGGTAAAACAACTTGAAAAAGATGAAGATTTATTAAGAAGAATAGATAAATTAATAACAATAGTAAATTATTTATTGAATAAACTTCAAAAATATCACACGAATTCTTTATATGCTAATATACATAAATAACTTAAAAATTCTAATCCATTAGAATATTTCAATCAATGATAATTGTCATCTCCATAATAGCCATATAAGATTAATATATCATTATATAATTGATATTCAAATATAGTTAGAACTATCAATATTGTTTTTGCATATATAAATTGACAAGAAGGTATAAATAATAGTTAGATACATTTCTAATTCAATTTTTAAAGGAAATAGATAAAAACTAGTTTTTTTATATCTTTAAAAGCCTCAACTTAATATATACAATATCATCATAGATAATCAAGAGAATCTTAAATATTTACAAAATATAATCAATAAATCTTCCATATTAACAAATATTATATGATTCCTTAACAAGAGATTTCAACCAATCACATGGATAACCATTAATTTAACCATATCATTTTAATCAATAGTCTCTATATTAACTTCATTATCAACCCCTTTCAATAATAACATCATTATTAATCCCCATAATTTTGTCTATAGAAATAATTATCTATGATTAGATCTCTAAACTACTATTATTCTGCTTACTAAAATTATCTTATCCTTAAATTTTTGATTTTTAATAAAAATGGTGAATGAATATATATATATTAATTGTATTTTTCAATCAATACCCAAAGGTAAATATATAAAAAAGTAAATAAACCGAATTGTAATAAGATTTAGCGTGATTGCCTTCAGGAATTTCCTAATTTCAACCAAAACAACCTTAATCCTTTTAACAATTAAATAAATATAGAGATCAATGAAGCAATAAATAATTTGATAAGGTTATCGAATGGTGCAAAGAAATACTTTTTTAAATAAATTATGATATTATGTTTATATAATATAATTATTATAGAACTGACAATTATTATTATATTTATAATTTTATGCTTAAACCTGATTTGGAATTTTTATATATTAAGGGCAATTAGAAATTTCAAGATGTTGCCTTTTAATAACCTATTAGATAACATCAGCCAAAAGTGAATGCTATAAAACTCAAAGGTTTTCAACAATTTGTGGAACTCATTAATAAATAATAAGAATAACAACAATAATTGAAAACCTGTTCTTAATGTACTCCTTAATTATTACCAACTGTTATTTCCTATCCTCCAAGAATAGAAGTTTAAACCAGAAAAGCAAGTGAGATGAAACTATTTGTAAAAAAAAGTTTTATTGATACTCCTACTGAATCACATTCTTAAGAAAGANAATATCACACGAATTCTTTATATGCTAATATACATAAATAACTTAAAAATTCTAATCCATTAGAATATTTCAATCAATGATAATTGTCATCTCCATAATAGCCATATAAGATTAATATATCATTATATAATTGATATTCAAATATAGTTAGAACTATCAATATTGTTTTTGCATATATAAATTGACAAGAAGGTATAAATAATAGTTAGATACATTTCTAATTCAATTTTTAAAGGAAATAGATAAAAACTAGTTTTTTTATATCTTTAAAAGCCTCAACTTAATATATACAATATCATCATAGATAATCAAGAGAATCTTAAATATTTACAAAATATAATCAATAAATCTTCCATATTAACAAATATTATATGATTCCTTAACAAGAGATTTCAACCAATCACATGGATAACCATTAATTTAACCATATCATTTTAATCAATAGTCTCTATATTAACTTCATTATCAACCCCTTTCAATAATAACATCATTATTAATCCCCATAATTTTGTCTATAGAAATAATTATCTATGATTAGATCTCTAAACTACTATTATTCTGCTTACTAAAATTATCTTATCCTTAAATTTTTGATTTTTAATAAAAATGGTGAATGAATATATATATATTAATTGTATTTTTCAATCAATACCCAAAGGTAAATATATAAAAAAGTAAATAAACCGAATTGTAATAAGATTTAGCGTGATTGCCTTCAGGAATTTCCTAATTTCAACCAAAACAACCTTAATCCTTTTAACAATTAAATAAATATAGAGATCAATGAAGCAATAAATAATTTGATAAGGTTATCGAATGGTGCAAAGAAATACTTTTTTAAATAAATTATGATATTATGTTTATATAATATAATTATTATAGAACTGACAATTATTATTATATTTATAATTTTATGCTTAAACCTGATTTGGAATTTTTATATATTAAGGGCAATTAGAAATTTCAAGATGTTGCCTTTTAATAACCTATTAGATAACATCAGCCAAAAGTGAATGCTATAAAACTCAAAGGTTTTCAACAATTTGTGGAACTCATTAATAAATAATAAGAATAACAACAATAATTGAAAACCTGTTCTTAATGTACTCCTTAATTATTACCAACTGTTATTTCCTATCCTCCAAGAATAGAAGTTTAAACCAGAAAAGCAAGTGAGATGAAACTATTTGTAAAAAAAAGTTTTATTGATACTCCTACTGAATCACATTCTTAAGAAAGAAGCAAGAAAGATATTAGATTAATTCCTTAAAAATAATTTTCAATTAAAAGAGCAATAACTTCTAAAAATGAAGATAGCAATATAATATTTGAATAAAATGAATTTCCAATTCTTATCGCATTATCAAATAATTTAAGTGTTTAACCTCCAGATAGAGCAATCTATAAGGCTTTTGTGACTAAAGGTAATAATGGAATTTTGATCAGATAAAGTTTAAAATAAAGACCATGGTGGATATTGATAGATTAACCTAGTGAAGATATGAATTTTTATTGGACATAATTAAGAAAATAAGCACATTATGAATAATTATAAAAATAACAATTAGAAATGGTAGCATTTAGTAAAATGTAAAAGAAATAAGTAAATGATAAATTAAAATATAAAATTGAAGATTCAGAATATTCAATATTTAGTTAGAGTGTTAGTTTAAAAGTTCATAATCATTTAGAATGTAATTTTTAAGTATGCAATAAAAAAGCACTCTTTTATAATATGAAAAATTATTATATTTCTCGAAATGAGGATCCCTTTTAATTTATTCCTCTTACTTATCATATATAAACAGGTTCTAATGATCCTGCTTATTTAGAATTTGAATAATATGCTTAAACATAAAATGTAAATCTATGGATAGTAAAACCAGGAGAATCATCTAATAGAGGGAATGGCATTTAAGTTGCAAATTCAATTTAAAAAGTTAAATCAATTATATCTCAATCTTCTAATCATCATAATGGAATGAAAAAAACATTTATTGTTTAAAAATATATGGAGAAGCCTCTTCTCTATAATAAAAGAAAGTTTGATATTAGATGTTATATATTAATGACAAGTATCAATAATAAATTCAAAGCCTATTGGTACCAAGAAGGATATATTAGAACAAGTTGTAAAGAGTTCTCATTGGATGATGTAGAAGACAAATTTACTCATTTAACCAATGATGCTGTATAAAAAAAGAATTAAAATTATGGAAAATATGAAACAGGCAATAAAGTAAGTAAATAATAATTATTTAGGTATCTTTTAATGAATTTTAAAAATACTTATAAGATAATTATAATTACAATTTTTCAATTATAATTGATTAACTTAAAAAATTAAGTACAGACATTGTAAAAGCCACATATCAACATTTAGATCCAAATCTACATTTTTATACTTTTGAATTATTTGGATTAGATTATATGATTGATTAAGATATGAAACCTTGGCTTATTGAAGTGAATACTAATCCTTGTTTGGAAACATGTTGTCCACTTTTAGCAAGATTGATTTCACATCTAATAGAGAATACAATACGTGTAGCTATTGATCCTATGTATCCACCTCCTCTCAATAAAAAGAAGCATATATAAGATTAAAAAAATTTATTTGAATTAATCTTTTCTACTACTTTAATTACTGATACAGTTACATAACCTATCATAAAGGAAGATGATGATGAACATGATGATGTTGAAGATGATAATTGATTATAATTATTTTATAATTAAATAAATTATCTTTAAATTCATTTTAAATTATATTAGATATGTTTATAAATCAAAAGAAATATTTGAAAATAAATATCTTAAAAATTTTTATTACAATAATAAATAAAAATTTATTAATAATATGATTATAAATATTAAAAAATTTCATGAGTATTACTTTTTTTTTTATTTTTTATTATCAGAGTCTAATAATTATTTTATAAATTCAGGTACTCTTTATTTTTCTTTTTCTAAATTCCTAAGTTATATTTTGCAATTAATACCTTTTAAATTCAATTATCTATTTCTATCCTTTCAATAATTCTTTAAGTGCCTCAGTTCTCTCCTTGTAACCAATCTTTTTCATTAGATCATCAGGTAAATTTTAATCAAATGGATTATATTGTACATACATATTATGCATATTTTTATAAAAGTGCAATTCATCTAATAAATAGATTTTAGATGTTGATACCTTCATATTATTATTCCATGTAATCTGGCTTTTAAAGATACCTCTAATCATAAGGTATGTACCATTTATTATAAAATTCTTTCTATTTTTTAGGTAAGTATGGTAATGATGGTTATTTAGTTTTAATTATTTTATTAATTTCTTCTTTCTATTTTGATGTATGTTCCTAATTTTATTAATGATTTACTGGGTATGTCACTTTATATAGGTTCAGTTTTATAAAGATCATTTGATTTCTTTCTTCTCATTATTGAAATTTAGGCTAGTTAATCTAATTACTCTAAATTAGGAGATCTTTTATAATGTAATGATCCAATAACAGGAGGTGAGACTTATCTCTAAATTAATAGGTTTTTTTATATTTTAGATTCTGTTTCCATAAATATTTAAATGATAAAAAGAATATCTAAGAAATAATTAAGTAATTAGGGAAGGATAGTCTTAGAAGTTTAAATGTTATAATACTAATAAGAAATATTACTTAGTAAATACTATAAATAAAATTATATTAATAATGGGGCCATGTTCATCATAACAAAGAAAGCCTACAAATAATGATTAGCTTTAGATGGTTGATAATAAACAACCGAATACAGAAGAGTTTAAAGTAGGTCCCAATATCTTTGCAACATTAAAATAAGGTTCTATAAGTAACTTTTATAAAATTGAGAAAAGTTTGGGTTCAGGTAGTTAAAAATCATAAATTAGGGGCCTTTGGAGAAGTAAGGTTGGTTATACATAAAAATTCTGGATATAAGAGAGCAATGAAACAAATTAGAAAGGATAAAATAATAAAAGAAGATGAAGAAAATATGTTTTCAGAAGTAAATACATTAAAGGAGTTGGATCATCCAAATATAGTGAAATTACATGAATTGTTTTAGGATGCAAAAAATTACTATCTAGTAACTGAGTAAGAATAAAGAATATATCTAGATATTTAGAAGGAGGGGAGTTATTTTAGAAGATTACCGATATGAAACATTTTACAGAAAAAATGGCAGCAGATATTATGAAATAAATTTTGGCTGGTGTTGTTCATTGTCATGAAAAGAAAGTAGTCCATAGAGATTTGAAACCTGAAAATATACTTTTTGAAAGTAAAAAACCAAACTCAAATCTAAAGATTATTGATTTTGGAACTTCAAGAAAGATGGATAGCAATTAAAATCTTACAAAGAGATTAGGAACTGTAACATTTAATAATATTTAAGCCTTATTATATTGCACCTGAAGTCTTAAAAAGAAATTATAATGAGAAATGTGATGTTTGGAGTTGTGGAGTGATTTTATATATTATGCTTTGTGGATATCCTCCATTTGGTGGTTAAGATTAAGAAATATTGTAAAATATAGAAATAGGAAAATATGAATTTGATCGTAAGATTTTAAAATAATAAAATTGTATAGCTGAAGATTGGAGTAAAATATCAGAAGATGCTAAGAATTTAATAAAAAGAATGTTAACAAAAGAATATTAATAAAGAATTTCTGCTTAAGAAGCATACAATGATCCTTGGATTTAAAAAAATGCACCAAACGGGCCAATAGATTTGAAAGCAATTAAAAATTTATCTTCATTTTTTGTATCTTTTTATTTCTATTTTAGGGTAAAAATAAAGTTAGAGCTGCTCTATTGTAATTTATTTCAACTAATTTAATGACAAATACAGAGAAAGAAGGTTTATTAAATGAATTTAAAAAAATTGATAAAGATGGAAATGGATAAATAAGTAAAGAAGAATTGCTTTAAGGTAAATTAATATATTTTCTACTTTAGTTTATATGAAATAATATGATGAAATCAAAGCAAAATAAATGGTTGATGATATTTTTGAAAAAGTTGATATTAATAGATCTGGATTTGTAGATTTTACAGAATTTATGATGTCAGCAGCCTCTGAAGAAAAATTATTGAGCAAGATTAGATTATAATAAGCATTCAATATGTTTGATACTGTAATATATTTTATATAAATAATCAAGAATGGAGATGGATAAATAAGTAGAGATGAACTTTAAGAGATTATGGGAGGAGTAGATGATAATTTATGGAAAGAAATTCTTTAAATGTGTGATGCAAATGGAGATGGTTAGATATCATAATAAGAATTTATTGATTTCTTAGTGAAAAAATATTAACAATGATATTAATGATAACATCAATTCATAATAATGTGTAAATAAGATAATACAGTCTTTTGTGATCTTTTATGTAAAGTTCTGTTTATAACAATGGGATACCTTTACATAGGTTATGCTCTAACTTATTATGCAATCACTTAGGATTCAATTGCATATGTGTTGGACTTTTAACATTCCCCAAACAAAAGTGTTATTGAAGGTTTTGTTAATGCATCTCTTTCAATAGGAGCAGCTGTTGCAGCTTTAGTATCATGTAAATTTTTTGTTTAATAAACTTGTAGCTATGATAGTTAACAAACTTAATTATCGCAATACCTTCATTCTCTTTGATATTATTGGAATTTGTATAGGATTGTTATTTACAATTGAAAACTTAAATGTTTTAATATTATGTAGAACCTTATAAGGATTCTTAACAGGTTTGAATAGTGCTCTAGTCATTCAATACATCTATCATTTTGTACCTCTGAACAATGTTGGAATATTTGTTGGGTTAGGTCCATGTCTTATGATGGTAGGCTTAACATTAGGTTTTGCAGTATAATGGATATTTCTTGGATTACCAGCCTCTGAATATAATGTAGATCTGGATTATGGATATTTAGGATTTAACAATTGGAAAATTATTTTTTTATTCACAACCATTCCCTGTATTATTCGTCTTTTTGGTATGGTTTTCATTTTGAAAACTAAATTGCCTTTTGAATAAGTGAAGAAAGGAAATGATGAAAAAGCAATATTATAAATATAAAGTTCTTATCCAAGTACGACAACTAATGAGGAAATTCAGGAATTATTACTATAAATTAAAGAAAATTTAAAGGAAGAAAATTAAAATATTAAAGATTTATTTAGTAAGTCATATAGAAAAAGTATGATCTTATGTATGATTTTTGGAGTACTTTAATAATTTGCTGGAATTAATGCTGTAAACTTTTATGCTGGTGCTATAATTGGTGCTATGACAAATAATAACATAACATTAATTAATTTAGCTAATGTTACAAATGGTTTGGTAAGTATTGCAGCTTCTATATTCAGTAGTATTATGATTAATAGAGCAGGTAGAAGGATTGTATTATTAATTGGTAATGCATTTTGTTTTATATCATTAACATTCATATGTATAATCATTTCAATTTAATCATAAGGGGATAATGATGAAAAACATTATTAGATATTTAATCTAGTTTTTTTAGTTATTTATGTTATTTCATATAGTCTTTCATTAGGTCCAGTATTTTGGGTTTATCTATCAGAAGTATTACCTACTAAAGGAATATCATTAGTCACTTTTATTAATTGGATAAGTTGTGCTCTTTTAGCTTAAATTTTTCCTATTATTGTTGAATAACTGAGTTTATAATTCAATTTCGGAATATTTGCAGCAGTATGCTTATTATTGGAAATTATGTTTTATTATTTTTTTTTTGAAACTAAAGGTTTAACAAAAAATGAAATATAAAATCTATTTTAAAACAAAAAGAAATACGTTGATTTGAATGACTGAGAACATTATTATTATCATTATTATATATTTTAAATTAAATTAATAATTAGTCATAATTTAAATTATTGCATATAAAATAATAAATAGGGGTTTTTTTAAGATTCCTTTAAAGAAAGACAAATATTCATATATATATTAAATTTTATATTAAGGAGACTATAAATAATAATTAAGATTTATTATATGATTATATAACCTAAATTATGAATTCTAGAAAATTCGAATGCAGTTTTATAATAAAAATATAGTATGCAAATATTTTTTTATTTAAGGAAATGATATAAAAAGAGTGTTATTATGTGACACTTGGCATAAGTAGAACAGCTACTCCTGAAGAAATAAAAAAATAATATAGAAAATTAGCATTGCAATGGCATCCTGTAAAGATTTTATAAGATTATAGGATAAAAATCCAGAAAATAAAGAGAAGGCTTAAGAAATGTTCAAACAAATAGGAGAAGCATATACAGTTCTATCTGATATAGAAAAAAGAAAAATTTATGATCAATATGGTCATTAAGGGTAGAATATTATTATTAGTATTTTTATAGAATGGAAGAATAAATCCATTAACATGAAGAAGATGGCGATTTTGCATTCTTTACATTTGATCCTTTTGAGATATTTAATAATTTCTTTTATTCTGGAGATGTTTTATTTGGATCAGATGATGATGAATTTATAATTTTTGAGAATAGAAGAAAAAAGAAATAGAAAAATAAGAACAGGAACTCTGTTTTTGGATCTATGATTAATAATTTCATTGATCCTCCATTTTTTGATAATCATTAGACTGGTTATTCAAAATCAATAACATCAACTACATAATTTATGTATAAATTATTTATTCATTATTAGAAATGGTAAATAAGTTACTGTAACTAAAGAGACAATTAAAAATGGAAATAAAACTACTGTAATAGAAAAAAGAAATGAAAATGGCAAAATAACATAGAAAAAATATGAAATACAAGATAATTAAAGAAGACCTTAATTACAATATGAATAATAAAAAAAAAAGAAAAAAAATAAATAACATTGATTATGTGTGTATATTCTTTTAAATATCAATTATTTTATTATATTTAATTTTTGAGGAATTATTATTACTTTTTTAGTAGTTTATCTGCCATTTATTTACGAAATATCTTTTAAAATTATTTAGCTGGACAATTCTAATCATCCTTTTTAATATAATCATTCATTTCTGTTGATATAAATTATCCTTCAAATGTAGGTATCTTTTCATAAACCTATAATTATTAAGATATTAAATACATTTTAACGATCAATCTATGATTTATGAGATGTTGAATATGGAATGAAACTAGTTTTATGAGTTGTTTATCCTTCAAATTATCCAGTTGGTATAGGTGTTCTATCATAATTAAAGATTACTTACAAACAACTCTTAAAATAATGTGCATTATTAATGTTCCATCTATTAGGAGATATATATGATTCTTTATATTAGGATGAACCAATAAATTTGATGTCAGGACTTGTGCTTATGTGAGGGTAGGGTATATATTTATGATAATCAGTACCCCAATCATTATAATTAGACTATATTATAAATAGAAAAATACTCTGTAACTTGTTAGATTAGATACCGAACCAATTTATTGGCTAGAATGTTTTTTTTGATTTGGTTACAATTCAAGAGGTTATTATTGAAAATCTTATTAATAAAGTGATTTTAAATTTATAGATTTTTGATCCATAAATTTGGTATCGTATGTTTTTTAATTGAGTGGATTTGTTAAACTTTTTTTTGATTTGTGATTGATTACAAAATCTTTATCATAATTTGTTAAGAAAATTCCATTAAGTTTCAATTTGACTTAAGTTGTAGCATCACATTTACATCTTCCACAAGTACATTTAAAACAGGCACACAACTTTAAGTTATGATAAAAATAATCTGTATTTTCATCTAGTAATTAAATGAGTTATTTTTCATCTAATTTCAGATTTTCAGGAAGAATCCTTTTCCAAATTGGATCATCCATACTTATTTCTGACAATAGCTAAGGAGTGATTTCATAACAATTATGATCTTCATTTTATTAATATTTTAATTGAGTTTGAGATTATCTATTCAACATCAGATTGTTCTTTTTGTGAATAAATTACTTGAGTTTTACAGCTCCATTAATACTCTAGATTTATGATGATGGAGGACGTAATAAAGTTTATTGTTGATTGCAATATTTTTATTAACTCTTAGGGCGATATGATCCTATTTGATTATTCTATTAAAGAAGGCTTTAAGGTTTTTGTTTTAAGAAATTTGTAAGACTTTCTTAATTCATCTTTTAATTAAATATATTTAATTTTTCAATTACATAAATTTAAGAAATGTATTTAAAAATTATATTAATTGATAAACTAATAATGTTTCTTATATGATTCATTAGATAATCTAATTTTCAAGCTCTTCCCTATCTCTTCCCATGTCTCTATCTCTACCTCCTCTTTTGATGTAATTACATAGAAATCTTATAATTTAGAGTATTTTTTTTAATATTACTTCACTTAATCAATTACAGGTGGTAATTAATTCATTTCTTCAACAGTGCCATGATATTTCTTTTCTTTAGAATTTTTTACAGCTTATTTTAATAATAAATTCAATTCTTCAATAGATTTCTTTTATTATCCTATAAAATCATAGAACCCATCATAATTAACTACACGTTTAAAAGCTTCAAATATCTTTTCTTGTATTCCATTTTCAATACCTGTTGTTAACAAACAATAATTTTTATCAAATCTGTCTAAAATCTCCTTTTATGTCTTTAATGGTTAAACAACATAAGTTAAATAAATATATTAAAAACAAACCATTTAAAATGAAGTTGATTATTATTTAAATGTTATTTCAACTCTTTTTGTTGCACTTATTGCACCTTCTAATTTTTCATCTGCTAATTCTGGAATTTCTTTCAATAACCAAAATACTTATCTATCTAATTATTCTGTTGTATATGATTAAACTAAATCTCCAAAAGTGTATTTTTTAGATACATAGAGTAAATTAAATAATATACCAAGATTAGGAGTAAATTCTTTTGTTCTACTCTTTTCATCAGTAATAAATTTGTAAATAATTGCATCTACTTATTAATATAGTTAAGGCCATTCTTCCATACATAATAACCATAAAGCATGAATTTAAGCTAACACTCTTAAACATCTAATTGATGCATGAGTCTTTTCAGCCATCATTCCATGAACAATACTTTATATAATCTTTGGAAATACTTCCAAAACAAATTCAGGTTTGAATCTTTTAGTATTATTTGTCATTATCATTGACAATGATCTTTATAAGAGATGTAATACTCTCTCTTTATTATCAGTCTTGCCAAAATAAAGAGGTAACCAATGAGTATATTTCAAATTTAACGAATCCCATTTTAATCCTTCATTTAAAAAGGCTTTGATTGATACATAATCTAAAGATGGAACTGCTTACTTAATTTAACCAGTTCTTGGTACCTTTGATACATTTAATAGGATTCCAAGACAACTTTCTTATTTGATCTTAGTCTCATCATCATATTATGGAATTTATGGTTTTTTATAACTTAATTTAGTATGGAAGCAAATGAATTATTATTCTAACAATTCTTATTCTGTTTACTTGTTAATAAATTATTATTCATCACTTTCCTTAGTGTTGAATTAAGGCCATAATGAGAGTTTTCCACCATGTTTACAATTTTTGGTGGTACATTTAAAATTATTTGCAGTTTAAATAGCTTTTTTAATTTGTGCTAATTATTTCTCCTTTTTTTCAGTAATTTACTCTTCAAACAAAAAAGCTGATAATTATAATAATATGGATTAGATAGTGTAAGCACTTGACCAACCTGATTATTTATTTTTGTCTTCAGGCTTTCTTGGTTAAAGTAAATCTAAACAAATGGAATTACCAAAAACATTTGGATGAGGTAATTCAGTAAATAGGTCTATTTTAGGTGGTTAATGAGGATAAGATTCAGGTATCAATAATTGAAAATGAAAAATTCCACCTTCATAAGGAGTTCCAACAGGACCTCTAATATTTGCATGCCAAACAAAGAGGTCATGTTCAAGGGGTCTAGCAGTAACTCCCACTGTGGGAATGGATTCCTTCTCTATGATATTGAGATCCTTCAATAATCTCTTTGTAGCAAAATTTTATGCTTGAGTGTTGATGAGTGTCCTTAAAACTGCTGTATCTTTGGATTTACCTTATTTAATCATTCTATTTTTTTAAAAAATTATTAAATCTCTTTACGCCTTGGCATAAACATTTAAATATAAAAATTTAATTTTGCAAACTAAATGGATTAAAAATCAAATGAAATGGAAATGGCTATGGTACATCTTGCCAAACCAGAAATCAATGACTAAACTGAAATATATAAGGTTTACAAAAGGAGATATATTATGGCATCATTTTTTGCATTTTCAACTGTATTTCATTACCTAATTTCAAGATCTGTTCATCTATGATGTTTTCAACTTGTAATCCAATTGCATCAGTTTTAGCAGCTGTTTATGAAATACCAACATTTGTAGTTTCATTAGCTGCAAATGGATTTCTATTGATGCATCCTCTCTTAACTATTGTATGTAATTCAATCAATCTTAAAAACAGAAACATTTATTGTCAATCAAACAGATATATCAGTTAGTCTAAAAATTGGATGTGCATTAACATTACTAGGTGCATTGATCAGAACTGCCACAGTTATTACAGAGAGGTTGCATTGTTTCACTAAAATATAGATTTTATACTATTATTTTGGGTTCACTTGTTGCAGGAATGGGAAGACCCTTCATTATCAATATTCAAGCCAATGTTGCAAAGGAATGGTTCAGACCAGAAGATAAAACAACTGTTATGATTGCTTTTTCTTTCATTATTACATGTTCAAGTGTATTTGGGTACATTACATAATTTATTTCATATAGTGTTATAGTACCTGGTTAAATATTCAAGGGTTATAAATATGAAACAGATCCAGATGATGGTAAATGGTTAACTGGAAAACTGATGGTTATAGAATTAGAAATCTTTAGTGCTATTTTAATTCCTGCCATTTTATTCTTTAGACCAAGTCCACCTACTCCACCTGGTCCAATTAATAAATCAAGAGATGAGTTTACATACTTGTAATCTTTAAAGATAACAGCAAAAAATAAAAATTTTGTAATTCTTACATATATTATATGATTAGATCCTATTGTTTATTTGTTATAGTCTATTAATGGGTGGATTTCATGCTTTAGCTGTTGTAATTTCATACCTTTTTAATCCATTTGGTTTTACTCCCTCATAAACTAGTTTTATATGTATATAAAATAAATTTTAACATTTTAGAAAGTTCACCTATTATTTGTGGATTTGTTAGTTCTGTTATGTATTCGATATTAATAAGAAAATATCATTTAAATCATAAGAAAATAGTTTTATTTAATTTAATTCCAGTATTAGTTAGTTTGGGATTGAGCTATTTTGCATTAATGACTGAAAGCTTACCTCTTGTGTTATTATGCTATTCAGTATAATAATTTATTTTAATAGGTTCTTGGCTTTTTTGTGATTCCTTGCATACCATTATAACTAGAATTAGCATGCAAAGTCTTACATCCTATAAATTAAACAATAGCAGTAGGATTTTTATTAGCTGGTGTTCATATATGGAGTTTTGTTTTTGGTGAGATTCTTTCAGTAATAACCCATGATTAAAATAAGTATATTAAATCTTTTAATCATTAGAACTCAAGCATTTTATGGATGTTTATTATTATTTTTATCATTTCTGGCTGCTGCAATCTGTTTCTCTAGAGTTAAATTACCAAAAGAAGATGAGGAAGAGGAAACTACTTAAGTTAATCAATCTACTCAAGAAGGAATATGAATATTTAGAATAATTATTTATTTTGATTTACATTATATATATATATATATAGAACTTTGATTAAATCTATAAGGAAAGGTTTGAATAAAAATGTTTAATAATAATATGTTATTTAATTAATAATAATAATTATTTAAATATTTAATACTAAAAAATGCAGCAATTATATCAACTCCTCCTTACATAATAAGAATCTCTTCCTGAATTAACTTATTCTGTTGTATATAGACATTAAAAAGGATTAGATGGATTGGATAATAAATTTACTAACTCAACTTAAATATCCAATCATACTTCCATTAAATGTATGGCCATCTCAAAATATAGTATTGTGGTATTTAATTTATTAAAATTTAGTTTGGAGGAGATTTCGGAATTGAACACTGGGGTAAAAACTAATTTAATATTCAATTGAAAGTTTAATCAATTTCATTCTCTCCAGATTATGAATACATAATATTATCAGCAAAGGAAACTCATTTATTTTCTACAAAAACATAAAATTTTGTGAAGACATTTCCTCATGAAGTTAAATTTGATTCAACAGGATCTCTTTGTTTTTGCAAAGGAATAGTTTATGAAACAGCAACTTTCTAATAGCTGAAATAATTTAAATGTCCAGAGTATGGAGACTTTACTATTTCAACTTAAAGAGATTCATTATACTTATCATCTGTTACATTAATAAAACATTTAGAAGACTTAAGAGATTGTCGACTTATTATTGATAATTATGATAGTAATAAACATTTCGAACATACAATACCTCCATCAAATGAAGTTAAATAATTATGGTCAGATGATGGAAAAATATTATTAATTTGGTCATAAACATTAGATGATCACACAAATTAGAGTTATTTTGGTACTCATCATTTAAATCATTGGACAGAAGATAAATTATAAAATATAGAATTATTTGAAGGACCTATTCATGATGTATAATGGGTTTAGAATGGATTTATAGTTATAACTGGATATATGCCAGCAGGTGCAATTCTATTTAATAAATCAGGAGAAAAAGAATATTTAATATTATAAGCTCATATAAATACAATTTTTCCTAAGAATAATTTAGTTGCTCTATGTGGATTTGGAAATCTGACTGGAGACATATATATTTATGAAATGGATAGCCTCAAAAAGGTAGGTTAAACAAAATAAGACAAAGTAGTATAATTTGAATGGAGTCCAAATGGAGAATACTTTTTATTAGCTACAACTTTTCCAAGATTAAGAGTTGATAATCAATTTATAATATGTTCTAAATTTGGTGAATTTTTACATAGAGAAAAATTTGAAGAATTATACGAAATTAAATGGGTTAATGATACTAATTTGGATATTTAAATCAATATAGTAGAGGAAGTAAAATAATCTAAATAAATTGATCTTACAACAGGAGTTGGTATTTTAATTCATATAATATATATAGACTTTATCAAATAAATGAAAGAAGCTAAGGTTAATAATTAACCTAGGAGATTGAATAAAGATGAAAAATTATCAAATTTAAGATCTTCACCATAAAATTAATAAACTATTTAATTAGTTTAGACTGTTGTACCTTAAAAACCAGCACCTTAGAAACAAATATTCATGAGAAGATAAGAACCTATTATTTAATAGCCTACAGCTGAAGAATTAGAATAATAACATTAATAACAATTATAATAATAATAAATGAAATTAGAAAAAAAATAAAAATAAAAACAAAATAGATATATAAATCATTAGAATAAGAAATAAAAATAAAAGCAAGTACCTTAAAATGACTTTTAATATGAGCCAAATTAAAACATAGGATAGAATAATTATCCTATATGGCAGGATTGATTAAATATACCAAAATACAAATAAAATTGATCAAAATATATCCATCACTTCATGTTTTTCTGTCCAATAATTCCCTTTAAATACATATCCTTTAGATTTTGTATCAATATCTTCTTTTATTTCAAAGAATTTAGGAATATGAACTTCATTTCTTTATTCCATAATTCTTCTCTTCTCTCTTTACTTCTCTTCCATTCTAACTTTTTCATCTTATCCAATTTCTTTCCAACCATGTTCCAAAGCTGCAATATCTGGTCTTAAACGCGAATCAGTACAAGGTATTTACTTATATAATCAATTTAAATTACAAGTAAAATTTCTGTATTGAGATAGTTTGCTTACATTTATAAAGGAATATAATTATAATAGTAATAAGCTTCTTTGCTAGGCATAATTCGTTACCATAGTAATTCATTACCTGCATATAAGGCTTAATTATAAAAACCAGTAATCTAATATCTTAAATTGTTATTACAATCTCTCACTTCAGCTTAGACTTAAGAAAAATTCTTTAAAAATTAATTATATTATATACCTTGCCTTCTCCATATTCTCTTAAATCAACTATACCAATATCTCCTGTCTAATGATTTACATATTTAATCTTTCCAACATGTTCAAAATATTTCTCTCCAAATACTAGATTTTTAATATGCATATTTGGCATATCAAAACTATAATGTTCATTAAATCGTTTTAAATAGATATGAGATTTACCAACTATTTAAATTTTTATATAAGTTCCTCCAAATCCTATTGAAGCATCATTCTATGACCAAAACTTAAAATCCTTGCCTTCACAATGCATAGCTGATATTGGTGGATGATGTGAAACTTATTCACATACAATACTATAATCAGGAGTTAAAAATTCATAAGTTTCTCCTAAAAGTGGATTAAATGGTTTCTTTTAACCATCCAATGTTGATGACAATCGAGACAATGTAAATGCAATAATATGACACATTCTTTTACAAGAATCTTCACATTGACTAGCTTTCTTAATTTAATCGAAATAAGCAAATTATTGTACAATTAATTATAAAACTGACATTGGTTAATGAAATATCACTAAAAATTAAATTATTAAAATATACAAGGAAATGGAATTCTAGTTAGATCCTTTCCAATACATGATTTAAGAAATGGCCAAATATTAAATTTCTCTTTGGGATCCTATTTATATGGTAAACATGTTCTTTCTGGTTCATCTGTTATATATATTTTTGTAAAAACAGGACTATTTACAAGATTTCTCTAGTTTATTATAATATATCTTACATATTTAATTGGTTAAGAATGTTTAATTGAATCTAATATACTTTTGAATGAATTTCCTCTTTAAGGAGTATCAAATTCTTAAACTTTGATTTATATTTATTTAGGAATTCCATTATTCGGTATTACACTTTACATTTCATTAAAACTTTCATAAACACTATTGGCATCATTCTCAAATCTTTCTTTTTCTTATTCTATTAAAGTAAATCCCAAAGTTAGAAATGTTTTTAAATTCTAACCAAGAGTGTGTAATTTAGTAATTAATTCATACTAAAATTTAGAGCAATTAATTTAAAGTGTATTCAATGTTTCATCAAATGCTGCAAATGTAACCCAAATTGTTGAAAGTAAATCATTGATTTGACTTTCAAAGTTTTAAACCTTATTTTTTTATGATTTTTCTTATGCAATTTATAATGCATTAAACCAATCTAAAAATTAAGATTGAGAATTGGCCTTTAATTTTAATTCATTAGTTCCTGTTTATATCAAAATTTCTAAAGGATCATCTTAAACTGTAAAAATCCCAGATATTTTCAAACTTACTCGACCTTCAACAGAACTTCCCTTTTACTCACAATATGTTAGAATATCATCATAAAGAATAAAATACCGTGGTTACCATCTTTGAAAAATGTTAGTCCACTTCATTAAGTATCCTTCCATTAATAAATTATATATTTATTTATATTATAAAATTTAATCATTCCTATTAACTTAATAAATCAATTAATTTTCAATTTAACTTTTAAAATATTAATAGTCAAATCTTGTATATTTATATATATCAAAATTTTCTATATATTAGTTGTATATGTTTTTCTCAATATCCAAAATTTATTTTTATAACCTTTATAAATATACATGTACTTATATATAGTATATCTGTTTAATTAGACAACGATTTTTAAAATATTAGTGAAATATAAAATAAAATTTAACTTCAGTCTTTATGCTTAATCTACCTTTTGATAAATGGACGTTAAATTTTCATGATCCAGAATTTGAATCTTAGTATGAGGATCATTTAAATAAAATTAGATTGTTATCCTTTCGCATTCTAAATCTCACTATAAGTATAGCTGCATTAATATGCCTAATAACTTTTGTTATTCAATAACAAACTTTATTGTTATCTATAATGATGACTTTAACATTGATGGGAAGTGTATTCTCATTAATAATAAGCAAAAAGATCTTACCATACTTAAAATATATATTTTCATTTTACTATGTTTGGGCAATAACTACTAACATAATTATCGCTTTTGCTGGCTTCTCAATGTAAGTTACTTCTATATTTTAGACCTAATTTCATATTTGGCTTCAACACTTGTTCTTTAGCTATTGTTACAATGTAATACAGTGATAATAGGCTTAAAATTGCATATACAATTATTACTCCCTTTGTATTAATGGGTATATTTGATGTTTACAGAATCGATACTCTAGCATTTGTCTTTTTAACTATCTCATGTGTTATTTTTATAGGAATTTGGGGATATATGAATGAATATACATCAAGACTTGCTTTTTCTCTTAACTTAATTTCGATAAAGCAAAAGTATTTATTTACTGTAATTTAGAGATTTGATTAATGAATTTGTTAATGATGCTATGTTTGCTATAAGTTTAGACAAAAGAAGTCGGCAGTTTGTTCTAGAATTTCAGAATAATAGATTTGTAGAATTAATGAATATTAAAGAAACAGAATAGATTAAAACATTTTTAAGATAGACATTTATTCTAGTAAAATAGAGTGATAATTAAAATAAATAAAGAGATAAGAATTCAACAAAAGTATTAAATTTGGAAGAATATTTATTTCAAAGGATTCAGAATTTTGAAAAATCTTTAAATTACAAAGAACAAAAAGATGGGTTATTAGATATATATTAACATGATTTAATCAATAATGATACAAAGAAAATGTGTTTACATATTAGATTTCTTAATTTTGGTAAACCAATAATAATTGCTATTATAAAATCAGAATAAGTTCCTAATTTGATTCATAAATATGAAAGTTAAATTAAAGAATATCAAAAGGTTATAATAAATATGTCTAATCATATTATAAAAAAATAATCTAATCTTTATGAAGAAATTAAGAAAATCAAATTTGAAAACTAAAAAGAATAATAATAATTAGTTTAATTATAATGTCTTAATTTATCTATTATGAATTACATTAGAAATTATATTTTATTTTTTTAGAAAAATAAAATTACAGAAATGAAGTTCAGTCTTTAAAATTGCAAATTTAATAATTATATAGCAATTATTAATTAATATTTTCAAGCATTATCTGCTCATTATTCAATTAAATTTACACTTCAGAATTATGTAAATTAAAATTCTTCTATTAATATTAATATTAAATATCTCACTTAAATATTAATTAATATATTTGATGAATTAATTAAAAAAAATATTAAAAATCATCTAATTAATCTTAGAATAGCTGAAGAGTTTTAATAAAATCATAATGAAAATAAATAATCCACTTTTGAAAATAACAAATAAAATGGAGAGTCTCTAAAATAATTTAAATTAGTTTAATTCACATTCTTCTTTTCAAGTGATGAGCCCCTTAATTTAAATAATCTAAATTTAAATAAAAGATTTAATAATAATGATTAAAATAATATATTCGAAGATGCTTAAATTATAACTGAAATTACTTATTTGCTTTTAGATAATATAGGTCCACATAATAATATATCTATTAATCAATGTCAAATTCCATAAATGCCATAATTTTAGAATACTATTTAATTCTTAATATATTCTGACTCATCATCATTAGAGCCATCTTATTATAAAGTAAGAGAACAAATTTTATTTGCTTGATATCTATTTTAATGAAATTAAATCAGAATCTAATATACAATCATATTTTATTAAACAATTAAATATCTAGTTCTTATTGTTAATTATACAGGATTGTTCATATCTTAGCATTAAGTTAATGACAAATTATTTATAATTTCAAAGTAAGGCTACTTATAATTCTTGGTTACTCTTAAATGATATATCTTCTAAACAATTCCGATATTTATAATACATCTGTGACATTGTTTAGATGACAAGTGAGTATATTTTTTAATTGTTAATTATGGTTATAATTTACTATAATTATATCCCAATCTAGTTGTAATATCATATAATTGATAATTATATCTTATTATTTATTATACTTAACTGATATAAAAAGTATTAATTAAAATTTATTCTTGAGGATTATTATATCATACTTAAATTAATTATAAATCATAATTTTATAGAAATTAAATCTTTAAATTTTGAATTATTTATTATTTAAACTAAACAATTTTGCTTTATATGATTAATATATATATATGTATTTACTCATATTTATGATATAATTTTGTTATATGAAGAAATAGAATAAAATTGAAGATTGATATTTTGATAATCCATCTAAATTTTGAAAATAAATGTCAAATAACTTCTAGTTATTTAATTCATGAATATTTAAAATATATTTGTTAATAAAATAAAAATTATGAGTAAATAACAATATACTAGAGTATTCTAGTAAAAATTGAATTAAGTTTGTTATAAGAATTTAATTATAAATGATTAAATAACTCTAATAATAGCAGTTTATATAAGTATGTAAAGTGAATTAATCAAGTTGGTGAATAATTCTCCCAAGGTGATATGTCATAATTTATTGAATTTTCATTTTGCAATGTTTAATGACGGGTGTTAGTTTTACTGACATATTTTGGTTTTGATTTGATTAGGAAGGAATTCAATCGACTGGTTTCACCCATACAAAATATAATGCTTTTTCTGCATTTGGGCATTTATGATACAGTTCTCTATTAGAGTTATTTGATTCTTTCACAGTAAGATGAAGATCTTGGTTTAAATTTGACGGTAGTATTCTAATCGATTGGGAAAAGAGGTTAAAGTTATTATCTGACAGTTGAAAACTTTTACATATATATTTAATTAATGGAAGATAGTGAATTATAATAAACGATAGCAGGATAAAGAAAAAATTCACATATTGATGATATATAACACACTAGAACTACAGTAAAATATGATATAGAAATAGTGGTAAAGATTAAATAAAAATGTTCTTTGTTTGATTTTATTTTTAAATATAGTTGGGATAGTGTTATTGATAGTAGGGTATTATAATAGAATGATTAATAAATAGAGGATGTTTATATTCATAAGGAATTTAAGGAGTTATAGCAATGTTTGTATTAGGTGGGATTTGTCTACTTCCTGGAATCTATGCATTACATCATATCATAAAAGCATTTCGTGCTAAAAGTATAGACGAAAGAGATCGAGCTTTGGAAGATGTTCCAGAATGATATCAAATCAATTAAAAACCAATATTACTTTTAATATTTATAACTTATGTTCATATTGACTGTGTTAGAGGGAATGATCTTACTATTTTATGTAGGATATTTAGTTCGAGAGTACTCATAATAACAAGTACCATTCTATGTGAAATTATTAACATACATTTCATGGATCCTTTCTTTTGGAATTGTATTTATCATACCCCATGATATCTATTACACAATGAATGATTATGGTGATGGCTATGATTACACTGTGTTATTATGGAAATGGATATATTGGGGTAACTTCATATTATGTTGGTAAAATTATTTCATTTATTCGTTTTAGGCTAATATTACCAATTTGTTAGGAATATGAAGATGCAGGTGAATTCACTTGTAAAGACAAATTAATAAGATCTATTAAGAACAATTTAATTATCTATGCTTATTTTTTATTGTTTGGTTTAATCTTTATAGCCTACTTAGCTATATTCAACAAACTGGACTTTAACTCAATTTTAAAAGTGTTAGTTGCTTTAGCTTATGCTTTGTATTTATATATTTTATTCTAAGTGGTATCTTATTAGTTGTTATATTGTTGGGACATGGTTTAGTAGCAATCCCAAGAGAATATTGGAGAAAAGCATAATATCAGAAATGTTTAAAGGCACTTTATTTAGAGGCTGCCCAAATTAATCATGCCATATAAGAACTATATATATAGTTATTCAATATGACTATTGAATTGATATAAAATAAATAAAGCAATCCAAACTAATAATGTATAGACTATATATTAAATGAAGTAAAATAAATTTATATTATCTAAGATTCCATATGAAATTATTGAAGATGCTTCTCATAAGACTTTAGAGATTAATGATGTAAAATAACTATCATCTTTTTGTGAAATTAATAAGAAAGCTAAAAAGAAGGCTGCTGAATATAAAAGAGCTTAAACTAAATGGGAGCATATCTGTAGTGAATGTTTTCTTTTAGAAGATATGATTGATAATGAATTCAGTGTACATTACAAAATTAGATCAACTCTTAGATATCCAAAATCTGGACAATTTGGTCATTATATAGATGTATTACAATGGTTATGGTACACAAAAATAAAGAAGGCTTATTTATTATCATTATGTGTGATATTCTCAATATTATCTAGTATTGTAATATTGTCAGAAATTTCATGCTTTACTGAATTTGACTTTAATATTCTTAGTAGAATAATTAATGTAAATGGATTTATTCATACATAAATATCAATCTTAATACCTTTGATGTATATTTCATTTTGTGCATTTTATGGACTATTTCATATTAACTTTGCTGGAATGTATGGATTTTATAATCACTAATAAACTGATGCACCTAGTTTGATGTTTGGTTCTATGTAATTATTATCTTTTTATTATTAATAGTAATTTTTCAAGAGTATCCTTTCCTTTGACCTTTAATTTCCTACAAATGATTCATATTTAAGGTACTCCTTTTGAAGATGTGGTTGGCAATATGGATACTAGTTCTGTATTAGGGATGTCATTTTCTTATTCATTGCCTATACTATTGATTATGGCATCTATTTTCAATTTCTTTGAAGTCTATGATAAAATACTTTAAGTAGTTGGATTACCTTAATTCAAATTTTCATAAACTTAGTTTAATAGTGAAGAAGGAGAACGATTAATCTGTAAGGCCAGAGTAAAGAGAGAAAGAGATATATTGAATAAAGTTGGCATAAAATTTTTGGATTAATGTGAAATGCGGGAATTGGATAGCAGAATGATTTAATTTGTATGATAATTATTTAATGTCTCAATAATTTGTTGGAATAAATGGAGAATAGACAGGTCTTGGATTTACCAATAGAGATTAAGGAGCCAAGGTTGAAGAGGATCAAGGTTTAATTGACTTTAAAATTATAACAAATAATGGTAATCATGACAGAATGAAAATGTTAATTGACTTAAAAAATATATTTGCTCGTCAACTTCCTAAAATGCCTAAAGAATATATTGTTAGATTAGTATTTGATAGAAATCATGAATCTATGTGTATTATAAAAGTATTTGATTATTTATTAATTAGGATGATACAAAAGTAATAGGAGGTATATGTTATAGAAAATATCCCACTTAAAGATTTGCTGAAATTGCTTTTCTTGCTATTACAGCAAATTTGTAAGTCAAAGGATATGGAACTAGATTGATGAACAAATTCAAAGAACATATATAAAAATAAGATGTAGAATATTTGCTTACTTATGCAGACAATTATGCTATTGGATATTTTAGAAAATAAGGATTCTATTAAGAAATAAAAATGCATCCAGATAAATGGAAGGGATTCATCAAGGATTATGATGGAGGAACATTAATGGAATGTTATGTACATCCTAATATAGATTATGGAAACATTAGTGATCTTATTAGAGAATAAAAGTAGGTATTATATTTTATAATATTAAGCTCATGATAGACATCATTAAAAAGTTAACATTGAATGATAGAGTATATCCAGCTATTGAAAAATAGAATTATAAAGTTGAAACTTCTAATGGAGATAGACCAACAGTTAAACCAGAAAGTGTTTAAGGAATTATGGAGAGTGGATGGACAATTGAAGATTATAATGAATTGAAAAAATAAAAGGAAAAGACCTTTATGATTTCATGTTAGTAGATCATTGATACTATGAGAAAACATAAATCAGCATGGCCATTCCTTGAACCAGTCAATAAGGATGATGTTCCTGATTATTATGATGTGATTACTGATCCAATTGATATAAAATCTATTGAAAAGAAATTACAAAATAATTAGTATACTTCAAAAGATCTCTTTATAAAGGATGTTAAGAGGATTTTTACTAATTGCAGAAATTACAATTAACCTGATACAATATATTTTAAATGTGCTAATGAATTAGAGAGAACAATTGATGATTATCTTAAAAAATTAAAAGATGAATCTTAAATTCCTGGAGTTAGTAAAAAGATAAAGAAGACAAATAATAAATGAATTTTTTTATTTATTTATTATATTTTTGGGAAACAAATAATCAAATTTAATTGAAGTGTTAATTTAACAGAGCTATCACTTTATTGCAAAAATCCATAAAAACAACAGGATGTCCTCTACGTAATTAAAAATCAATCATATGATCATTATTATTAGTTGGCATCTATGTTTATAATTATTTTTTATATACCTTATAAATTTAAATGTTAAATATAATCTCTTTGGCTGAAAATTTATTTTCTTTAATTTTTGGTTTCTTACCATCATCTTTAAAAGTTAAAGAAGCCAAGTCATTTTTAGATCCTGTTTCTTCAACTTCTTTTTAAAATTCATTGAATAATTCCATACTCGAATTATATTTTGTCATCTTTATGAGATTTTTATGATAACATTTTAATTTATAATCAGGACTTTTTATTTTAATAACAGTATTAAATTTCTCTAGACAAGTGTAAATAGCATTTACAATTTATTTAGCTTAAAATGGATAAACAATTGCCATAATGTCTTTTGGTAATTCCTTTCCGTAATCATAAGGCTAAGGTTTTTAAATTTCATTCAATAAACAATTATTAAATGATTAACCTTCTATTTATGGAATTTAAGGATTAAATATAAGATCATGCCTAGTTAAATTATGTAGAGTCATTGGAGTAGAAGATTCAATTCCTAATTATCCCAAAAGTAAATCATAAATAACCACAAATGATTTATCTTCTCTTTTTCTAATACTCTTTTGAATTTGTGATTATGTCATACCTCTAAAATTGACTGTTTATAATTGCATTAATTTCTCAAAGACATCTTCATTAATTTATCTACGACCTTCATCTAATTTAAATGGTATTTAAAGATAAAAGGGAACTTATGTACTTCTCATATATGGATGAAGATGAATCTCATGAAATTTTATTCTCTTTAATGGATCTGGTGTTAACATTCTATTAATGAGGTCTCTTACTTGAGGACTGAAACTACTTGGGATAGTATAATCAGCACTTTTAATTTTTTTAAACAGAGCTTAAGTAGTTTCTTCATCAAATGGCAAGAACCCTGCAAGTAATGCATACAATATTACTCCACAACTCCAAACATCAGCATCTGAACCACAATATGTCTTTCCTGATATAACTTCAGGTGCAGCATAATTTGGAGAACCACATGAAGTTTTTAAATACTTTCCATCTTTCATTAAATTACTTAATCCAAAGTCAGCAATTTTAACAACATAATTATGAGTAATCAAAATGTTTTCAGGTTTGAGATCACGATGGGCTACTATATTATTATGACAATATTCCACTCCACTTAATATTTATAGAAAGAAATTTCGAGCTTCACTTTCTGGCAATTTACCTCTTTATGCTATCAAATCAAATAACTCTCCTCTTTCTGCATATTCCATAACTACAAAAATATCTCCAGGAGTGTCCAATACTTCATATAGTTTAATTACATTAGGATGATTGAAATATCTAAGTAATCTTATTTCTCTTTTTATTTTAGTACCCATTCTTGAATTTTTCATTTTCCTCTTATTGATAATTTTAATTGCCACTTATGTATTTGTTATATTGTGTTTAGCCACTAATCTAGTCATTAATTCTTACATTTCACTTTTCCAAATGCACCTACACCTAATGTTTTACCTATTATATAATGTTCTATTTATAATGGAGCCTACCCTTATGATTACATTTTATAATTATATTTTATAATTATATTAATTTAATTGAAATTAGATATTAATTGTTGTAAAAGATGATGACATAATGAATAAACTATATGTTAATCTCATTATATATCATCAGCTCAGAAAATGGATCAGAGTATTTTAGATTAAAAGAAAAAGGAATTAAATATCATAAGTAATCCAAAAAGGATTAAAAATAGTAAAACATTACTTTCAATGACTTTTAATTGATCACCAAATTAGATTAATGAGGTTTTAGAACTGTTGAAAAAGTCTAACTAAAAGTTACTTAAGAATTGTATGCATTGAAAATAATTTTATTGATTGTTATCAGAAAATTAAATTTCTGGCTGATAAAATTTAATAAAAATTACTGACAAGAGAATTGAACGCTTTTATATCTTGCGAATTTGATTTTATTGTATAATTTTATGGGGCATTTAATTCATGATCAACATTCTATAAGTATTGAAAATTATTTAAATAGAAAAAGGATTACTCGTAGATTAAATAACTGAAACAGATAATTGCTTTTAATGTTGAATAAAATCTTTAAGAATAAAATTGGCTAACTGAAACTTAAGTTATTAGTTAAAAATGTTTACATAAAGATTCTAAATAGAGACCAATTATATAGGAATTATTATAAAGTAAACCAATGTAAATGGCTAAAAATATTAATGAATAAGTATTTCATTAAAGGTTAATACATAATTTTAAACAATGATTAATTAAATTACTTAAATATTTAATCAATTCATTCTTATATAATATATAAAATATCAAAAAATAAAAGATATAATTATATAAATAATATTTAGATAAACAACAATAATTTATCTAGTATTTAATAATTTCTAAATCTTAAATTACTAATAACATAACGTAAAAGATGTTCATCACTTATAAATCAATGTTAATAGTAATTAAAAAATTGATTTGTTAAAATGTTTACTTTTTGAACTATTCAATTAGGATTGTAAATCAATGAATCAAATACTCAATAATAGAATTAAATAAAACTTAAAAAATATTATGAAGTATACACTAATTAAATATTAGATTTAGGATTAGATAATTCTCACTTTCTTTATGTGATGTGCTACTAAATATATAATTAGTCGTTAATTTTTAAATAATATAATGGATTGGAAGACTGAGAAAGCTCTTTTAGAGTAAGAAACCCAACTGTTAGAAATGTAGTTAAAAGAGTTATAAGAAAGAGAAGATTCTTATAAGATATTTAACGAATCGATACTTAATGCTTACAATTCAATGCAAAATGATGTTTAGAAATAAAATGTAAAGGTTTTTTATTATATTAATTCAGAATAATATTCATAAGCAATTGTAATAAACTTTGGAACAGTTTTCTCAAGACTTAATTGAATCCAAAAATAGAAATAATACTATGCTATAATAATTGGAGATCGAAAATAGAAATTTAAAAGATTACTTAGAATTATTAGAATATCAAATCTAAGAATAGAGGTAAGAATAAAAGAGAGAACTATAAGAATTTAAATAACTATTTCCTATTTCTCAAAATTAAAATGAACCAACAATAACGATTGAATAAAAAAAGAAAAAAAAGGAAGATAAAGAAAATAATAAACCAGAAAGAGGAGGAGGATGTATAATATCACGTAAACCTAAAAATGAAGAAATATAAGAAAAAGAATTTAATGCAAGTAATGTATTAAATTGTAAAAATTCTAATTTATTGGAAATATCTTAAATGGATTGGTTGGATTAATCATCTCCTATTGATCTTTTTAAACAATATTAATTAAATTAAAGAGGCAGAGACAATTCAAATTATTCTTAAAGAATATAGCCTCAACTTTCAAAAAGAGAAATTCTACATTAAAGAAAAAGTAATCATTAAATTAGCCCTTCCTATATTAATGAACGAAAATCAAATAATAATATTACTCCAAAAGGAAAACTAGGAAATAATGAATTTAAATTAATAACTTCAAGTTAATTACTATTAAAGGATAACTTAAAGAAAGAAAGTAATCAAATGAAATTTGAGAAGAAATCTCTAGATGAATTTAGTAGATAAATCAATTCATTTAAATCCACAGAGAATCTTTCTTAAGTATACAGAAAAAGTTAATTATCTTGAATATTATTATAATCTAAGTAATGAATATAATATTAAGATTATAATATATTATGAGATTCAATTTTGAAAAGAATCTTATCAATAATTTCTTAAGATAAAAATTATAATCAGGAGAATATAAATTAATATTTATTATATTTTTACAATGTTGTAAAGATGGGACTTTGTAAAATTTAAAGAGAGTGATCCATAGAATTTTGATAAAGTAGGAGAACAATTCATTAGACTTCTTCAAATAAACATCAGGGAAATTAATTATTTATTCAATACATAATAGTTTGCTAAATCACTTATTTGTATAACTGAAATAATCTGTTAAAGCAAGTTTAATCTTAATAATATGTTAGGAAAATATATGCTATATAATTAGGCGAGGCTGCGGCAAATTTAAAAATATTTTTAGAGGAATATATTGAAGAAATAGAAGGTATTACATATGAAAAATAGAATTTTAAAATTGAATAATAATAAGAAGCAGCTATCAAATTTATTAACATTATGGAGATTGCAGAAAAAACTATTCAAGATTGGTATTAATTTAAGCATTTGCCTTCCCTAAAATTAACAAATCTATTTGAAAAAGAGAGTAATTAATCATATTAAAATAAATTAGTCAATTAAATAAAAGATACTTATAATGTTTTATAGAATCGAAATTGTTCTTTTTGTTAACTTATTTGATAGGTCTAATATCGTTTATAAATTTCTTTCATAATATTAAATTAAAAATAATATTTATTCTATTCAAAGATATTATAATTAAAATGTTATTTTTTATTAAGAAATTTTAGATTTTTAATGCTTTTAAAAAAGTATAATCAATAAAATTTAGTTTAATTTTATTTTATTTGCTATAATTTTAATAATTATTTAAATATTATTAGCTTTATATTCATTTTTATATTTATTAAATGTTACTGAATATACATTACTAATTTAAAAAATTCTTATTGAGTTTGATTACTTCCTATATCTATATTTTACTTAAATAATTTTAAAATTAAGATCTCTTTTTTTATTTAAAATCGATCTTTATAATAATTCAGATATTTTGGTTTAATAATATTATTTTAAATAGTAAATGGATTCCGTTAAATAATATTTAAACATAAATCTCGATTAAATGTCAAATTGGGAAAAATAAGAATAACCCATTTATACACTTTATATTATTTATATACCCACTTATTTCTTTTATATAAAAAATATTAATATAATATTTTAATTACTCATTTATAATTAAATTTGATATAATTATAAAATTGTTTTTTATAATCATCTATGATTAATAATATTAAGTAGTTTTAGTAGAATAATAAAATAGATTAAAACTTAATTACTTAGATGATTAATGGAAATAAAATAAATTAGTTAATTTTATTAATTATTATGTAAAAATACTTCCTTAATATGAATTACTATATTATTTTTTTATTTAATTTAAACTTTTAGTTAGGACAAAGTGATTGGTAATTAAATTTGTTTATTTATTGATACAAAATGATTTATTTTTAATTTATTGAAATTTAAAGTTTGATGAATGACTTAATTAAAATAGTAGAAAAAGAAGATAAATCTGCAACAGATTTGATAGAAGTAGAAACATTTATAAGAAAATTTATTTATAACTATTATCAAACAAACTAATTGGCTGATTAATTAGCAAGAGTTTGTGTATATGAAAAAATCAATTCAGATAATTAAATTACATTATAAGAAGGAATATACTTTATAGTTGCTGGCTAATATTAATTACCAAAAAGATATATTAAAATACCTAATTTCTTAGTTATTCCAGCACATGAAAAAGTTATAATTTTTGCTTTTTCTGATGTTCATCTTTTATCAATCAGAACTAATTTTAATTAATATCTATGTCAATTAAAAGAGTTAAGAACAGATATAATAATTGAGTTTTTAAGAAAAACCCTTTTCCCAAATTTTCCTAGAAATAGTGTAGAAAGAATTTCAAAACATTTTTGTTTGATATCTCTTCCTTTTAAACATGTAATCTATAGGGAAAATGAAGAAAGCAAATTTGTTTATTTGATTAGGGAAGGAGAAATTTAAGTAATTTTAGAACTTAAATTGATAGCTAATAAGAGATAAGAAATAGTTAAAAATATTAGTTGAAAATTAAATATTTGGAGAATATGAAGTATTTTTTAATAGAGTAAGATTTACAAAAGCAATGAGTAATTCTACTGTGTCTCTTTTAGTGATTAAAGCAGAAATAGTAAATAATCATATAATATAAAGAGTTTTTAACTTTGTTAAAAGAATATCCCATATTAAAATAACGTTTGTTATGCTAAAGTGTTGTGAGGTATGAACAAATATATTATTAACCAAATTCAATTGAAAAAAATAAGAATAGGAGATAAACTAATAGTTTATTAAAAAGATAGAAAAAAGCATTAAGAAGTCTCTCTCCATAATAAGATTGTATATAAATGTTTGAGATGTCATAATAAATATAAAAAGAAAGAGTAAGAACTGGATACAAAGCTGTTCCTTTATTTTTTAATTATAAAGTATCTATTGTTGAAAAATGTACAACAACACTATAATCGCCTCAATCTTCAACAGTAATAAAATTGTATTAATTTAAAATAGAAAAGAAAATTAGAAACTACAAATAGTGAAGTATAATTTAGATCTTAAAGTCCAGCAAATAGTTAGAGAGTCTCAAAAATAATCTCTAGTAAACATAATATGTTTAGATAATAACCAAGTAGAGAATTCTTATTATAAAATTTCGTGAATTAATCGAAACCATCATTTTGATTCTATATAAATTAATTTTAATATATGTATATATATATTCTTATGTTAAAATGAACTTTACGTTTATTTTTTTTTATTATAATTATAATATAAATAGATTTAAAGATAGTAAAAAATAGAACAAGATTCAAATCAATAATTCTAACTTGATTTAATTGTAAAGCATTGATCCTTTAGTATCAAAAATTGGTTATATTTCTTTTTCTTATAGAGTCATACCCTCCATCTACATTAACTTTATACTTAATTTCATCAAAAGTAATATGAAATTTAAGAATGGTGTTATCCTTCCTTCCTCAACTACCTTAGGATAGATATCAAATCTATTTGTTATCAATTTTTCAAGTGAATAAAAAGTCTACTTATTCCACCATTCTTTTCCATTATTTTTTATTGATTTCATTGCCAAATAGAGTTGGATAATGAATTTAAGATTTAGATTTTCAAAATAATACAGGTTTTCACTTTTGATGTTAGAAACTACTATTCTATAATAGTTATTGTAATAGTTTTAGAGATAGGTGTTTAGCAGACTCAATTCCTCTGTCTATTTAGAATAGAATTCATATTCCGTTTAACTAATATTCCGACTGATAATTTTGTTATTTATCAAATTTTCAAACACAGTTTAAGTCTGGCCTATTAAAGTCTTGTAAGATTCATTGATTTAAGATTCTTTTGTAACACCTTCCAAAATTAGACCAACTTCAGGTTTACTTATTTTTCTTGATGATCCCTTCTGAGTTAATGCACAAACCCCCATAATTTAATTATTAATATTTGTTCAAAAATATTTAGATAAATCATAAAAAAACATCTTATTCGAAAAGTAAGAATTAAACAGTATTATACATTTGGCTCATTCTTAATAAATAATATTAATATAAGGTAATTATATTATCAATTGATTTCAATAGTATTAATTAAGATTTTTCTTTTTTTAAATATTTTAACAAAAATATTTAATACTAATTCCTTATTTCTTATCAAATGTTAAAAAGAAGAGCTAATATTAAGTATTATTTACAACTTCATATATTGTATTTGCCAAAAAGACTCAACTTTTTTTTTTGAATAAAACAGAGAATTAATACTAAAAAAATATTATATTTTTCTTCATCTATTTTTTCATAAAGTAATTTATCAGTCATCAGAAGTAACTATGTTTGATGGATTTCATTCATCATAATAAAAATTCAAATCCAAATCTCACTCTTTATCTGTGAATGAGAATGTTTATATATAAATTAAATAAAAATAAACAACTAATACGATAACATTTGATAATTAATTATCTATAAAATTTTGATTTATTTCTAGATTAATATTATACTCTTAATATTATATGAATACATGATAATCAATTGTTTATATGCAATCATTTTATTATATTTCTATATATAAGGGAATTTTTTTTATCTGTTAATTTTATACATATTAATTGATAATTAAAACTCTATTTTTAGTATCACTATTAAATATTGATAATTTTAATCATTTTTTACTTATTATGATCATATTGATATATAGGTAAAGTTATTCAATATATGTTTTAATAAATTGAATAAAATATTAGTTTTTGATGTATAATGTATTCTTAATATTAATAATTAAAAAAGTAAAAACATTAGTAACTTTATTAGAGAAGTTTAAAACTTAAAAAATAATAAAATTTCTAACTTTAATAGAGAATATCTTTGATAAGAAATGCTAGAAAATTAATGGAATACTCTTATTAGTATTATTTAAAATAAAAAAGTATTAATTAAAATGGTTTTAGGGCAAGTTTTTTCCTTTTTTTCACAGCAAGTAATGTTTATTTGGCTTTTGGTGTTTATTACACCTCTTTATGTATTTTTGGCTAGCATAATGGGAAAAGGACTTTAAATTCTTTATCAAATGTCAATAAATAGATAATCATTAATTTATAAATACGTGGGAGATGTTAGTTGGTTGTTCCCATTTAGAGTATTAATTAATATATATTATTGTAGCAAAATGAATAAGAATTTAAACTAGTACACATTATATTATTGGCAGTATTAATTGGTTTGGTTTCATTAATAATTATTGGTGGAGTAATGTTATAAAATTAGTTTGAAAAACAGAGAATAATTGAAAAGAGTGAAAGCCAAGAAAGTAAAACAAAAAAGAAGGTTGTTAACGAATGAAAAGAAATTGTATATTTATTGTATAGATATAAGTAATTTTTTATATAAAATGGAATATTAAATAAAAATTAATTGAATATTATCAAAATATTAAACAATTCATTTTTTAGTATATATATGATTTTGCATTAATCTATATAGATATCTTTGATAAAATAATTATTTTATAAATGTAATATAATATATTCAAATATAAGAAATAATGTACATCTAAAATATTATATTATTATTATTGATATTTAATTTATTAATTATGAACTATTTTTATTAGTTTTTAATTCAATTTTTTGTAATGATTCTATTTGAATATTATTATACTTATATTATTGAAAGAGAATCAAACAATGATAAATATTATTGAATTAATTACAATCATAAAAATAATCAATTTATTTATTTCCCTACTAATTTTATATTAATTGGTGTAAATTTAACAATATAAGCATCCCAACTTTTTCTATTGAAATCTACTTATTTCTTATAAATATTTCTCTCTTCAATATTTTATCTCTACATTTTTCTAACATCTATTTTTAATTGTTCTGAAACCTTATTACTTTTAAGACTATCAATATTATGAGAATATATTGGAATATCTTATAATAAATTTAATCCTAATTCTTATGGATGTAACATAATAATTCCATCCACTATAATTACTCCTATTGAAACTTTGGCATCTATTATTTTCTCTTATAATTATCTAGTTTACATGTATGGATGATTCATTTTCATATATACAGCATCTTAAGATTTGAATTAATTATCATACTAATGATACATTCTATTAATGCCTGAATCATTTGGATATTATTAAACTATGATTTCTAAACAAGATTTTACAAAATTATCAATTGCATCCCAATCTGGTTTCTCAATAAATAAACCATATTATAAATTATTATTTTTTTCAATTTAAAATTAAACACTTTTTCTTAATATTAATTGAGACTTTTCTTGTATAGATTATAAAACTCTCTTTGTTTCTTTTTTTAAAAAGTTATCCCCTATATTTTTAAGTGTCTCTTTATATTATGATAAGCTTTCAATTAATTAATCATTCTCTGATTTAAGAGCAGCTTAAAAATCTTATTCAACCAATTCACTATAGAGATCATCTGTTTCTTTCTCTTTTGGCATAAAACGACAATACACAATATAATCTGTACAAAAATTAGTTAGTTTTTAATTTTGAAATTCTTTCAACTAATTTATGACTTCTTTAACTTAATTCTTATCATTCAAAACAGAAAGTAAACAATACATGATAAAGTTGAAAGAAAAAGGAAAATTGAATTATGAATTCTTTTAATTATATGAGAAATTGCATTCAGGTAATAGAGCTATAGTTTTTAAGTTTAATGATAATTATTTCAATTATTTATTGATTTATTCTAATTCTTTTAGATTGCATATTTTCTCATAAAAATATAATTAATTTTATTCATTAATTTAATCTGGCTTACTAATTATTTATACTCTTTAAACTGCTTTTTAAATAAAGTTACACAATTTTTCATATCCCATACCTAAAATTCCTATTGGAATAACAACTATAATAGTTTATTATATAGAATTAGGAATAATATTATTTTTTTATTATTATTAATTAGATAATTCTTAATTAATGATATTAAGAGTATTAATTGATAATTAAGAAAATTAATATTTGTTTTTAATAGTTTCTGGAATTTCTAACATCCTATCTGTATATTTTTTATAGAATTCTAAATCTTAATCATTTAGATTAAATTTAGAAAGGTATTAATAAGGTTCTTATTTATTAAGATACTTTTCTTTATTTAATAAAATTAATCTTAATTGATTTAAAATAGAATATTATCTATTTGGTATGAAACAACATCCTAGAAATGTATTATCTTTCCAAAAATATAAGGTTTTACCTTTATAATAGTCATGAAATTATTCAATTGATTAATTATGAATTTAATAAAAATATTGTTATAATTTAATAGGTGTACATGAGGTTTATTATGTTTAAGCAGATAATAATTTGTAATGATTTAAAAAATTCTTAACTGTAATTGGATCCATCATTCTTTATTCTGAATAATGTTCAACTATAGCAAACCATTCAATATATTTTTTAAGGTTGTAACAACCTATCAAACTTCTATTAATTAAATCTTGAATAAAATTATTCTATTATTTTATTGGCATCCTATTAAAAAAGTTAAAAAATTAAGAGGCTACTTAACGTGGTCTCTCATGCATAGGTTCCTAAAATAAATCAATATCTTTTTCATTGTAACAAACAATTGTTTATGTTCCAGAAGAAATACAAAAAGAATCTAATTCAGGACAAAAACTAATGCAAACTGTACTTGAATTGTGTTGAATTTCTTAAATCATAAAGGAATCTTTAAGATTTGTTGTTATAAAATTATATACCTGATCTTAATTTTTAAAATTAATTTCATTCAATTCTGGAGCAAAAGGTACACCCATAGTAGCTAAATAATTATGAATAATACCAATAGCAGTTTATATAGATTATTTTTAAACTTTCTAAATGAAAGAATTACAAGTATGTAAATGTTTGGATAGAAAATGATTATTAATTACCCTTTATTAAGTGAAATTAGATTATACAGGATCAATTTCCAAAACATTAATATTCTTTAAAAAAGTCACTTTATATGATAGTATTTCAACTTCATTCTATTTTGAAAATTCTTCAAGACTTATTATTATGATAACTATTTTTACAGATTATAAGCACTTAATTATGACATTAAAATTATGTGTTAAATTATTATTAATAAATAAAAAGTATTTAATATAATTCAAAATTATTTTTTATAAGTAAATATGATTTTCAACATATAATTTACCCTATTAAAATTAAATCTAAATTTAAGTATCAAACTATTACTTAATAATTATTAATCTTCTAAACTATCGGGAATTGTAATTCTTTCTTTACTATTTTCAGCATCATACTATACCATACATTTATAGATTATGAAGTTTGACTTCTATTTTACCAATCTTATCCATAACTAATTCTATATTTTACTTAGGATTTTGCAATATGTTAAAAATCGCTCTACTAATATCCTTTGTGTTTTGTCATTATACTGTGATTAGCTTTCAATTTAATTTAGGTTTAATCTAAAATAATAAATGGGAATTATACTATATAGAAAGTAAATATTAATACTAGCAAGGATATAATAAGGAGAGAACTATTGTCAAATAAGTAAATATTTAAACTAAATTTTGAATAATACACTGTGATTTTCATTATGAAATCCAGAAAATTAAATAGAAAATATCGTAGCATTCTTATCTTTATCTAAATATTCCTAATCTTTTCATACACAATAAATATGAGAAGAAACACATAAATTTAATTTACTCTGTTCTTCGAAACCTTTGAATTATGATAAAATTCATTCTCCTTTTGAAGACTTTTATTGAAATTGATAATTATAGGATGTAGTCATATATTTAAAAATCCTTAAGTTGATAAGTAGTATTAATAGCAATTGGAGGCGAACATCATTAGAGAAAATAACATTTCAATGATTTTTCAGTTAAATAAGATTACAATTTTATAATCTCTAATTAAAATAATACAAATAACATTACATCGTAAATTTCTAATATTTCATTATCTGCCAGTCTCAAATTATTTAATTACCTCGGCAGCCTTCCAATTAGGAGTTCCCTTAAGATTATATGCATTTTGTCCTATGATACTTCAATAAAAATCTGCAAATTTACATAATATTTGGTATAGAATAGAGAACATAATTGCCTCCAAGAAATTCAAAGAGAAAGCGAAGTCTAATAATCTTCTTAACAATCATAATATTTAAATATGCTCTCATGCATAAATTTGTTAAAGAAATGACTCCAAACTTTAATTGTCTACGAAGCATAAGTCAAATTGTTTTACAGTTATGATTCTACCAAAATTGATATCAATACATTTGAAGACTCTACAAAATAAACCTTATCCTATCAATTCACCTTTTTTTCAATTAATTGTCTTTGATTATCTAATTAAATATATAGTTTATTCAGATCCTAAGTAATCATCATCTCAGTTGATTTCCACTAAAATGTTTGATTTATGTTATGAGATTGATTCAAAGACTTATTGTTAATTGACTTTGTAATTTTTACTTCTAAAATATTGGCACAACTTTGATATTTATTATCCTATATTAATTAAATGAGCAAAGCTGAAGATGATTATGATTATTTATTTAAAATAGTACTATCAGGTAAAGATTTATTAAACAGATAAAGGTGATTCTGGTGTTGGAAAATCCAATCTACTACTACGATTTACAAAAAACCAATTTAATCCAGATTCTAAAACTACAATAGGAGTTGAATTTGCTACAAGATCAATTACAATCTCTGGGAAGATTATCAAAGCATAAATTTGGGATACAGCAGGACAAGTAAAATGCATAAATTAGAGTTTAGGAACGCTACCGAGCAATTACTTCTGCATATTATAGAGGAGCTATTGGGGCTGTACTAGTATATGATATAACAAACAAATAAAGTTTTGAAGCTGTTGAAAGATGGATATAGGAAGTAAGGGAGAATGCAGATAAAGATATTGTGATAATGATTATAGGAAATAAATCAGATTTGAAACATTTAAGAGCAATAAGAACAGAGTCAGGTCAAGATTTGGCTCAAATGTAGAAGGTAGCATTTATGGAAGCAAGTGCTTAAGATGGTACAAATGTAGACTAAGCCTTTACATAAATTATACAATGTTTTAAATTCTATATAAATTAGAAATTTATCAGAATCTAACAAAACAGTTATAAAAATATGATTAGATGTCACATTTATAAGGAGAGAAATTAGATTTAGAAATTACAAACTCAGGTAATAAAAAGTAAGGATGTTGTTGAAATATAATATATTTTTTTTAGTTTTAAATTTATGAATTCTTTGCTTTAAGTATATATTCATATAGATATGGATGCTTATTATGCATAAGCAGAATAAAAGTTGTTAAATATTCCAGAAGATCAACCTGTTTGTGCTAGATAATGGAATAGTTTAATAGCAATTAATTATCCCGCCAGAGATGCAGGGATTAAAAGAGGAATGTTAAGTGAAGAGGCAATCAAATTATGTCCTAATGTGATGTTGCCACATGTGGAAACATTCAAAGTTATTGATGGCAAAATGGTATTTTCAACACTCAAAGATAAATACATTTAACATAATCAATATGAAGAGAAAGTGAGTCTTCGATATTATAGATAAGAGAGCAAATTGATATTTGCAACAATTAAAAGATTTTGTAATTGTGTTGAAAAGGGAGGAACAGATGAAGGTTATATTTAAATTAGTGAAAAAGAATTAGAAAACATAGAGACTTAGCAATTCTATGGTCATTTAATGAAAGAATTACCTGATGAATATTAATTAACAGAATAAGATTATTTATTAATGAGAGCATCTTTATTATGTTAGAATATAAGAGATGCTATATATACAGAAACAAAATATAAATGTAGTGCAGGAATTTCATTTAATAAAATGTTAGCTAAATTAGCATCAGCTACTAACAAACCCAATAAATAGACTATTATTTTGGAATGTATGCTACCTGAATGTATATCTAATATAAGCATTAAAAAAATTAGAGGATTTGGAGGTAAAGTATAAGAAACACTCCTTGAAAGTGGATTAAAAACAGTTGGATAAGCTTAATCATTATCAATTTATGAACTTTAATCTTTATTTGGAGATAAAGCTTAATATATTTATGATAAATTAAGAGGATATGATGATGAAATAGTCAAAAAAGAAGTAGATTTAAAAAATAAATCTATTTTATCATTAAAAAATATAAAGAAGACTTCTTCAAGAGAAGTCATTATACAGTCTCTAGAACTTATAATACATGATATTACTATGAGAGTAACTGATTATTATGAGGACTCCAATCTAGTACCATCTGTTTTAGTTATTCATTATCATAATGTTGAAAAAGGATCACATTAAAAAAGTGAACCTATTTATCTTACATTACCTATTGAAAGTTTTAGATTAACCATCGAAGAAAGAGTTCATTCTATTTTAAATTAAATTTAGGATAATGAATTATTCCCTTTAATTCATATTGGAATAAGTTGTAGATACTTTAAACCTATGATTCAAGGTATATAGAATCCTATTACAATGTTTTTTAAAAAGACTTTAGAATAATAAGAGTATGAGAAATAAGCAAAATTAGCAGAAATGTAAGAAAAAATTATATCTCCTGATGATTATTATAGTTGTTAAATTTGTGGATAAGAGATAATGAAAAAAGATAAAGAAGCCCATGATGATTTTCATATTGCTGAAAATTTAGACAAAGAAATGAATCCAAAGAAAAGAAAATATAAGAGTTAATAATAATAATAATAATAAAATAATAGTAATTAATAAAGTAATGTAAATTCAAAATCAAAAAGTAAATAAAAAGGTTTAACGTCAATTTTATAATTCTTAAAAAAATAATGATACTTTTTTTTAATGATATTTATTATGTATGCTAAAATTTGATAATCATCACCATCTTAAATATTAACACAAATATTAAATATGGACAATAACGAAGAACATTATGAAGTAGAATATGTCTTTGGTAAAAGATTAGATAAAGGAAATATAGTAGATTATGCTGTTAAATGGCTTGGATATGATAAAAAACATCATACTTGGGAACCTATTTCTAGTTTCAGTGCAGCATCCTTACTTTTAATTGGGTATTTATAACTTTATATATATTTATATAGTCGATTCGAAAGATATTTAGCATATAAAAATTATTACAAATTAATAGCAAAGAAAGTAGAGAAAGTTAAATAACCTAAAAAACCAGATGAACCAATAAGAGTACATATTAGAAACAGATTCACTTAAGTATTAATAAAAGAGGCTGAAATTATAAATATAGAGTTAGATACTGATGAAATTGTTTAAAAAAAGGAAACCTTTTAAATAAATGATGATGATGATCCTGATGTTTAAATAGTAAGTGTAAATTTTAAACCAATTAAATAAAATGAATCTAAAGATCTAAATAAATTTAAAGTTTAGAAAGTATCACAAACTCTTGATTTCAATCGAATGATGCATATTAGATAATAATAGTTTAATCCAATTAAAATAAATACTTATAAAAGTAAATATAAAGTTGAAAAGGATTATTTAAATGAAATCATATTTGAGTAAAGATAGAAAGAGAAAGAAGTAAATATGTTAAGATTTACAGAAATTAATGATAAGTTTGAACCTTCTTAACCTATTAAATTAATATCAGATTATACTTAAACTGAAGGATTTTTAACATAATAAAATGTCTATCGTAATCAATAATTCTAACACAGAGTTTTTAATTAAAAAGTTCCTATTGAATTTATACAATCTCACAATCTGATTTAAAATGAATTATGGTTTAAATGTCAAAGTGATGAATAAGAAATCTTATTTTTAGATCTTTAAACACTCTAACAAAATTATTCAACTTTGTTATTAGATTATTTGGCTGCATTTAGTGTAATGATTTGATTTAATAAATTTTAATTATTTATATATATATATTAAAACAAAATATTCTATATTCTAAATATATTTTTGATATTTTATATTTTATTCATAATTATATTATTATTATACTTGTTTATCTTTAAGTTTTAAAACTTAATATAGAAAATAAATATAATATAATTGGATTTAATAAAATAAATTGTTTAAAAATTCCTTGATATAAATTTATTGAATCAATATTCTAATTCCATACTACTACTATCATCAGAATCTGGAATTCTTATTTATTATTTGGTGTTCTTTTTAGGAGGTCTATATTAAGTTTAAATCTTTTTGGGTTTATTTACTTATTATTAATTAGATTATTATTATTGATTATGTTATTATAAATGAAGTTTTTCTAATTAAGGATCTACAGAATCTAAGTTAGTTTTAAAAATGGTTAATAATTAAGAAAATTCATGTGATTATTATATGGCCTCTGTTTTTCTTGCATTCATTTTACAAGATGATGCTGCTTTTCTACATTTTTAATAAATTTATTTAAATTATTCTAAGATAATTGGATTTTTAAGTACTTTTTTATATTATGGAAAATTAGTTACTAATAATCTGAGATTTTCAAGATGAAATTTAAGATAAAGTAAACAATAAGATAGATAAACACATTCTCTTTCAGCTGTTAACTATACAGGATTATAAGGAATAATATCTTCTTTGGCTTCTTGAACTCTTTATAAAATGCTTCTATTTTTTAATGATGCTTCTCTATCAAAGATATCAAATCTATTTAAGAATTTTTCAAGTATTTATTCTTAAAGTTTATCTTTTTATACTAATGGAATAATTTCTTTAGCAAATATTTTAAAATCTTCTTCTGAAACTTAATAATTATGAGCCATTGAAGTAATTAGATCAGGTAAAACCTAATAAAACTTTTAACTATCCTTTTTGTATAATTCAACAAAGAAGATTTTAGAATGTTTTTTAATTGTTTAATCTTAATCATTAATGTGTTTAGCAATTTAAGAAGCATCAATTCTTAGTAATTCCATTAACATCAAATGAGATACTATAATAATAGCTGTTCTTCTTACTTTGAGTACTTTATCATCCATCTTCTATAAGACTTTATTGATATCAATTAGATCTGAGTATCTATAATAGATATCACTTAACATAGTAATTATATTACATTTAATAATAGATTAAACTTATTGACAATCTAAAATTTCCATAATAGTTTTGATATTTCTGATTGTACATGATTTAGATATGATCATGAATTATAATAAAGACATGACACTAATTTAATCTATCATTAAATTTCTTTCTTTATATGAATCAGTAATCATATTTTTACATATAGCTTCAGCACTAGAACTATATTCACTAAGATCTCCCATTTTTTCAAATAAATCTTATAATTCTTTAATTTTACCATCCATATGTTCTTATATACTATTATCCATTTAATCCATTTCATCTAAAGGTTGAGTCTTCTCTTTTCTATATTATTTAATCATCTTTTCACTATATACATATAATTTTAATCCTATAGTACTACTTGCAAACATCAATTATGGTATATTTGTAATTGGAATAGAATTCAAGAATTCTAATAATGTAATTTCTGGTTTTTATATTTTTTCAACTGTGAATCTTATGAAAGTGTCACATGCTCTAAACCATTCCAAATCACTTCCATCATAATTTTATAAAGATTTAATAATTTCCTTAATATATATTTGATGAACATCTTCAACAGGTATTTCTTATATAATTAATATAATTTCAGTAATTTCACTAAATTATTTTGTATCCTTTAAATGTCTTAATAAATAACATAATTTATCATATAATAAAGTATCATCCATAATTCCAATAAATCTAATTAATCTAAGATTAGGTAGTATATATTTTGATTATTTTAAATAATCCCATGCTTTATCCCAAACATCTGCTGTTTTAAGTTATAAATTTTTCTATTTAAATGATTTAAATAATTATTCTAAACAAGTTATCTCTAACATATCACAAATTTCTATCAATTTAATTAATTTTGAATAATTTCTAACAAAAGAATTAAAAATAAGTTTGTTTAAATCTTCTTATAATTCTGCTTAATAAACTAATACTAAAATTTATTTAACATATTCAATCATTCCTTCTTAATGATTGATCATTAATGTAGTAAATACTTATAAAACACATTTACTTTCTGTATGAATATTACTTAGTGCAATTTTAATAAGATCAGGCATAGCTATAGATATCTAATTCTAAAATACTTATTATGCCTTTAATTTTTATTCTCTATCTCTACAAGAATTTAATTATTATTCCAAATTATCCAAATAATATTTAATATCAATTTGATTTCTATTTAATTATTCTTATAAATTTTAACAATCTTCTATTAATTTCTATTTTTCTAATTCTAATAATTTTCTATTTTTTTCTAATTATGATGATTTAAATGTCATAATTCCATATTATTTAGAATATGCTTTTATAATTGAATCTAATAATGATATGGCTGCTCTTCTTGCTGAACTACTTTTATCTTTTAATCTTTCAACTGCTTTATATAATATTTCAGCATTCAATTTAACTGATCTTGAACTTATTAATTCTTTTAATGCATATAATACACATGATCTTCCATGAACATGTGAATCATGTGTTCTCAATAATAATAATTATAATAATTTCTCTTCTACATCTTCCATAAATACTGATTAACGTAATAATTCTCCTAAAGTCATTGTTACTGTATTTCTAATCATCCATTATTCTTTATCATATAATTTTAATAATGTATGTAGAATATTATTCTAAGTAAAAAAGTCTGGTAAATATTTCACCATCTAAAGTAATACTTCTCTACTTGTTTTTGCATATAATGGTTTAATTGTAGTTAGATATTCCAATATTACACATTCAATAAATGTTGAATTAGATGTTGGTAATAATTCTTAAAATCTCATTTAAGTATCTTCATCTTCATTCTCTAATTTTTATCTATTTAATCTTCTCAATAATGGAACACAATTTATATTCTATGCAGAAAAAGCAACTACTAAATTATTAAAATAATGTTCATTATTTTAACTTAATAAAAATGCTACTATTTAATGTGCTATTACACTTTAACAATTTGATGTTGCTACTGACATTACCATAGAAAAACATTCCTATATTAATTTGCTTGTTTTTATATATTTTACAAAACTTTTTAATACTTTTATATGTTCCTATTATTCAATCTAATTATGCCAACATAAATAACAACAAGCCAAAAAAACTGTTATTCTTTCTGATCCTAATTTCAATGTTCCTAAATATGCCTTATCTAATTAATTCTTCAATATATCTGAAAGAACATTATTTATTTATTAAGTAGTATTTCCATTTTTTATTGAAAAGTACACAAAATCTAACCATGTTGTACACTCATTCAATTTTTCTGGTTCATCTATTAAATTTGTACTTACAGTTGTCAAATACTTATATATTTATGCAGTAGTCTTATTCTTTGTTTGATCTTCTCCTTTATAATCTCCTAAAGTACTTGGAAATTCAAAATCTGACATTTTTATAATACATTTTTATATAATTTAATTAAATAAATTTATAAACAAAAAATTCTTGCTAATATTTATAATCAGTATTGAGCTTCTTCATCCCAAACTAAACCAAAGAGCTCTAATTAAAATTCCTCCTCTTAATAAGATTCTTCAATCATTTCTATTATGCATTATTGCATATCTGTTGAATGAATCTCTTATCTAATAGGTTATTAAGACTCTTTTGTAACAATCTCTCTTTCTTATTTCTCTAATTGTACTTCTTTCCAATATTAATCCATTTCAAATCTTAATTTTTACAAATTCTAATCCAATATCAAAAGGGCTGTATTACTATTAAAATGTTCTGCTATTCTACTACCCATATATTTCAAACCATCAGGATAATGAAATGCATTCATTTTAAATCTCTATTAATATTAAATAATTTTACTGAAAATGTTAAACTATTTAACTTATCAAATGCCTCCTTTGTTTCTTAAAAGTCTTTTAAAATTAAACATACTATATTATTCTATAATTATATTCTTTCATCAAGTGGTTCAAATTAAATACCTAAATGCAACTTTAAGAATTCAATCAAATATTTCACATTTGAAAATTTTGATAAATTATTTATATACAAAAGTTTCTTATGATCAGCATCATCAATTCTTAATTATAAATCTTTAAATTTAATTCCAAATATTCTCAAATCTTAATAAAGAGCATTCTATTTAGATTCCTTATTTTTAAAGTTTATAATAGCATATGATTTATATAATTTCTTATTCTTATTCACTTTTACTCTCTCTAATAATTTCTTTGTAGAACTCAATTAATCCAAACTCTAATAAAAATCCTTATTCTCATTAGATTTATTTGTTGCTATTTAATCTATTTGCTTTTTGAAATTACAATACTCAAAATATTCTATTGACTCTATCTCACCAAATCTTTATTCAAAATATTCTTTACAATCCTATTTAAATTTCTCATCCAATATATAAGGTAAGTTATATAAACAGACTTAATTAGTTTCCTTGATTCCATCAACATTATCAATCTATTTTAATTGTAAAGGAGTTCTAAGTTCACTCTCATCTTTCTATTTTATATGTTTGTTCATTAATCTAGAATTTCTGGCCAATACTAATTGATTTTAAACTATATCTTTGCTATTTGTTTCATATGAATCCATCTCTTATTTTGGTAATAAAGTATTTATCAAACTATCATCAATTATTTATGAAAAAGCAGGAACTTTTTCATCTTATTCAATTTTCAATTTATGATGTTTACGTTTATATTAAATGAAATCAGTTAGACTTTTATTCTATGGTTAAAATAAACTTGCTCTATTTTGTACAAAACAAGTATATTCACTTTTGATCTCTGTTTCTATTCTGTCAAAATCATCATAAAAATGCTCAGGCTGCAATTCTTATAGATCAATTCTTAAAGCCAATGGTACAAGATCTAATACTTGGTCTGAAAATAACAATAAAATCTTACACTAATTAAAAAGTCTAAAAATACTAGATTTCAATTGTAAAGTATTAGTATACTCCTAAACAAATATTAAAATACATCAATACCTTCTCTTTTATTAATTAAACTTCTCTAACAAAGTCCATCAATTAACTATCATGTAATCGATCTTATAAATAACATGTAAGAGTTCTTATATTTTTATATCGTTCCTCTGATACTTTTGGTATGTCAAATTTCATTGCTTCCAATACTAAATCATTTTGATCAAACAATTACATTTAATTGGAACTCCATGAATTTATGTAGTAAATTTCTATGCACACAATCTAGATAGCATAAATAAATTTTTAATATGTTTTTACAAAAGTTATAACATTACAAATAAATGAAATCAAACTCAACCAATCAAACTAAATTTATTAAATTATCATTCTAGATCCCTTCTTATTAAGAATTAATAAAAAAAAATTTAGAAAAAATATTTGAATTTTTTATTCATTTTTAACAAATTAGACATATTATTACAGATATCTATTTCATTATTTAGAAAATTCTGATTTCTAATTATTATAAATATTGTGTTTAGATTTGAACAGTGAATTAGAAATATATTTTGTTAACAAACTGAATTTTAATATTATTCTTCAATATTATTTTTATAAGTATATGAATTCAGAATAATAAGACAATAATAAAATTGCAAAAGCCAATTTGGAATAATTTTTAAGAGTCTGGTGGCGATAACTTTTATTTGGTACTAAACTTGTAATTGGAATTTCTTGGTTGTTTGGTTTTATTGATTTATTGAGCAATTTTGCTTTTGATTTATTCAGTAATTCTCCACAATAAACAATACCATTTTAAATTTAGAGATTATTCTTTTCACAATTTGTTCATTGTAAATCTATTTAATAAATATGATAGATTATACCATTGATTTATTGCTTGCTATTATTTGTGTATATAAAAAATTTGAAGATTTAGAATCAAAGTATTCATCTGCTATTTTCATTATTTTAATACTTGTATTAGGATGTCTCACTTAAGTATATATATTCTATATAATTCATATAGTTTATATGTGTTATACTTTAATGGATATTATCGTTTATTTACTAACCATTTTATTCAATTAAAGCGTATGGATTATGGAATTATTATATTTTCTGTGTCATTTAAGAGTAAACTAATTTAAATATATTTTAGATGTTTGACTGCTCCAAATGGATAAAGTTTATTTTTAATATTTCCTATGTAAATGAAAAATCATAACTATCTTATTGTTTTAATTATCTTTTTTACTCTTATTCAATAATCATTATCATTCATTTCAACAGGATTTGTAGCAATTACATTCTATTTATTTTAGAATCATATCAATTAAATAAATCATTCTGTATTATATTTATTTATTAATAGACTATTGAAAGATTTGAAAAATGTTTTTTATTAAAGTATTTTTCAGAGAGAACTGATTTTAAGAAAATTTCAAATTATTAAGATTAATTAGAACCTAGTGTTGATGTAAGAGAACTTTAATCTGTAGAAACACCTCCTGCAAAGTTTTTTGATATAATAAATTTTAGATTAACATTATAAGGAAGTCCTTAATAATTTAGATCGTCTTTAGTAATTTCTGAATTATAAAAAGAAATGAATTAAAAAGAGGGTGATAATGAATAGCCTATTTAAGAAGATGATGAAGAAAAAAAGTAAAATGAATCAAATCCATCTACATAATTTGGATGATTCTTATTATGTTAATTGTTTTATATCATTTTAATTGTTAGTTAATCATTATTTATAAAATGATCTAATTTAGTTTAGTTTTCTTAAAAAATCTCTCATTTATTAACATAAATTAATAGATATTATTATGTATTTACAAGAAATTCTATTATTTTATGGTAATATATTATAAAGAAATTTAAATAATTATATATATTTGTAAATCATATATTTTTTTAAAGATTATAAAATAATATTTTGAACAATATGTGTTATGAAATATAAGAATTTTAATAAATAAAAGAATTAGAGGAATATAAATAATTTAAATAAAATAATGGAATGTCCAATGTGTTGGGAATTGTATGCTCAAAATAGAGTGGCAAGAAATCTACTTTGTGGTCATACTTACTGTTCCATATGTCTTGAATCAATCTATAATGTAAATAAGAGAATAGAATGTCCTCTTTGTAGAACAAAGCATGAACCACATGTAAAACCACATTTATTAAGTAAAAATTATGTGGCTATGGATTTGGCTTCCAAGCATTTGGAAGTATAGTAAATTAATAGCATAATAATTAGAAAAAAATTCGAATTATGTCCAATACATACAAAACTTCCATTATAATTTTTTTGTGAAGATGATTAATCAAATATGTGCACTGAATGTATTGCAGAACATTATGGTCATAAGTTTTTCAAATATGAACATTCAGGTATTATAATAATATATTGATTAGTTTCTTTATAATAAAATCGATTAGGAAAGATCTAATCGAAATTACAAACTTAATTTGAGATTTTGGAAAAGTAAGTAAAAGGATTTGATAATTGTAAAGAACAATTACAATTAGAAAATGTTAAATTGGTATTGAATATATGAAATTTTTAGATGCAATAATTAGATGAACAATTTGATCGATTAATTAAAAAAGTTGAATAAAGAAAGTAAGAATTAAGAGATTAGTAATTAAAAATATTTAATACTGAATGTGAATAGATAGATTAAGAACTAGCATTTAATTAATCTTTATTAACAAATATGGCAAGTTTAACTACAAAATTAGATTAAAAATAAGGAGAATTAAGTATATATAATTAATTATTTGAATAGAGGGTGTAAAAGCATTGAAAAATAATGATCTTATAAAGGAAATTGATGATTTAGAAGAATAAGTAGATAGAGATGTTGCTTAATAAAAGTAATTAAAGATTAGTGAGATAAAGAAATTACCAAAGTTAGTTTTTGATTAGAAATTAATTAATGAAATTTTAAAATTTGGTTAATTTAAGAAAGATGTATCAAATCCATAAATATGTTTTTTTGGTGATAAACATAAAATATTAATATATAACATTGAAAATAATGAATGGACATTTAAATAAATGCCAAATGTATATCAAATATATATAATAGAATACATTAGAATACAATTATTATGCAGCAGCTGTAAGTTTACCAAGTGGTGATATAATTATTACTGGAGGTGGAGTTAGTAGAAATACAATGTTAATATCACCATCTAAAGGATTTTAATCTTAAGCATTAAAAAGTATGTATTTTCCAAGAAAAGAGCATGCATGTGTATATCTTGATGGATTTGTATATGCTATTGGAGGGTATTATTATTAATTAAATATTTAGATATGATGGATCTGCTAAATAAATGTTGTCATGTTGTGAAAAATATAGTTTAGTTTCAGATGAATGGAAAATAATAGATCCATTATAAAAATAAAAATGTGCTTTTGCAGCAGCAGCAGCTATTAATAAATATATTTATGTATTTGGAGGTTTTGATGGAAGAGAAAGATTGAATACAATTGAAAGATATTCAGTAAAAGAAAATTAATGGAAAGTTTTAGATGTTAAATTTAAATAAGGATTTAGTAATGCTGCTGCTATTTCTTATGATGATAATAAGATTCTTATTTTAGGAGGAGGGTAAGTATTATAAAAATTATTAATTTTAGATCAAATCAAGGTTTTTCATATGATTTACAAGTTTATGATGTTAATGAATAAGTAGTTAAAACTTTGAGTAGAATGAATGAAGGAAGAGATTTGAGGAATAAATTGGTTATTTTTGATAATAGTTTATATGCTTGTGGAGGTAATAATTAATCTATTGAAAAATACTCCTTAAGTTAATAAGTATGGGTGAATTTAAAGTAAATTATTAATTAATTATTATATAGGAGTTATGATTAATTAGTTCAAGATAATTTGGATTCATGGTGTAGTGCTTTGACCTTTGAAATCAATAGTTCTAATTCTGTCTCAAATCTATTGAAACATAATTAATAAAAAGTAATATATATTTTTTATTATAGTAACAATAATACTAAAAATATAAATTTGAAGAATAAGTGTCTTTTGAAAATGATTCATTTAATTAAGATGCTTAAAGTGAAGAACTAGATGATTTAGAAGATTATGCATACAATTAATAGGCTGGTGGATTATTTTAATTTTGAATTAATATTTAGATATATAATTAATAGTTAAACTTTTAATCATATAGTCAATAATCTCATCAATTAACAATAATATCTCATTAAAATCAATTGTAATTTATGTTTAATAGGTATTTTTATTTTCTTATTGTTATTTTTATTAGCTTATTATTCACTTTAAGGTAATTAATCATATAATATTTGTCTTCTGAAACAATATTTTATTAACTAAAATAATATGATAAATATAATTCCTAAAGGTAATAATAAAGGAGCTAATTCCATTAAATTTTATTATGTGACTTAAGACTATATAATTCCGTTTGTATAATTTTTTATCGACGTTATTATGTTTTGACTATAAACTCTAAATAGAAGCAATACAAATATCCCGTAATTCATTTTATGATAAAGAAAATTTTATATTTTAAAAAATAAATTATAATAATTGATATTTATTTATTTATTAAAAAACACTTTTAAAATGAGTGAAATATATGATATACTATAATTTTATCATTATTATTATATTTCCTATTATTAATGATCATTTTACTCGACTCCAGTTTCAAGTAAAAAATCACTTATTTTCTAGTTTGGAAATATTTAGGAAGCATTTTCAATTGTAAATTAAATAAATTAATTTACAATTTTAATTCTAAATATACTTTATTAAATGATACTTCAAATATTATTCTTAAACATTAGCTTAATCATATTATTATGGTCTACATAAACTTATTCCAAATACAATAGCTAAATTACTTGGACCCATCTTATTAATTTAAGAATATTAAGCCACATTTTATAGCATTAGTATAATTAAAGTAAATAAGTTTCTATTCAAATTTGGAAATTACTAAATCAATACCTAGGCTTCTTCTATAGAATATTGTTTCATTGAATAAATTTAATTATAATATTAATATGGAACAACTGAGTACTTTAATTTATCTAGAACTCTCTTAATAAAATTCGCAATAACTATGACATTCTCAAAATCTAGTATTTCTGAATACTATTTTTATATTAAATAATTTTCAAACTGTTTGTCTTAAGTTTATGCAGAACATAACCTAAATATTCCTTCTTGTTGAATGTTTTAAGGATCCTATAATAATTTAGTAATGCATAGATCAAGTATAATTGGTATTCCTTTGTTTGTAAACTCATACTAATCCAATTCAAGATCATAAAGTTAATTTTGACATTATTGGAAACAAATATTTTATTGTTAATTTCCAATAAATGCCTATTAAAGTTATTGATAAGAAGAATCTTTACAATAAGCAGGCATTTTCTCAAATTGTTATTTTTTAAAAAACTGATAATTTAGCAATTATACAACTCTATTATTTTATGATAATGATACTTTTCTAGATAAATGGTTTTTGATTTCAATATTTTTATTTAAACACTACTTTGAAACCAAAACCATGATTTTATAAAAATATTTCCATGCAATATGAATATTTTTTATAAGTTTTCAAAATAAACACAAGGAAATTCTTTAAAGATTGAATAAAATTTTGATAGATTCAAATAAGTTTTCAATTCTGTATTTATATAGATAATGAAAAATTCTCTAAGTAATATTATGGAATAGTTACTAATTTTTTTAATTCTACAATTAAGAGATCATATAATAAGTAATTGATTTAACATTATTATCAGTCTATAATTTTCCTTATATTATAAAAACAGATTGTTTCTATTCAGTAAGACCTAAGGTTATAATATTAAATTTAGACCTGCATGTATTAATAATGGATCATCTCTGTTTTTAGAATCATATTTTGCAACTTGCATTTATACAACAAAATCATTTTGTAATTTTTTTTCATTTTAGACATACTTTTGATCGTTTGCAAACAGGTCTCGTATCTATTATTTTTCGTTATCAATAATCATAAAAATTAATTAAAACTATATTATAAAATCAGAAGATTTAGCATGATTCACAACTTCTATTTTTTCTATGTCCCTTAATTTTAAAAGATTTAATAGAATGGATATCTTCTTCTGTAAATGTATTCACTTAATCTCCAGTTTCTGATTGTAATACAATATTTTGATTTTACGGAACTTCAATCTATATTACTAATATTATTTACAACTAAATTTTATTAATCATTAAAATGATCTTCTTTAACTTCAATCTACTTTTCTTCAAATTTAGAAATTGTTGTTTAATTGTAAAGTTCTTATTTCTTATTTTCCAATAGTTAAATCTCTTTTTATAAAGAACCTAATAATTTTTTATGACTGCTGTTATTTTATATTTACTACTATACTTAAGAATTAAGTGTTTATTCTTATAATTGTTATTAATCTTATTCTGATATTTGATTGTACTATTATACTTTATTATTTTCTAATTCTTCTTATTCTTCCTTTATTTTATTATCTTAATAATTAATTTCATTGATCTTTTATTATATTTACTATCCTTTCTCTTTAGATAGTAATAATTACATTTGAATATTTTATATTTAATTATCTAAAATCTCTAATTTCTGCTCTGTCTATTTTTTTTCTTTTTTTGTAATAGATTGTTTTTCTTAACAATATAACAATTCTGATTTTAATTCTTAAATTTGATCATTTAATTCTTTATTTTTTTACTCTCTCTATATATTTTCTTCCTTATATTATAATATGAGTTCTGAATGCCTACTTTTCATTTCATCTACAAATCTTGCTGATGTTTAACCTCCCATTGACAATCTTGCCCTTCTATCTCTTGGTGTAGAATATTATAAGGGTGTTGTCACATAACTCTTAGATCTTTCACCAATTATATCTGATAATTTTGTATTCAATTAAAGAGTTGGAATTTGTATATTTTTGTAAGTCGTCTAATGAAATTTTTTTTGATGCTCTTTTTCTTAAAGTAGATATTCTAATTGATCAATAATCTCATGAGCCTTATCAAGTTGTTCCTAATAAAATCTAGTTTTAGAATTAGGAGATAATGAAGGAGATGGTGGTTAGAGATCAAATATCATATTTTAATTAATATGTACATTTATTTTACTGTATGTGTATATTACTTTTTCATAATCTTCTTCCTCTTCTACCTCCAGGTCTTCTTGTTGAGTCAGTTGGAATAGGAGTTACATCTTCAATTCTACCTATTTTAAGTCCAAGACGAGCCAATGCTCTCAATGCAGCTTAAGCACCTGGTCCTGGTTATCTTGTATCAACACCTAAATAAATAATTAATATTTTTGATACCTCCTCTTGCTCTTAATTTAATATGTAAAGCATTAATTTTAAGTGTTTTCAATTTCTCATAAACATCTTTGGCTGCTTGCATGGCTGCATATGGTGATGATTCTTCTCTATCTGATTTTACTTTCATTCCACCAGTTACTCTAGCTAATGTTTCTCTTCCTGTCAAATCAGTGATATGAATAAAAGTGTCATTCCATGTAGATAAGATGTGAGCCACACCAAATACTAATTCATTTCCTGCCACATTTGGTCCTAATGTAGCTACTACTTATTAAACAGTTTCTTCTCCAGTTTTCTTTCCTTTTTTGCCTTTTGGTTATTGAACAGCTTATGGTTTTGCGTCAGCCTTTATTTAATTGTTATAGTTACCATTGTCTAAAAATTAATTTAAATCTTTTTTTAATATAGAAAATAGAAATCATTACATAATTTAATTAATAACTACATTATATATACCTAAAAATGTTAGATGTCTAGAACACCATACAATCAATTATATTATTATGATAACAATTTATTTATTATTGTACTAAATATGTAAATATCATTCAGCAGCAAATTTGTTTTATGTTTTCTTTGTTCTTTAAGCCTTATTTTTTTCTCTTCTATCATTTTATTCTTTCTCTATTTTATCAACTCTAACTTTTTCTTATTTAGTTTCATGAATTGCCTCAATAAGAACTTTTTTGTTTTTATATTGATTACCTTTTGAAGCCAAATAAAATTCATGATATCTAAATTATTTAACATTATTTACTATTATCTATCAATTTTCTTTGCAGCTCTATATTTTCTGAGCAATCTTCTTAAAACTCTTTGTCTTCTAATCCAAAGAACTTTAGTTGGCATTCTTGCCTCTCTTGTACCTCTTCTTTTACCAGTACCAGTGTGTCTGCCTCTTCTCTTTGCTTCAAGGTATCTTCTTGCTCTAGCTCTTGAATGAATTGTTCTTAATCTTCTCATAATCAAACCATCTTTAATTAATTTTCTAATTGACATTCTTGAATTAGCAAGACTGATTTCACTTGCTTCATTTGGGTCTAACCAAACTCTGTTGATACCAACCTTTAATTATGTAGATGCTAATCTTTTTTAGAGACGGAGATTAACCATTAAAAAATAATATCTAAATTTTTAAATTTTTTTTCATTTAATCTAAACATTTGCAATATTAGATTACAAATAAAAAGAATATAAATTTTTACATTTATATATAAATTTGTTAAGAAAACAAATAAAATTGAATAAATTTTTGTGAATAAATATTCATATATTAAATTTAATAACTAAAATATTTAATAATTAGACAGTTATTTCAGTTAATACACAATAAATTTTATTGAAATTTATATTAGTTAATAGATTATTCCATCATAAAAGTGACCCAACTTATAAGTAATGATAAATGAGTATTGTGATTTTTATGCCTTTTGAGTTAAGATTGAAACAAAATGTGAAAATAATTAAATTTAAAATCAAATAAAATGTAGCAGAATCAGAGTTATACAAAAATCAAATGTCTATTCAAAGGATATGCAGGTAAAGTGTACCTGATTGAAAGAAGATCAGAAAATGATCCACCAAATAAGAAACACACTCCTTTAGTGTTGAAAAGATATTACAGAAAAGTATTTATTAATTCTAATCCTATATAGCCATCAGACCCTTAAGATCATACTTAGTTAAATGAATATAAGTTTTTGAATACGTTACATCATCCCAATATTGTAAATTTCATAGATGCTTTTACAGAAAAATTTGAATACAAAAAATACTTGTGTTTAACGATGGAATAAATGGCACCACTTCATGAACTATTATTCTCTATTAATGATTACCAACTCTATATCTTCAGAGAGCTCTGTTAAGCTTTGAATTATTTACATTAATAAAATATCCTTCATAGAGATATTAAACCTAGCAATGTCTTTGTAACATCAGAAGGATAAGTTAAATTAGGAGATTTTGGCATTTCAACATAGATAAGAAATTTGATGACTCCTCAAACTTGCACTAAGAATTATAGGGCACCAGAATTATTCTTTGGATTAAAAGAATATGATGCATCAATTGATATATGGTCCCTTGGTTGTACATTAGTAGAATTATTTACAGGAAAAATTTTATTTGATGGTAGATCAGAAATTGAGATTATGTCTTAAATAGCTGAACTTTTAGGAAGTTTGAATGTAAAAAAAAGATTGTATTTTATATATTAGGATTCAAATTGGGAAGGAGTTTCATCATTACCTATGTATTTGGAATTTGTTAATGATAAATAACCAAAATTACCTAAAGTTTTGTCTACATTGCCTAAAAATTTATAGCCTTTGGTTTACAATATGCTAAGAATGAATCCAAAAGAAAGACCAAATATTAAATAAGTTTTATAACATTTGAATGAAATGAACATTAATGATTGCTCAATACAATTAGCGAGTATTGCTCAGAATGCTATGAGTGCGAGTAATAAAATTAAATTTCAATAAGGGATATGATTTTATAAAAATAATTAAAATGAATTTGGATTTCCATTTTGCTGAATTCTAAACTCCTTAAAAGCCATATTATGTTAGATCAAGTCATAAACACAACTCAAGTTAGCCTTAACTATCAAATTACTTTAAAGATGTTTAGGAACATAAATAAAATCTCTCTAAAGTTGGTCAAGAATCCTTAAAAAAATGGGATTTCTTTTCTGATCCATTTAGTTTACCTGAAAAATATTTAAGTAATTCACAAAAAAAAATAAAAACCGAAACAACAGACTTTGGATTTGATAGTATTGATTTAATTTTAGGAAAACAAACAGATCGAAACAGTTCAACATCTCTAAAAGTGATTCATTAGAAAACTCAATCAGAAAAACTGATAGGAAAAAAAGTACAATTTTCAGAGTTAGTACAAGTAAAGAATGATGATGGAAGTGAAACTGAAGAACCTATTCAAGTATTTTCAAGGAAGGAAACAAGAAAAAGTAAGTTTTCAACATCAGGTCAGCGACCACTTGATTCAATTAGAAAATAATGTTGATATAATTTACTTAAATATAAATAATACATATATATATATGTTTAGATTTTAAAATATAAAACATTAATCTAATTATCATCAATTTACAAATCAATCATTATCGAGAAAACAATCATTCATAATTACTGATTTGATATTATAAATAATAAAAATTTATAAGCATTTTATTTAATAAATTATATTATTATGCATAAACATGGGAAGAGGTTACATATGGGATCGTAAAATCAATAATCTCTAACATCTCTAAATTCAAAGAATGCTAATTAAGAAACAGAAAAATAATAAGATCAATATGAAATAGTACAATAAAGTTTTGAGAATTCAATGTAAATGAATGTGAAAGATCATATTGATAAATTATTTGTAATAGGTATTAATATAAAAATAGAATATTTTAAACAAAATCAAAGATGATTTAAAGGTTAGCAGAGATGATATGAATGTTATACGTGAAGAATTACATAAAATGAAATCTAATTAATATAGAGAAGAAGATTAAATAACTAAAACATTACTTTCAGATGTATAATTAATCAATAATTTAGATTAATAAACATAATAATGAATTAAATAAATAAAAGATTGATACATAAACTGTTTATGGAAGTCTAAATATGCAAATCTCAAGTTTATATTGCGATAAAGATTTTCTTAATGGAAATACTACTAAAGTTGAGTTGGATACAAATATGGTTGAAACTCATGTAGGTTTTAGAAGAGTTTATGATTGAATTATATATTTAGTATACATATCAACTAAATTATTAATTAATATTATTTAACAGATATTAAATTGTATATAGTTAAAAATGTCTCTAGAATAACTACAGTGTATAGAAGATGATAAACAATATTATCAATCAAAAAATAAATCAAGTCATCAACAATCTATTTAATCAATAACAACATTATAATCAGATCATTCTATTCAATCATTAGAAAAATTGGTATCATAAGACATAGTAAAGGATACAAACTTAAAATTAGAATTAGATCAATTTATTGGATTATTATAGAAAGTAAAGCCATCAAATTTGAAAAATGAACTATCTGTTGTGATGAGTACAGAACAAGAAGAATATTATAGTTTTTAATAAAAATAGCCTTTAGATAAAAAAGAGATAATGTTTGAAGGATTTCAGAAATGTTATATTGAGGCAATAAAAATAATTAGTAATTTAATAAGAGATACAAAAGAATAAAATTATATTATCTCTTATTTGGAAAAAATGCAAATGATTTATGTATACATAAAATTGCAATAATTAGATTATGCATATATAGAGCTATTAAGGAATGGAAAAATCTATCAATCTCTTAAATAGTTTAAAGTAAACTCTCATTGATGCTGATTAAGAAATAACTTTATTGCATAATTAATCAGCAGAACAACAATCTATTCTATAGAAAATGTAATAGCAACTTAAATAAAATATGAGTGAACTAAATTAAGAACGTTTAAATTCATTGGATTTATAATAAAAAAATTAACAATTAAAACATATGATTTTAGTAGCTAATAAATAGTTTGAATCATTATAAGAAAAATTATTATAAACAGAATAAGAATTAAATGAAATTGTTTCAACTTAGAGTTAACAAATTAAATAATTAGTTTAAACTAATAAAAATTTAAGAGAAGCTATTGTATTTAATGAGAAGAAATAAGAAATTCCTAAGAAAACTAATACTTCTCCCTTAAACTCATAAAGGAGTACTACTAATAGCAATTAAGAAAATTAATATAATCAATTAAATAATTAATTAACTATTAATTCCTAAAGAACTTAAAATTTAGATAAAGATACCTAAAATATATCTCCTTAATAATCATAAAGATGTACATCAAATAAAAGAGAATGGAATAAATATATAAAAAAATTTAAATGAATGGTGAAAATTTATATATTACTTAATATAAATATAGAATTTCATTACACAAAACGATTAAAGTTCCAAATTCCTTATATTACTTATCCTCCTATTGAAATATATCTACCTTATCCTTAAACTTGATCATCTTAAAAATTTCCCTCAAAACGATCTCCATTCAAAAAATAGAGAGTTCCTTATCCATTTTTATTATCATCATAAAATTATCCAACATATTTAGTCCAAGCACTTAAATTATTAAGATTAAATTACTTTCCAATATCTTCTAGATTTCTATAATTAATATCTTCAATTTTAGGAGTATCATTATATAATATACCTTATCCTTAAAACTTGTCATCAATCCATTCTCCATCATATGCTGGTCTTCCACTTGCATAATATAATACACCTATATTTAAATAATAATTTCATACCTTATCCATTAATTCTGTCATTTTTCCAATTTCCATCATAATAGCCACCTTCTTTATAATATAATCTTCCTCTACCTTCTTTTTTTCCATTAATTTTCTCTCCAACATATCTTTATCCATTTGGATATGTTTCATTAACATAAGTTGACAAATTCTATTTTGGGAGATATGTTGATACTGTCTATATAGGTATATAATTTGATTATTATTAAATTGGTTATTATTATACAGACATAAATCTACTCTAGGGTTATGCAGAATAATATTAATAAGATTCTCTATTTGGTTGGTTGTAATCAATTTAATGATTTTATTCATATATTTTGATATCATTTGGTGATGAAAAATGAAATTTATCCATATAATCAGTGACTTTAAATGATTCTCTTTAAGGTTAATAGGCAGTCACATATTATTATTATTAATATTGAATATTGGATTTTTATTAATCATTATTATTGAATAATTAACTTGATTGAGTATAAGCATCTTATTTTTTGAGATTTGTATAATCTTTATATGTACTTGTATTAGTATAAGAATCATATTTAATATTTTATTTTGGTATTTCTGGAATTCTATAAATATCTTAATTTAAAATATTATTATTTTAAGCAAATGAGATTGGTTGAACTTAAATTTCTTAGATTTATGATTTTGGAATTTATCCAATTGAATTATTTTACTTCATTGGAGCTAAATTAAATATTATTATTTTAATTACAGATAGAATTCCTAGTGATATCTGCATTGTGAATCAATATATCATGTTCATTATAACTAGCTGGTTATGGTTCTTTAAAGGGTTGATGTAACTCATCATAATTGTCTTCTAGTAATGGAATTGGTCCTTCATCTTAATAAGAAGGCTATACTGATTAATTGACTTCAAATTAATTATCATTATTCTTATAGAACATCATTTAGTATTCATCATCTTATTAAAGAGAGTTTTTATCAGCTAATTGAGGTTCTTATTTGACAATAGTTTATTTCCTTTTATTCCTCAATTAAATAAAATCAGGTCTATCATTTTCAACTTATTCAAGCATTTCTTCAATTATTTCAACTAATTCAGAAGTATAAATAGTTCTAGCTTATTCAATGTTTGTAAACAATTATTACATGTTTATTTTACCTTCAAAGTAATCATAACAATTATCTTAAGGTTATAATAAACAAACTTAAAGGAATATCATTCCAAGAGTATATACATCTGATTTAAATAAATTATGTTAAGGCATATGATTACTTTCATAAACTGCCTTAGTCAATATAGGAGATAGATAATTGCCTTGAGATGCATCTCCATAATCTTGTAAGACAGCTGCAAAGGATGTGATATTGGCTAATAAGGGAATGTCACTAACTTTGATAATTCCATTTTGATAGGATAATGTTTACACTCTCAAATTTTAATGGGCAATCTTAAATTCTTGTAATTTGGCTAATCCATCAATTGCTCCATTTAACATTTATAAAATCTCTTATTCTCCATAATAAGCACCTGCTTATTTCCTTTATTCTAGAGCATCTTTTAGAGTTTGAGGTATGTATTCAAATACGAGGTTAACTTTATAAAAGGTACTGCAAACTTACTCTTCTTCTGATTAAATTGATTCTAATTGATATTATTCGTTATGCATACCTTTCAACTCAATAATATTAGGATGTTTTAGAGATTGTCTCATCTATAATTTATTCTTCCAAGCTTAATAACTAGCTTCATCTGGAACACTTATGTTCTTTAATACAATCATTTATGACTTGTCATTTTTCTTACCGAACAATTTGCCATCCCCATATCCTACTTTATAATTATGATGATTCACTTGCATCATTAAGATGTTTGATGAATTCGTATTGCGAGTCAATCTTTCTTAAAAAATCTTTCTCCTATTTACTATCTGCCTAACCCATTAATTTATAACTGAATAAAATATATATCCCTTTTTTATTCTTTTATAATTATAAATCAATCATTCTTAAAAGCATATGAATAACAAGACCACTCTATTGAGTGAAGGATCTTCGTCTAATGTGTTCCTAAGCGAAGATCCCAATTATGTAATTAAGGAATATAAATCATTCTACTCAATATAGTCAAGAATGAAGGAAGTTCAAATTTTAGAACTTCTCAAAAGTAATCATATAGTAAAACTCATCATGTACACAGATAACTACTTGGTTTTAGAAAGACTTTAAACACATGATTTATTTGAAGTAGTCAAATCTCAGAATCTAAACACACAAATAATAAAGGAAATATGTAAGACTTTGATCAAAATTATAAACTATGTTCATTAAAATCAAGTAGTTCATAGAGACATCAAATTAGAGAATATTTTGATAGATAAAGAAGGTGGATTAGTTTTATGTGATTTCGGCTTTGCAGAACTATTAAGTAATTGTACAGCAAAAAGAACTGTTGGTACTCTTAATTATATGCCTCCTGAATTACACTAAGAAACACTATTGGGAGGACATAATAGTGAGAATATAAATACTTAAGTCCTAATTAAGAGTGATGTTTTTTCATTAGGAGTTACTTTATTTTAGTTAATATTGGGTTTTTTACCTTTCAAATCAACTAAACCTAGTGCCAATTGTAAATTATGGAAATTAATTTAATAAAAAAAATGGTAATAATATTGGACACTCGTTTAAAAATTGTCAAAATAATAAATAGATATAATCACATAAGATTTTCTGGAGCAATTTCTTTAGCCAGATTCAACTACTAGAACTACTCTAGATATAATTTATGATCATCCTTATCTTTAAGAAGTAAAGGATGATGCACATTTATTTTGATTAATTATTATTTATATATATTAAATTATTACAACCACATATGATTTCAGAAATTATTGTAGATGACATTGTCAAATAGATAATACATAAATCAAGAAAATTGATTAAAGAACATTAAATAGATGCAAAAATACCTTCTTTTTTGAAATATGAATCTATGCATTAGATCAAGTAATAGTGAAATAAATGACAAGATCAGCTATTAATCTTTATCAAGTTGATTGCTAGAACTCTTCAATTTTATTAGATGATTAAGAATACAATATTAGACCAACCATAGATTCATTTTAGGCATTGACACTTAAATTAATAGATAAACCAATAATAGATTTAGGAGAATTATATTAAAATAATACTTTCTCTGATCATACAACTACCAATAAATCTATGATTAGAAGATTCTCTCATAAAAAGAAAATAGAAGTTCAAGTTGTAAATTTGAAAGAATAAAAACCTATTGAATAAAAATAATAAGATCACTAAGAAGTTTATAAAAAATAGATGAATACTAATAATATTAATAGACATTCATTAATTATGAAATAATAAATAAGAGATTTAACAAGTAAAATAATCTAAAATAAATAGAACATATGTTCATTGATAATTTTGATGCAAATGAATATAGAAAGAAAATTTAATAATAGGCAGAGAATTTAGAAAAAGAAATGAAATAATGTGATAGATCATTTCAGATCAAAAAAGTATCTGAAAAATCTATAGATAATAGTAATAATTTGAATTAAACTGTTAAACCAACAACAGCTCCTTAAGGTTAAAGAAGAACATAATATATTATAAATAAAAAAATGATAGATTTAAATATCACTTTACCATAATTTAAAAGATAATTAACTCCAGTAGATCACAAACGAACTTCTAAAGTTCGAAATGTTTCTATGGCTTGATAATAGTTTATTATATAAATATTTATGAACTTTATATATAACCTGATATTTGTTTATGATTTAAATTTTTATTATCTTTATATATTATAATACATTAATAATGTCTGGGCCTCGAATTATAGGCAATTACATTTGTAACAATTAAAAATTATTGGGAGAAGGACTAATGTGCACAGTAATTAAATAAGTAATTCAAGGTTTATGAAGCAAAACATTGTGAAACTAATAAATATGTGGCATTAAAATAAATTTAAAAAAAGTCAAAACTAGAAAGAAGATTAACAGCTGAAAAATTAAAAGAATCATATGATTTGGAAATTAAAATTTTAGAGAAATGTAAATAAAATAATCATAAGAATGTCATTTAACTTTTAGATAACTTTGAAACATAGGAACATTATAATATAGTTTTAGAATTATGTGATTGTAATATAGAATAACATATCTATTTAAGCAAATCTTAAAGAATATATAGAGAAATAAGAAAATAAAAGATTAACTGAAAAGGAAGCAGTTGATATTTTAATTTAAATAGTTGAAGGAGAGAAATGGTATTTATTTATATTTATTTTATTGTCTTCATGAAATAAACTATTGTCATAGAGATATTAAGCCAGAAAATATATTAGTTAAAGATGGTTGGATAAAAATAACAGATGTGAATTTAGCAAAATATATAGATAATATGTTAATGACAACATAATCACTTGTGGGAACTCCTTTTTATTCAGCACCCGAAGTTAATAAAAAATAAAAATATTCACCATACAAAGCTGATATATATTCATTAGGGGTTGTCTTCTATGAAATGTTATACGGTTTACTAAAGAAATAATAAAATAATATTGATATTAAAGAGAAAATTAAGAAAAGCAATATCTAAATTAATGATATCTTAAAAAATTTGATTCTCAAAATGGTTCAAGATAATCCTTAAGATAGAGCAGATTGGTTATATGTATCTTCTTGTATATACTAATACGTAATCAATACATAAACTAATTCTGATTCAATTTAAATTATTTCATCATTCTATTTTAATGCTTGGTAAGAAAAATATCAATTTTTGAAACAAATAATATTAGACTTATGCTTATTATAAATTAATGATGCAAACATATATTTATATTAAAGTGGACTTTTGATTATTAAACTTTTAATTAAATATGTAGAAGAAAAAATCTTAGAATTATAAACTGCAAAAAAAAGCGATGAGGTTAAACATTATAAAGAAGAATAAAAGTTTCTATCTGACTATCGAAACGAATATTTGTTTAATGTTAAGTTCAAATATTTTTTATTTTATTTAGGACTTGGTACTCTAATACAAAAAAGGAAAGAATATTTTGTCATTCTAAAGATTTAGAAGAAGAATTTAAATACATAGAGAGAAGCAAATAGTTTGATAAACATTTTTAGAGATATTTAGCTTATTTTTTCAATCAGTTGAATTCTTTAAATTTCAAAGATAATAAATTGATGTTCAAAAAGAAATTGTTATAACTTAAATTATTGATAGCTTGTGATCAAATAAATGATTTTGTAAAATATATATTCTAAATATCAGGAATAAGTGGAAATATTATTAAGTTAAAGTTAGTTATCATAAGGGAAAAATATTTTAGGCTTTGTGTAATATGTTGAGGATATCAAGATGGTAGAAGACTATCTAAGAGCATTACAACCTATAATAAATTAAATCCTTAGTGATGAATGATAGAATGATAAATTTTCTATTAAAAGATTCATCTTACAATAATTTCAATAATATCTTTGATTTATATTTACATGTTTCTGGTGTTTCATAACTACAATGTAACACCAGAAACATAAATAAACCAGTAGAATTCATAAATTGTTTAGAAAGAATAGTAGATTTAGAGTATCAAATAATTTTAAGAATTTAAATCTATATCTTAACTGCATTTTTGTAATACAATTTTTTACTTTTAGTTATCTTTTCTTTATTTTTTATGTTGTATATTCTTTAAATTCTGAATTTAATACTATTATATAGATGTATATATTCTTTCATAGATTATAGATTAGAAATGATTATAAGACAGTCTTATAATTAATAATTTTGATGGCAGATTAACTACTATAAAATGAAAAAATTAAAGAAATTAGTACACATTTCCAATAAAAGTTAAGGGAAAACATTTAACATTTATAGAAGATATTCCATGTATCATCAGAGGAATGTTCATCACTTAAGGAATAACTGTTAGCAATGAAATATTATATAGATTAAAGGTATACAAAATATCATTCAAAAGATGTCAGGAATATTCATAGTTAATAATGGATATAAATGCAAAGGGTGAGAGTAGAGAACTCTTGAAAAAGTTAGCAGATTTAATAACAATAAGTGAATTATTAAATGAAGGTAAAGTAATTGTAATATTGAATTAGACATTACATATTATAAAGATACTATTTCTGCTTAAGATTAGAGAATATTATTATTGGAATCTTAATTATCATTTGAGAGACAATTAGTTTAGCAACTTCAAAAAGACAATAAAGAAATCTATGATAAAATGAAACAAGAAGCATTAATAGAAAGAAAGGATTTAGAAGTAGCTCTTGAAGTTGTAAAAGGATAATTTTAAAAACTTGAAGATGATTTCTATTAATAAGTTTTTAATATGGAGAATACTATTAAATAGTTAAATGTAAAAATAGTTGATTTAGAAAATGGGAGAGCAAGTTTAATAAAAACAATACATTAAAAGGAAGATATACTAAAAAAATAGACAATTCATTATGATACAAAATTGACAGATTAAAAAGTCTATTGGTAAAATAAATTAAATGAAAAAACTAATGAATTAGAATAGACTATTAAAGATAATATTTAGTCATGGGAAATTAAATGTAAATGTATTTAAAATGATTTTGATATTTATAAAAAGAATATTTAAGAGTAAATAGAATAGTTAACTTAATTATCAAATTTAAAAGACAAAGATTATGAAAGATTGAAAGAGAATTTTGATAAATTGTAAGAAGATTATAAATTAAAGGAAACATATATTTTAACACATAAAGATGAAAATGATAAAGTTACAACTGAATTGAGAAAATAAGTTGAAATGCTTAAAGAACTTTAAATAAATTAAGAATAGAAAATTAATACACAATAATATGAATATAATAAAATACTTTAATAAATGAAAGATGGAGATTCAAGATATAAAAAAGAATAATAACGTTAAAATGAATTATTATAAGAGATTTAAGATTTATAATTTTAAAATCAAGAGAATTAAAAAACTATTCAAAATTATAATTAATTAATCAAAGAAATATATACAAATGCATCAACATTTTTAGGATTAGAAATAAAGACTTAATAACATTAATAAATGTTATAATTCTCTCTAGAATATTTATTAGTATTAATTAGATCTAATTAAGAATAAAAATTAGAATTTAATGAAGTTTAAAATATGTATGAAACTCAAAATTTAGATTTAAAAAATAAATTAAATAAATAATGTTAAATAAATTTATCATAAGATAAACTTATAGCAACATTAGAAAAAAGGATTTCAGAATTATAATTGAATATCTTAAAAAATAGTATTTAAGGATCTTAAGAATCATAAAAGAAATTTAATTAAAAGTAAGTATCTTACTCAATTCATAAATTAGAAGATCTACAAGTTTTTCCAAGTATTTTAGAATAATCAGATCTAATATAATAATTAAGTGAAAATTAAAAATCAAATGATTTATAGAATGATAAGATAGAATAAATTAATAATTTATTATAAGATTAAATTAATAAAGAAGATAAATATACATAAACAGATGATTAAATTTTAATTACAACAAAAACAGAAGAATAATTAGATGAATAATCATCACAATCTTAGGAAGAAAATAATAATAATGAATTAAGTAATCAAGAATAAAAAGAGAATCCAGATTCAATGCCTGAATTAATAGTAGAATAATAAGTAACTTAATAACCAGTATAATAAAGAAGAAAAACTTATAATTTCTTTGCTCCTCAACCAATTCCTTTATTGATGGGTATTAAAGAAGATGATTCTGAATAAAATGATATCAAAAATTAAATATAAGTATAATCTATGAATTCCGAATAAATAAATGATATGTAATCTATTAACAATGTTATTTAAAGTTTAAAATTAATAGAGGATAATAATTAATAATAAATTGATGAAAATTAAGAATAAATTATATAATAATAATAAGAAACTATAAATAATATTGAAGTCAATTAATCAAATTAATAAATTATTGAAAATAAACAAGAAGAATATAATTAAAATAATTTGCAGAATTCTAACTCTGAATTTCCATAATTAGATTAAAATGGAATAACTTTAAAAGAATATATTGATTAATAGGCACAATAAGAAACATCAATTTTTATGAATAAAGGGGACATCAATTAAGAATTAATTTTGTAATAATAATAAAATGATTATTCTTATTAAAAAGCTAGAAAATTAAAATTAAATTAAATAATATAAGCTAAGAGACTTTCATAAAAGAAATAACATTCTAAGAAATTTAAGTTGAAATTAGATACAGACTTAACTGAACATAATCATATTAATCAAACACCTGAAACTGTAGCAGATACTACTTATACAAAAGCTAGTAGAAGTACTCATATTCAAACAGAATGGTCTCTTAAAATAACTCCTTATACTACTTAATAATTTTAATTAGAAAATGAATAATAGGGATTATAGATTAATTAAGAATAAATTAAGGAAAATTAAGAATATATATAATTATAGAAAAATTATGCAAAATTATAAAATAATTTGATAGAAATAGAGTAAGAAAATCTTAGAATGAATTTAATAATAGAATATTATCAAAAAAATTAACCTATATAAAAAATAACTCAGGATGCAAGTTGTTTTGGTAATTTGGATGATGATATCTATGAAAAATGTGATTAATTAGATCATTAAGTTAAATTTTAATAAATGTAAATTGAATAATTAAATGAAATTAAAGTAGAACTTGAAAAAAAAGAAAAAGAAATTGAAAATCTTTAAGATTTAATATCAAACTAAAGTGATTAATTAATGTAATAAAAATACTAAAATTTATAATTAAAAGATGAATTATTATAATAATAAGAATAAATCAAAGCAACAAATAAATAAAATGAATTGATGATTTAATTGAATAATGCTTCTAAAGAAAAAGAAGATAATGTAAAAATTAAATTACACTCAAATTCTATTGTAGTTAGGAAAGAAATTAAAGAAAAACCAAAACCTTAAACACCAACTAAATCAGATTAATTGGATGAATTAAAATAGAAAATCTTTTAATAAGAAAAGATTATTAGAAATTTGAATTAATAAATTGCAAAAAAAGATGAATTATTAACATCAAAATAATATCATTAAGAAAATATGGCTTAATTATCATAATTATAAAATGCTAATGTTGAAGTTTAAGATTTAAGAAAATAATTAGAATAAAAAAAAGAATAACTTGCAAAATGTTATACTCTTATACAATATTTAGAAGTAGAATTAGAAAATTATAAATCAACTTGTAATCTATTTAATAAACCAAAATAATAAAATACTGAGAGAGTTATTAGAAGTGTTTAAGTTACTATTCCAACTATTCCTTAAAATATATAGAAAAAACTACCTTATTTATAATCAGATGAATAATATTCTACAATAAGTAAAAGTTCATACAAAAAGAGGTATTCTTATCCTAATTATAATAATTAGAAATCATTCTCTATATACAAATCCATTTGATAACTATGACGTACTTAGAAACGCAGCAAAGTTTGTAAAATAGTTAAATAATAATTCTATATAATTATAAAATGATTGATAAATTTCTTGAATAAGCTTATTAAGGAGAGTTGCTTAATGAAAATGCTATCAAGTTTATTTGTTTAACTTTGAAAGAGATTTTTTCTAAAGAACCAAATGTAAAAAAAATCCCAACTCCTGTCACAATAGTTGGAGATGTTCATGGGTAATTGAAATTTTATATTTAGTTAATTATATGATGTTTAAGAGCTTTTTAAAGTTGGAGGAAAACCTCCTTTTACTAATTATTTATTTTTAGGTGATTATGTAGATAGGGGAGCTCATAGTGTAGAAGTAATTTCATTACTTTCCCTCCTTAAAGTAAAATTCCCAAATAGAGTCACATTAATTAGAGGAAATCATGAAACCAGAGGTATTACTTAAAATTATGGATTTTATATGGAATGCCAATAGAAATATGGGAATACTTAAGCATGGGAATATTTTACAGATATGTTTGATTACATTCCTATTGCTTGTATAGTTGGTACAAATCTATTATGTGTGCATGGAGGACTATCTCCTTGTATAGAGAGTGTGGATGAAATAGAACATTTGAATAGATTTTAAGAGATTCCTCATGAAGGAGCATTTACAGATATTATGTGGTCTGATCCTGATGATGAGGATACTCCAGGTTTTAAAATATCTCCAAGAGGAGCAGGTTTTGTATTTGGAGGTTAAGTTCTTAAGGAATTTCTACATTTCAATAATATGACACATTTGATTAGAGCTCATTAATTATGCAATGAAGGATTTAATTTAAAATTTGAAGATAGATGTATTACTGTTTGGAGTGCTCCTAATTATTTATATAGAAATGGTAATCTTGCTTCTATTCTTGAAATTGATGAATAAGATAATAGATATTTTAATATATTTAGTGAGAGTCCTGAAAACATGAAAAAAGATTTAGGAACTAAAAGCATGATGCTTGGTGCTGATAAAAATTATTTTATATGACTTATTAATATAAAATTTCTAAATATCAACTACAGAGAATTCGAAAGCAAGCTTAAGAAGATGCTGAATTATGTGATCTTTATAATGCCTTATATCCTAAAAAGGATACTCAAGAACCAAGTAATCAATCTCTTCATAAGCCATATTTGAGATTAACATAATAAATTGATTATGAGAAAATACGTCCTTTAAATATTCTCTAAGAAGCTTTAAAATTATTCAAAAAATAATATAAATCTGGTGAAATTGACTATCAATATTTTATTGATTAATTAAGATCAATTAGATAGGATATTAGTGTTTAAAATATTGAAAATGAATTTACTATAAAAACCTATGAAACCAATGCTTTAGTGAGTATTGAAAACTTAGATTTATATACTTTTGAATAATGTTAATTGAAATTACTAGAGCTTTATTTAATGCCAATCTAAACTAAAAAAAAATCAGAATTTTTATGTTATATAATTTTATATCATGCTCTCAAAGACAATAAGGATTAACTTATTAATATTTTCAATACATAAACAATTGATTCAGATAATGATCTCATTTATTTTGCTTTGAAGTATACATATTTTATCATTTAAATAGTATGTGCTCATATTTGTCTACCAAAAACTATTACAAAATTTTCAGATGCTTCTATTATGCTAGTAATAAAATGTCTAAAATGATTTAACCATTTTTACCTCAATTAAGAAAACGATTCATAAAAGAATAAAAGAAAGGGTATTGTAATTTCTTATTTGATTTAGATTTATCGGAGAAGGATCTAACTAATATTTAGCTGATATTGCATGGGATGGAGATCTTGAGGCTTGTATGCAGTTTATAAGTTAAGAATTATGAGAAGAATGAGATGAGCATTAAATATTAAATCTTTTAATTATTTTTTTAAATGGCAAGAGCATAAAAAGACACTAGACCAATTGCAGATTAAGCTACATCAGAAGCAGCTTGTACCTATGCTGCTCTCATCTTATATGAAGACAATTAAGAAGTAAATTACTTAATAAAACTCAGATTGTTGCTTCTAAATTAGCATAAGTCATCAAAGCTGCTAATATAAGAGTTGAACCAATTTGGACTAAAGTATTTGAAAAGGCACTCAAAGGAAAGAGAGTTGGCGATCTTTTACATGGAAATGCAGGTAATGCACCTGCTGCTTAAACTGCTGCATAAACATCAGTTCCTGCCTCTTAATAAGCTAAAGCTCCTGAGCCAGCTAAAGAAGTTAAGAAAGCTGAAGAACCAGAAGAAGATGTTGATATGGGAGGCTTGTTTGATTGATTAAACACCTTTGTTCGTACATTAATATTCATCATCGCTTGAACATGCCTCTTCTTATTGTTGAATCTCTTAATTAAGCTTTCATTGGTAAACTTTCAATTGTTGTATTATTTAAACTCTCGACTGCCTTTTTTGCATCAGAAACATAAAAAAACTCTATATAACCTTATTCCTTGAAATTATATTTAATTTTTACAAGAGATCTGCCCATTTTATCCCATTCTACTTAAGCTTTCCTCACCTTTCCAAATTATTAAGCCAACTCTTTTAACTCATCATTTGTAACACTATAATGTAAATTTGTTATGTCAACAATTGCTCCAGGATTACGATCATCATTTCTATGTCTATCACCAAAAAATGCTTAAAATTTCTATCTCTTCTCTTAGTACCCTTTTCTAACATTCTACTTATTTCTTTTATCCTATTGTATTTTCTCTTCCAAGTTTATTTCTATGATGTCTTCTTTTTTACTCATTCTATTTAAATTAATATTATTATTTACAATTTATCTTCCATTAAATTTTGATCAAACAAACATAATCTTATAGATATAATTATTATTTTTCTCAATCATTTCATAAATAATAGAATAATGAATCACGGATTTTATTTTTTATTCTTAGTATAATTATTTTAAAGTTATATCAATTTTATTAGTATTGATCCTTTAATTTTGAGTATACTTTTAAATTTAGATTAGTATCAATTATGATTTAATTGATATTTTTTAAAGTTAAATCAATTCAAATTACTTTTCTAAAGTATTAATTCTAATCTGATAATTATTTTGGAATAAAAAATTTCTACAAATATACTAAATTGATTGATTTATTTAAAAAATAAGCATTATTTTGAAAAATAAAAAAGTTTATTAAAATATAAAATGAACTTAAAAGATTTGTTTTCATTACATCTCATATTTTAGTTCATCATTTAATTGCTTATTGTTCTTTTCATATGAATGATTAAGTTAAATTTTTTACTTTTACCTTCAAATTCTTTAAATTTTTTTCTTTACTTTTTCAAATTAGTTTTCTTCTTTATATTTGGTGTTTAAATCTATAAATATAGATCTCCTTAATATTTTAACAGTTTATTTAATTTTAATTTTAATATTTTTTAATATCATAAATTAGTTGTATTTATCTATTTTTTATAAAAAGAGGGTATACATTTATAATAAATTGTTTTATAATAATAATTATAATATATAAAGTATAATTTATAGATAACTAGAAATGCAAAAAATGATATTCAATTAAAGTGATCTCTAGAGTTTGCTAAACTGCTCAAACTAATCATTCCATTAAATAATTCATTTAATTTTAAAGTCTCTTAGTATCTTACTGACATAAGATCTTATCTTACCTTTAATTTAATAAAATAAATTTACTCTATCTATTTCTGATTTAATTTTAATTTCACTTTCTTCCTTTTCATATAAAGATTTAATTTCTAATTTTAAATCATTATTTTCATTAATAACTTCTATATATTTCTATTCTAAATCTTGAATTTGTATTTTTAATGATTAATATTAATCTTTATATTCTTGTAATCTTTAAATTTCATTTTTTAAATCTTTAACATAACCTGATTTAAATTCTTCTATTTATTTATTAATTTCTTGTTTTCCTTATTTTAATTCTTATGATAATTTGTGTTTTTCATGTTTATAATATCTTAATTTTTCATTAAGTTTTTCATTTTCTTCTTTTAAAGGTTCATATGTAAATAATAATTCATCTAACTTTGCTATTTCTTACTTTAATCTTGCATTCTCTTCTGCTAGTAGAACCAATTATTCTTATAACTATCTTTACTAATCATCATTTTTAAATTATAACGACTATGAAATAATTTCATTTTGAATACATTCAAAGTTTCATTTTCATTTCGTAAATGTTAAATTACATCCTTTAATTCTTCATTATCTTTAATTAAATTATCTTTTTCCACTTATAATTTATTGAATCTATAAAATTCATTTTCTTAATTTTGAACATGTTCTTAATAAATTTCTCTTAGCTATTCACATTCATCTTATAATTATTCCAAATGACCTTACAACTCTAATATGACATGATCCTTCTTTAGGAATTCAATTTTTAATAATTCCATCTAATATATATAATAGTATATTACTTTTTCTCTTTAATCCTTTAATTAGTTTATATAATATTATTCTTGTTCAATCAATTTCATATCATTCATTCTTAATTTATCATTACTTGATAAAAATTCCATAAATTTTTAAGAAGCCATAAAATTATAAAATAATATAATCAATTTAACATATGCTTATTCATTAGTTCAATTCTACTATTAGGACGTTCAAAATTCATATCATTTAATTAAGGTTACTTCAAACAAAAGAACCCATCACTTATTAAATTCTTAGCACTTTTTATAAATCCTCTTTCTCTTGCTGATTCTATTCTTCTTCTTTCATCATTTGACATTTTTAAAATAGTCATAATAGCATTCATTAATATAGATGCTTCCTTATAATTTCTAGTCTCTTAATATAAAAAGTATTTATATACAACATTTTTTAAATATTCAAAATTTGTATTGTTAGTTATTAATTCTTCTTTTGTTTAATAAATAAAATCAGTTTATGTTTATTTTTGATTATTAAATATATTTTAATTTAGATCTTATTTTTATAATGTATTTTCTTATTCAAATGGATTAATTTCATCATAATCATCTGGTGTTTATGTAATTGTATAATTATTATTAAAATTATCTTTATTTTTTTTTTGTTTTTAATTTTAATTTTATGAAAAGTTTGCTTTCTCTTATTCTAATTCTTTGATTTTCAAACTTTATTTTTGAATTTCTTCTAATAATTTATCAACTTATTATTTCATTTTAAGTGATTCATTCAAAATATCAGATGAATTTATTTTATATTATCTATCTGGTTATTATTATTAAAGTTCTTAAACCATTAATTAAGTCTTTAAATTAGCACAATCATCTTCAAATTAACTTAGTTTCATTAATTATTCATTCTTTATCTATATTATATCATTTAATTCAATAATTTCTTTAGCCAATCTTGTATTATTATTATCTAAATCATTAATTTATTATTTTAATTATTTAATTATTTATTAAGTCTTTTAATCACTATTAGATCCTTATTTTTCTATCATTTATCTATACTTTTCTTCTAATTAAAATTTCTCATTATTAGTCTCTTTAATTAGATTTGTAAGAGCTTTTGATTTATCTTCATCTTTCTATTTAAGTAAATCAATTATTTAATTTGTATCAAATTAACCTAAAATTTAATAAAACATTAACCTAAAGGTTTCTATTCAAATTTATATTATTATTCACTTAGAGCAAATTGTATAACTTAAAATAGAGATTCTCTATCCTTTGCTAATAACTTATATTCTTTATAAGTCTAAACATATTTCTCAGATAATCTGTCTAATTTCTTTGTAATTGTTTTATTTTCCTTAATCTTAATACTAAATCATCACAAATACTTTCTCTTTTAATTGCCCAATCAAGTTCTCCTTCTCTAAATTCTCTAATTATTCATTATTTTCTTACATTATATTTAATAAATTAATAAGTATATTTATTTAAATTCTTTGAATTCTAATAAAAACTTTTAGGATAATTAATTTTCTAAAAAAATTACATTATGAAAACTCTGATTTTAAATAAATAAATAATAAAGAATAAATAATCATTTACAACAATTTAATAAATTAAATTATTCTTATACTAATTTATGCCTTAAAAATAACATACTGTGAAAAATAATCATTATTACAATAAAAATTAATATCACTAACAAAATCCTTTATGTTATTTCCAATGTGTCTTTTAACAATCAACTCCACAATAATATACTAATTTACATTACCCACATCTTAAATCTCCATTTTTTTTGCAAATTCCACAGATTGTTTAATTTACAGGTTCATACAAAATTATTTAATCTATTGCTACATTAGGTTAATCCCAAGTTTTAGTTTGAAAAGTTATCTCAATACCAATATGATCATAACTAATTCCTATATTGATTGGTCCACCACCTTATTTACTTGTAGGTTCACCAAACTTTGCTACTATATGCTAATATAATAAAATTTAATATACAGCATTACACATAGTAAATGTTATTCCAAATGGTAAAACCCCTTTATATGGTTTAAATTGTTTGTCATGATTTCCATATAAGTAAACATTTTTTAGAATATTATTTTGTATCTCTAATTGAAATCCTTCTTAATAATTCATTAAATAAGTAACACCATTAGGAAATTTCTATAATTTACAATTTTTATCATTCTATTATTCATTATTTATTTTTAATGAATCTTTCCCTAAATGCTATAAGAATTCTGTCATCTTAGCAATATTATTTTTGTAAAATAAATTAATATTATTTTTAACTCTCATATTTATACAATTCTTGTTTTATCTTAATAAGAGTTATTAATAAATTCATTAGAGTATATTTAGATGAATATAATAATAAATAATTAGAATTTAAATCTCATATAATAATATGATTTAAAAGAGAGTATGATGATTAATAACATGGATTGTTATGATTTGATATTAATTTTATGTTTTTTGTAATATATTAATATGATATTGATCGTCTTATTGAAAATAATTCTTCATATTTGATAAAAATTAAATCCTTTTATTTAAATAATGTCCTAAAAGTTCAAGGTTAGAAAGCTCAGAGAATAAAAGCCTGAAGATCTCCTTAAGGACTTAGAAAAGCTTAAGGGTGAATTAATTTAATTGAGAACAGTGAAAGTATCAGCAGGTAATGCCTAAAAACTTGGCAGAATTGGAGTAACATAATATATGAATAATCAAGCTTGTTAGAAAGAGAATTGCCAAATATTTGACAGTCATCAATGAATAAAGAAGAAATTCAGTCAAAGCAGCTACTAAATCAAGTAGCAATCTTCCTGTTGATCTTAGAGGCAAAAAAACTAGAGCAATTAGATAAAGACTCACAAGAAGTGAAAGAGGTATATCTATTTAGTTATATGTAAAGCTTAAAAAACATAGAGATAATGGAAGAGACTCAACAATTTCCCATTAAGAAAGTTTGCTTTGAAGGAATGATTCATTTATATTAAAATTAGTACAATATTGACATTGCAATATGTAAAACATATCCCAATAATTCTTTTAATATATTTGAACAATTTGCAGTAGTTTTAAATGAATTAAATCCATTTTAAAGACAATTAATTTGAATTCTAAAGAATTTTAATTAATTTTATTTATAGCAAATTGTTTCAAAGTAGCATAATTTATATAATCCTAAATTTTATATATAACAATAAAGAATAACTATATTAGTTTTACTTCTTCTTAATCTATATTATTTTAATACAAATTTTGTATTATAATTATTAATTGTTATAATTTAATAAATAACACTTTTTTTAATTTAGATTATCTATAAATATGATCAAAATTCTCTCAAAGTGTTAATAAGTAATTTATTAATTTTTTTGTGTTCATTGATTAATAAAAATTAATATAAAATTAATGCTATAATATTAAAAATGATGTAATTAAACTTTTACAAAAAACTCCTAATAATTTAAGTTTTTTATATTATTAAATATTAAATCTTAATATCATTAAATAATTATGGTAGCATAAATAAACAATATCAAACTTGATCATTTAATTTAACAAGCTTCTTTTAGACTAAGATAACAACTTCTTCATAATCTTCTAAATTACTAAAATCAAATTAATCTAATTTATAATTTTTATTATTTTATTCCTCTGTTTCTTCTTATTTTGGTTGATAATTAACAGATGTTTCTAATTATTTAATTACTAAATCAACTAATGCTTTATTTTTTTACTCTTTTGTTATTCTTCCGAATTTCATCTTTGTTTCAGCTTGTTTTAATAAATTATAATATCTATTTTTAATAGTATTCTCAGTTCTCCTCAATTAAAATACTTATAAAGAAATTTCTGCCCATTTCTTTCCTCTCTATTCTATTTCTCTAAACAACTAAAGCTCTTCTTCTTTTGTCCATGGATGACTATATAAATTATACATTTAAGTTTACTTAACAATATTTGGATCAAGTTTATTTACCCATCTATCTCGACATTACTTTCCTTATCTAATATAAGGAGTTTTACAAATTCTCATCAAATCTATGGCAATCTCACACCATTTATTTGGTTTAAATTACTATAATTAAGTTAAAACTTTGTCTTCTTAAGGAGTCCAATTTGCTTTCTTATGACATTCTTCTAACCATCGATTTCTACAAGCTTTCCAATTATGAAATCTAAACAATCTAGAAATCTATTCCCACTATTATGAAGACTATTAAAAAATAAACTAAAATTTATTACTAACTCTATTGGCTTCATTAAATACTTTAAACATATGCCTAAAACAGCAAGATTTAGAAACTTATCTTGACATGGAGTCCAAGCACCTCTTTTACTATTGTATGCTTTTTCAACTGAGCATAAAATTGATAAAATTTCTTCTTGCGTTGGTATTTTGAAGAATGTGAATGAATAATTTCTGAGAAGTGTATCTGCAAATTCTTATTGTGGTTATTCAAACCATTCTAGAACAACAGATCTGTTTAATGGCGTTTTTTTTTGCATAATAAAAATGATGATTAAAATAATAAATAGATTATATAGCATATTATAGAGAGTTAACAATCTAGATTAATGAATAATACTCAATCTTTATTAGATGATTATCTTTATACATACCTAAAAATAAGTAGGAATGTATAATTTATATATAATTCTAGAATTTTCATTTAATAAACATTGTTGATGTTTGAAAAACGTAGTTTTCAAAAATAATTTTATATTTTTCTCTATTAATCTTTCTAATATTCAAATATTCTATATATTTGTTATTACGTTTTTTAAACATAATTTTATTAGTGGAGAAGAACAACAAATTCAATGACAGTTATTTTTTTTATGATAATTCTACTCTCTTTTTGATTTCTATTTAAATACTATTTTGCTATATATATTAAACATATATTTACAATTTTTTAATGAATTCTAAATACTTATGAGAAAAAGAGACAATAATTATAAATTTTGATAATTAATATTAATAATTAAGAAAAGCAAAATTTAATATGTTCAGTTGCAACATACATTAATTAATAAAAAAATCAAAGAATACATCTTAATATGTGATTCATAAAGTTGTGATGTATCTTATGAGAGGATACTATATATTATACTTCAATCTAGTATATTGTGTTAGCTTAAATAATACAGTTTTAATCTATTTTTGTTTATTAATTTGAAATTACAATCAATAAATATTATAATTGCAAAATAGTTATTAAGACATTATTAAGATTGTTGTATTAAAATTAGAGAAATACTCTAATATATATTAGAGATATATGTTTAATTCAAAATTGATGTTAAATAATATATTAATATAATATATCGAATGATACTTTAAAATTTAATAAAATTCTTGAATAAGTTTAGATATTTATATAATACTTAAACTAGAATAAGTCAATTAATGAAATAGATTATAACTGTATTTAAAGTAGAATAGAAAGTTTAATAAATATAATAGTAATTAAGATGAAGGTTAAGTATTATATGGAAGATTAAGTTAAAAATTAGATTTGTATTTCAAAAGAGATTTAAAAATTGAATAATATATTTGATTTTATAAATGTTTATGTTTTAATTTATATGTTATTAAGAGAATAAACATTATATAAATATATTCTGAATTATTTTTTTATTACATATTAAAGAGTATAATTAATTAACATGAACTAATTACTTTAACAAAATGATGATATCAAGGAGAATTAGATTAATAATAATCAAGATATAGAATAGTTACAATAATAAAATGAAGACGAAGATTAAATATAATCAATTAATCAAATTTAATAATAAGATGAAAATGCAGGTTTAGATTAAGTTCACAATGATTAAGATTTATAATAAATTCAAGAAGAGAGCTAATAAAATAGTCAGAAATAGGATGAAAATGTTGAAACTAAAAGAATATAAACATAAGGAGAAATAGAAACTACTACACAAAGAAAAGATTAGAATAGACGATTAGAAACTGAAAAGTAATAAAGAATTAAAACAACTACAGAAAAAACATTTAAAACACTTGAATAGATTTATAATAAAGGAAATACCTATTCATTTCTTCATCTTAGAACAGCTCAATAATTTGATACAAAAATAGTGCATGATTAATTAAATAAATCTCATGCAAAATAATAATATACTTTTCCTAAAGCTTAAAGATTTTCAAAGCCTAAACAAAGTTATTGCTCTATGTAGTTTTATGATTCTTAGTAAATAGTATTATTAATCTTAGAATTTAAACATAATTAAATAAAAGAGCAGCAGCTTTAGGTTATGGAAGTAAATCTGATTTCACAAAAAGAGATAAATATATTCCAGGACCTACAGATTATAATATCAAATTATAACCAAAGCCAGGAATTAAATTTGCATATGGAAGAGATGAAATGCTTTCTTAAGGTCTTCATGGTAGACCTAATACTAATCCTGCTCCCAATTTATATTAAGTGAAAGATATCATCACTACATATAAATATTCTATGGGAATAAGAACATCTGCAAAACGTACTTAAATTCCTTTCATTTTTAAGACATTTATCTTGAATCCACAACTCCTGCACCAGGTAGATATAATATTGGTGGTTTCAGTTCAAAAGGAAATTGCTTTATAGGAAAATACAAAAGTAGTGGAGCCCCTGTTATTTCTCCATCAACTGCTTAATCTCAAAGAGTAAAAAGAATACCTGGTCCTGGAACATATGATCCTCCTGGAGATATAGGAGATCCAAGAAATTATTTACCTTCATAATATTCTACTAGAAGTGGATTTCGATTTGGTTATTAAGAAAGATAGACTTAAGAGATTAAAAATAAATAATGTAATTAAATCATTCATATTTAGTTCCTGGTCCTGGTACTTATTAACTTCCATCAGAATTTGGTGATTTTGAATACCCTCCTTCATTTTGATTTTATTATTTAATTATAATCTTATAATCTATATAGAAAAATATCATTTTTATTATTATTTTTATTATTTAAATATATATAATTTTCTTAATATTTATTATTTTTAATATTGCTATTCATTCTGCATCAGCAATCAGTTTTTCTTTCTCTTCAATGTCTTATATCTATGGATATTATATTTCTTATTCAACTGGTATTTTCTTTTCATTAATTAAATGAATCCATGGTAAAGGTAAAATGATAAAAAGACTTGATAGAGCAATAAAAATATATAACTTAGAATAATCTTATTAATTAATTCCCATTTCATATAAGATTAAATTACCTAATTATCCTCCTGCAAAAGTTCCTAAATTCATTGTAGCCATAAGCATAGCATACATTGTAGCTTCTATATTTTTAGGACATATTTTGCATGCATATACTAATATAGGTAACAAATTCAATTCTCCAATAAATTATAAAATAACAGAATCACCTAAACAAAAAAATCTATCATCTATTCCCCATTGCAAATTCATTCTAGTAACCAATGGTATTGTTGATAGATAACAAAAGAAGAATATAATTGTAGTTGTAAGAAATATCTATTTAAATTCTACATCCTTTAAGTAATTTCTATATAATAAAATTGCTAGAAGTGTCCCTAAACAACTAATAAATTTTAGATATCCCATGAATTTTGGAGTGAAATGCAAAACTTCAGTATAAAAATAAAACATTATTGAACTACTTGAAGGTACCATCATGAATGCTAAAATTAACAATACAGGTCTCTTAAATTAGTTTAAACAATTACTAATAAATTTTAGGATTAGAAAAGAATGTCCAAAAAATACTCAAAACTTCCTTTATATTTTATGATTATTGAGTTTATTGAGTCTCTTTTAATTTCAATGAAAGTAATGCCATTGTTAATGGGAATATACTATTAATCATGAATACTAGTTATGATTTAAAAAAATACTTTATTTTTTAGTTAAATACATAAGTAACATCCCTGAAAAATATGCACTAATTAATCCACCTGCAGCTTTGAACCCAAAGAACACTGATACATTATTAGCTGCATGATCATTTGCACATTATTCAACCATTAAAGCCTCTACAGTTCAATATATTGTTACCTCCAACTACATTGCAGATACAAACAGATGATGATATCATAATAAGTAAAGAAACAGCCACATAAACATTATCAACTCCAACATATGCCATTAATTGCCATCCAATGAAACTTAAAAAACCACAAAATACAATATATGCTTTTCTTTTGGAACCTAAAATTGGAAAAGAATCACATATAATTCCCCAAATAGGCTTAATTATCCTAAATATAATAAATGAATAAATATACCATGGTAATTATGTTAATCCAACAAATACTCCCATTTTACTAGGTGATACATGAAAATCATCTTTGTATAAATATTAAATAGACAAATCTGCTAAATGTTATACTCCTTATGAAAATGCAACAATCCCTACTATTATCTAAGTCAAATTGATCAAAGGAATATTAGTTTTTGGACTCATTAAAATTATTTGTAAAAAAACGAATGTATTATATTTCTAATTTTATATATTAACTATAATGAGATCTTTAGTATTTTAAAACAATATATAAATAATAACATTCATTACTATATCTACTTCCTATCAATTAAATTTCAATTTAATTCTAAAAGTTATTTGTTAACAATTGAATGATTTAAATTTTATAATCATAATATTTTTGGATCTATGTTATTTTAATATGAATTAAATATATAATTAACTCAATTCATTTCCATAATAGCTCAAATATTGATTTAATTATTCTTGTTCATAAATAAATAAAGTATTTATTCATGTATATTAGTATAATAATTTCAATAATTTTCTATGTTTATATTTCTTATGATTATTTAAGGTGCTGGACATCCTTATTCAAAGATTCAAAAATTTTATTATATTTGATTATGTTCTTTGTTTAGTTTTTAAAATTCTAATAATTTTTGTCTAATAAATTTATACTAACAAATAATCATGATATTCTAATGCTTAATTCTAATCATGTTATTTATAATTATAATGATTGTTCCTCTTCAGAATATTATATTTAGATTATTATCTCTTCAGATTGTTATCACTTTTTCTAAGCGTTTCTTCTTAAGATAATTATTTTAATTATTTAATGGAGCTATATCATTAAATGGCTGTTACATGATCTAATTCAGATTTTCTACTTAGGTCATTAATTGATTCAATCAGTTATTGAGAAATGTAAATTAATCTTCATTAGATGTTTTTTTATAATGCATAAATAAAAATAACCAAAATTGATCAGATCAATCCATTTGCTTTGGCTTTCTCCATTTCAACATTCAAATCTAATTGTAATTTCAAATTTAATCTATTTTATAATAAAATTATACATACTTCTCAATATTTTAGATACACTAATATATTTTAGAATCAGGAAGTTGTTTGAGTTGTTGAGCAAGTTCATTGATCTATTAAGGAGTTATCTCTAAGATTTATTATAACTCTTCTACTGTTCCTTAAGGAGGCTTGGTGTTTGTAATTGATTCATTTAATTCATTAAGGACTGAGCCCATCTCTAAGCAAGTGTCACTTTATTCATTAATGAACCTTGAATAAGAATTCACAAAATTCACGAAACAATGAGATGACTCAGATTCTGATTCAGATTCCTCTTCCTCTTCTTCTTTTTAGTTCTATTTAACAATAATAACAGATTTTTTGTTATTCTCTGACATTATTATTATAAATTATTATTTAATAAAGTGAAGTAATAACATAATGATTGATTAATAATAATTACCATAATAAATTTGATGATCCAAAATAAAAGATTAGAATAATTAGATTTTCTATTTATTTTAAACAAAGATGTATGAGTAAATTAGAAATTGGTTAAGAAGAACACTAATGATTTTATTAATGAATAATAAAAATTAACAAAATGTTAACTAATAATTTAGTTATTTATATTAATAATTTATAATATATAAATGCTGGATTCTAATGCTTTATTGAGAGCAAAGAGAGACTAATTAAGAGTATAAATAAGAAGAGACTAGTTGGAAAGTATATTTAAATCAAAAAGAGTAATGGATAATAAAGAATAATCTACTAAATATTGGGCTATACATTAAGAATTAATACATAATATTGAAAGATAATCAAATAAACTTTTATAAGATAAAAAATTAATGAATGAATTATTTGAGTCAAATGATAAAATGGCTCTAGTAATATTAGCCAATTCTTGTGCTTCTGAGTCAGATTAAACAATTTATGCTTTAATTAATGATTATCAAATACATATGTATTTTATGTAAAAACTATAATCAAATGAAGATGAAGATATAAGATATAGATGTTATTTAGGTTTGGCTAATGTATTATATTCTGATTCAAAAATAGCCAGATCTATTAAAAAATAATTATTTTAATCTAATATTCTTAATGAAACTTAAAAATCATTATCTAATTTATAATAAGATTAACTTGAACATATTAATGCTGTATTTAGATTACTATTTGGATTATTAGATAAATTAAATGATTGTGAATTTCATTAAATAATTAAATAATCACAAATAGTAGATATTTGTATAAAAGTAATTGAATTAATGGATGCTAGACTAAGTTTAGCAGCATTAGTTTTAAGAAAAGCAAGTGAACTTTGTGATGGTTTATTAGAATTATTTGATGATGATAAACTAAAGTATTTGTTAAAATAGACTGAATAATAAGATGATAAATAGACTTGTTAAATAATAAGATTAATAGATGAATTATTTATGAGATCTGATGTTAAACTTATCATTTCTTGTTTAGATAATTTAAATATAGATGAAGTAATCAAATCTGCTATTACTTAAGATGATAATTATTCTTGTTAAGCTGCATTAGACTTTATTTATCATTTGGCACTTAAAAACAATGAAACTACATAATCATTTACATTTTTATTATATGATGATATTATTAAATTACTTAGAACAACAAATTCTAAACGATCCATAGATATTTGTTTGAAAATAATATCAGAATTAATTTAATGTTAAATTCTTAAAACAGAAATTAATGTATTAAATGAAATTATTTTTGAAAAATCTGAAGAAAGATACAATTATTTTGATTATTAGAATTGTCATTTAGCATTGGAAGTTCTGATGGATATAAAAGAACATTATGGATTAGAAATGACAAATGAAAAAAGAAAGAAATTAAAATAATGGAGAGGTAGCTAATATGAGTAACTTGAAGAATTGATCTCCTTAATTTTAGATGAAGCTTGATCATAATACATCTTTTATTAATATAATTTTTGTCATTATAGCATTATTGTACCATTTTGATATATAATCTTTTAAAACTATATTGAAAAATTTAAGCATTTTAATCATATTGAAATATCACTTCAACTAATAGACAATTCCTCTTAATAAGTCACTTACTAAATATAATCAACACTATGATAATTTCTTCTTAATTGAAACAAACTCTAATGAATAATTAATACTTTAACTTCACTATTTATTTTAGCACCATTAATATGTATTATTATTGATACTAAGACTTATCTTAACTAACTTATTAAACAATCATCTATGATTTGATATTAAGAAAATATTGTTATTATCTAAATTTTGAGTCAATATATAGTTAATAGTCAACTAACAAACAATATTATTTAAACTTCATAATGAATAATAGAATCTTTAGATTTTAAAATACTAATATTTTAGCATAAGCATTAACTAATAAGATTCATGAATTAGAATATTAATCTAAAAAAGGAATTAAATATCCTTATGGAAACAATGAAGAATTTATTGTAATTGGTTAAATGATCTTTGAATTTTATTTCTCTGATTATTTAATTTAGAGAGGGTATTAACAAAAGACATATTTAGATATCCAAATAAAGATTCATAAATTAAAAAGCCAAGTGATCTTGTTTTATTGAGACAAAGACTACTAAATGATAAAAATTTAGCAGAAATTGCAATATAATACAATATACACAACTTTGTTTAAATAGGTAATTAAACAGCTTTAAAGTATTTTCATTGATATTTTCTTTAGAAATAACCCTAAAATTTTAGCTGAAACTCTTAAATCTATTATAGCAGCATAATATTTTGATTCTGGATTCGATTTAGAACATATTAGAGAAATTTCATAATCTATAATTAAAGAACTTTTAGACAAGTATTCATTTAAATGACAAATTAGAGGTTAAAATATTCCCATAGCTGAATTAAAATAAAATGCAAAGTCATCATTCCTTGAATTCATTAACAATTATACAAATTTAATTCCAAAAGTATCTGTAGAATGGAAAAAAGATGACAATTCAATTAATGTATATAAAGTATAATTAGAATTGGATTCTCTTATTAATATTTCTAAAACAGGAATAAATAAGAGATAAACAGAATAACTTGTTTATTAAGAGGCTTTGAGATAAATCAAATCAAAACTGATTAATTAATCAAAATTACCTAAGATAAATCAAATGTAAAAAAATATCTAAGAAAAATAATCCTCTGAATAAAGCACATTAATATATGAATTAGATAATTCAATTATGAATGACACTCAATATTTTCAATTTTCAGAATAACATGAATTAAGTAAGTCAGATGTAAATGAATCATTAAGTGATAAAGTAGAGTATCTGCTTGAAAAATTAGCATTTTGAAATCAATAAATTAAAGTTATTACTTATTAATTTGAATTATCAAATTTAAAAAGGGATATTAATTAAATCTCTTTCTTTAATTAAATTACAGAATATCACTTTATAAATCTATTACTTTTTATATTATAAGTATAATCAAAAAATTTTATACATTAATCTTAAATAATGTTAATTAATATTATTTAAATTATAATTAGGATACCTACTTTTCAAATATGTAGATTTAATTTCTAACTGTAATTACACATCTTCATTATTGAATTATCTCAAAATAATGAATAATATCATCCTTAAGATTCCAATTTCTTAATTCTATTAATATATATAAAAAAAAAACTTTATATTTATTTTAGCCTCATTAATATAGAATATATTTCAATAGTTGATAGTCTTTCAAGATTAAAATTCTTCTGTGTATTTCTTTTAATTTATTCATTTCTATCATCTATAAAATTATATGAAAATTTATATTAAAATTATTTTTATATAATTTTGATATAAAATGATTTGCAGTTATGAATTCTTTTTAATTTTCCTTTAAATTTTTATCTATCTTATTATATATTGATTTTTATATGTATACAGTTATTGATAGTATTGAATCTTTTTAAATAACAGATTTTTAGAATGATTTTAAGTCTATGATTGCAGAATTTTAGATATTAAGTATATATCTAATAATTATAAATTATTAGTTAATTTAAACAGATAAATACTTGTTTTTGATTAAAATATAATTAGAAAGGATTATATATTTTAATCATTTATTAAATACTTGAATTCTAGAAATTTTGTATTAAGATTGATAAAATAGA